TGGCTCACCAACAAGGGTGGGCAAAATTCTAGGCTTGATTCATGAATGTTGAAAACAAGGGAGGTTAGCTACCTGACTCCTCATTACGGTAATGGATCGGTAGAATCATAATCAAACTTCGTTACTCTCGTTTAATTTTTAGATTCTACCTCACCATTACCTCCATTCGGAGTCAGGTGAGATTTCAAAGCATAATAGACGGTGTAATGTGACATATAATCAAGACAAAAGCAGAAGGTGTATTATCTTTGCTAGTTACGTTCTTTATTGAACAATTACTGACAGAATTTTCTTCCAATAAACTTTATCAATAATTCAATAATCTTTAAATGTGTCTCGTTGTTTTCATATACATGTACCTGCACTTTATCATTTACTTTGCATCCTTTCCCTGGAGTATCTTATTAATACGTTATACATGAAATACTTTAACTTTCTGATGTAATTTAAATAACTTTCTTAATTAACTTTATTCTCTCCAGTTCATTACATTATTATTCAGTTGCCGTCTAGGACGGTATTTGCAAACAATGTCTCTGGACAGCTCTGTGTATGACTTCTGTCATAAAACTTAGCAAACGTTGATGCGTTAGACCATCCAGCAGTTTTAAGGATTACATCAATTGGAACTCCCTTACTAACTGCAGCTGATGCTGACGCTGACCTAAAACTATGTGCTTTAAAAGTTGACACATCCAAACCAGCGTCAAACAGTGACTGTTTTAGACATCTACTAATGGTAGCTGTTCCAACCTCGTTATGTGGAGGAGCATAGCTCAAAAACAATTTCATGTTATCATTTCTGAAAACCTTGGTTCGTCTCAAATATTCTAACAATGTTCTTACAACACACAAGGATTTATCTGGTTTATAATATGACAAGATTATAACTGGTTGTGGTTTGCCAGGCTTTGAGGTTTTGATCAACTCGGTAATTTTACATTTAACAATCCCGTTATCGATAATCATATTTTTTAGATTAATCAATGCTAACGTTTGTGCTCGTTGCCCTGTAGTTAGTGCACAGAGGCATAACAGTTTGTAACTCAACTGTTTTAAGCTGATGTTTTCCAACGGTTTTAGAGTACCAATATGTCGCAGTAAAATACTAACATCCCAAATTTTGGAATAGCGTGGTAATTGAGGTCTAAGGTTATAAACTCCACGCATGAATCTAACGACCAAGGGTTGACTCCCGAAAGTTTTATCTGAATCGGTGTCTACCCATAGTTGATAGTGCACTTCTTGTCGTGTTCATAGTGCTATACTGAGCACCCTGATCTACTAGTTCTGTTAGGAATTCTAGTGCTGAGTTGAACAGAGGCATGAATTGGATGAACATGTTGTTTACTACAGAATTTGCACAACAGTATTGTTTTTGCGTACCCGGTCTCCAAGACTGGAATATGATGTCAATAGTTCGTTGTGAAAGTCCTCTTGAAGCGAGGGAACTCCTGATAGAAGCCCAGCACACATGACGAGGCGGTCTTGGAGAGGATGAGACTGTTCCGGTACATGTGGTAGGTACAGTAGGTTGTCGCTCTTTGGAATGACCAATGGAGTTGCGATCAGTAATCGCAGGAGCCTCGGGAACCAGTGCTGGGTTTTCCACAGAGGGAAAACTAGGACCCCGGTTGTCAGGTCCAGCTCTACTTTTTGGAGAACCCTGTCGATAAGAGAGGCGGGTGGAAAACAATATATCAATTCATTTGACCATGATATTGAGAAGGCGTCACATGACTTAGCCTCAGGGTCAGGTAACCATGATATAAAGGGTTTAAGTTGGTAGTTATTTCTTGAGGCAAACAGATCTACGGAGGGTGTGAATCTCCAGAAAGACATTATGTCTTTGAAGACATTAGGGTTTAGTTTCCATTCAAGATTATCATTGAAAGATCTTGACAAAAAATCTGCTTGTGTATTACTTAAGCCAGGAATGAGTCGTGCAATTAACCATATGCCTTGTTCTAAACACGAAAGCCACAGTTTTTTGGCCAAGTCATTGAGGTCTTTAGAGTGGCATCTGCACCCATGTGGTTTATATACGCCACAGCCGTAGTGTTGTCTATTAAGACTGACACAGTTTTGCCTTGAAGATGATCGGCAAATGAGGATATTGCATACATGACTGCTAAGAGTTCAAGATAATTGATGTGAAATGATGTTTCGTTAGAAGTCCATCGTCCATTCGTTTTTAAATTCAGACTAGGACATAATGCTCCCCATCCATTTGATGATGCATCAGTTTGGATTTCAATGCCGGCAACTCTAGGTAATATGGGACGGTATGAAGTAGCCAAATTCAGTGTCCACCAATGTAACTCGTGTTTAGCACTTTCAGTCATGTGCATTTTGGCATGAAAATAACCTCCATTTTTCTTCAAGGCTTCGTCCTTTGCCATTTCAAGATTTCTGTAAAAGAGTGGTCCAAGGGGTACTGCTGGGAAGCATGAAACAAGTTTCCCTATCATTTGTGAAACGATTTGTATCGTTGGATATGTTTGACTTTTCAAAGATCGACAGACGTCAATGATGGCGGAAACCTTTCTGGTTGGTAAACGTATGGTCATATCCATCGAGTTAATCACGAATCCCAAAAATTCTATTTTTTGAGTAGGGTTCTTCATAGATTTATTACGAACCCCAAGTCATTCATAAGTTTGCATCTTTCATCAACATTCCTTAAACATTCATCTTCTGTATCCCCGATGAGTAATGAATCGTCGATATAATTGACAGATATGTGGCCTTTGTTACGCAGAGTAGCAGTAACTGGTTTCATGACTTTTGTGAAGGTACGGGGAGCACTAGCTAACCCGAAACACAAGCAAGTAAATTGCCACAGTTTGTTATGCCATTGAAAACGTAAATACTTCTGATGTTCTTGAGCCATTGGTATTGTAAAATATATAGCATCTTTCAGATCAATAGATGCTAGAAAACTGTCAGTTCGAATCAACGTTAAAGCATACTCCAATGTTTCCATCTTAAAGTGATGGTACTCAACAAACTTATTGAGTCCTTTTAAGTTTATAATTGTACGCATGGAACCATCCTTTTTAGGACGAAGGAATATATTCGATAAAAATTGCCCTCTGCATGGGCTGACCTGTACAATGGCCCCTTTTTTATACAACGTTTGAACCTCTTCGTCAATCATTTGTGACTCTTTAACAGAGTAACATATTGTCTTAGGGGAAAAAGACTGACGCGGTGTTTCCTTAAGCTCAATATGGCAGTGAGAAATGGTATCTAATATCCAAGCATCAGAAGTAATACTTTTCCAAGCTGATACAAAATGTTGCAATCTTCCCGCAATTGGAATTTCAGCAGTTAGATTAATGTACTTACTCACTTGCTTGGCAGACCCTTGTCCTTGGTCTCCAGTCTTATCCGCATAGGCATACGACGACGAGCCCGCGCCATAATAGGGTCGACGATTCTTCTGCCAATTTCCCCTGTAATAGGGTGCTCGTTGTTGCCGGTTGTGATAAGGATAGCCGGACGAGCTTGGGCGAGAATATTGATAGTTCGGGGCCCCTCGGCGTCGGAAGTTCGAAGGTTCCTTGCCATATACTTTTGAACTCAATTTATTTGTTTCCTGTATGGATTTACAAGATTGCACAAGATCATCCCCAAACAGTAATGAGGTGCATGGTATCTGAGATGAACACAATGGCGCATATTTCGGACTTAAGTCCGGTCTTATGCTATCGCGTCTTCTAATGTTCAGTTGCGCGTTGCCATTGCCCATTACTGCCACAGCATCAATAAAGGTTCTAATGAGTCCCGCTGTATCAAGGCTATTGTTGTCAGCCGTTGTATTGCGTGCCTGCAATAGTTGGTCTGCGACCTTTGTGACTGCAATAGATGCGTGTACAAAAGAGCTTTGTATTTTTTGAAACTTCACGTCTCTTTGTCTAGTAGTGGGTTTCAAAAACGTCCAAATCTCTGGATTTACCTTTGTCAGGCAAAGATTCGGACAATGTTTAGGTTTATCATAGCCTTTTAGCTTTTCTTCTAGCTTATCTTGGATATTTCCCCGTGCTAGTGAATTGATTGTTTTTGCCAGATTCTCGTTAATGGAAGGTCCTATTTCCTTCTCATCGTCATTGACGAGTGCCGCCATCTCTAAAAGCAACTCGTCGTCGGCTATTTCGCCTGATTTAGACTCATTTGGAGGGTCCACAAATAGGTTATTGACCTCGTCCTCCGAGTAGAAATTTGTGTCCATTTCGGGTACATCTACTGGCATGGCGTTAGCACGCTCACTTTGCATTTCAACCCTTTCAGGTATGAATTCGTTTTTGCCCCTTTCGAGTGCAAATTCTGTGGTCACGCCACTACCCACGCTAGCGTTAGTAAATGCATGGCTTGGTTGCTTTTGGCGAGCAAGCGCATCTGAAAGGTTTGCGACTGTATTTTGCAGCGCAAAGACTACCTCGCGCAAGTCAGAATTCTCATTTTTGTTAATACTCGCGCTAGACGTATGATATGCTCAATAGGCGCACTACCAGCGGCAGCAGGTACAGCTTTAACGGTTGGTTTGCGTTTTGTACGCTTCTTAGCTGGCGCTGGCGTGGGTGGCTTTGCCTGATTTGGCTGAATAAGACCAGAAAGCTCGTCTTCAAGACGAGAAACTATCATTGATTCATCCCCTGAAGGGTTCGCATGTAATTTCTAAAGCGCAAATGTCATTCATCATGGTGACTAGAATTGGCCACGCATGTGGTCCGTGCGATCGAGTGTGTTCCTGATTAACACCAAAAATACACTGACGGTTGTTGATGTGGTGTAATGGCACGTTCGGCAAACTAGTGCCCTTTGTGCCACACTGACGGTTGAACGGGCACTGACCCTTATATAATTATGCGCACCAACTGCATTCTTTCTTTGAATGAGTGCGTTCCTCAAATACCAGACAATACAATCTCACCTGACCCCGAATGGAGGTAATGGTGAGGTAGAATCAACTTTGCCTGTATAGGAGTGTAACATACCTGTCATACAAACCGTTGCTGTACAACCCAGCAGGTGTGCACTCTGCACTTGACACCTGATGTCCCCGACATGACTTGATCGGATGGATCCAAATCTCACTCAGTTTGCCCACCGGTTTGAACACTGGTTTGGGGGTCCTTCTGAACCACCAGACGACACCTGCAGTTGCAGCTAGGCCCACAGCGCCGGCAATCACCAATCGTTGGTGCGTTGTGGTCAAACCTAGGGATTCAACCTGAGACAACAACATGTTTGTACTTTTGTAGCCCGTGGTTTAACCGCGACCTGTGTGCATGAATGTTCATTTGAGCATTTGAAGGACCAAAATTAGAACTTTATTGCTTTGCGGTATGCGAGCGTGAATGTCCAATGTCCAAATGTTATGCAACAATTTGCTTTCTTTGCGCTGGACCGGATCTTTATTATAGCTCTATGACCGGATCATGTTTGTTCGGCGGCGCGGACTAGATAGACTACACACACGCAAATTTCTCGACGCGTATTACTACGGGTACGGGTACCGGGTACGCCCGGCCCGGCAAAGGACGCGTCGTTCACGCCGCTAGGTGGCTTAGACCCAATTTTTTGACAAGATCGTGACCGACTGGTTCAAAGCACCAAACTTGGCAAATATACATGTACATGTATATTGTTACAGCGTTATTTTTTAGAGAAGATATTTAGAAGCATGGGCGTCGCCAGGATTTTTTCTAGAGGGGGGCAAAACATATTTTCCCCATAGAAATTCTTGTATTTCTCGACATATTCTCGATTTATCAATTTTAGAGGGGGGCAGGGACATTTTGCCCCCCCCCCACCCCAACTCATTACATTTACACCACTATGACTTTGCGCCTCTTTTTCTTTTCTTTTTGTCTCTTTTTTTTCTTCCTTTTTTTTGTGTGTGTGCTTTTCCGGGGGGGGGGGGGGGCAACACATGAAATTCTTTTGGGAAGGGTGCCTAATTTACATCAATCGTTAATCCCTACCGTGTAATATATTTATTCCCATATTTGAGTACGTTTTTATTAGCTAGCAGGCTTAGCGTAATTTTAGCCCAATTTACGGACACCTCATTTTCCCCCCTTTTTGTTTTTGTGGGCTAAATATCAAGATGATATAATTTTTCACATGATTTCCCATTTATTTTTGTTAGGGTAACTGTGTCATTTAAGTAACTTTGTGAATTTGAAGGTCATCAATGCTGAGGTTCGGCAAGACTACTCGGTGATATCTGAGGGAAAAGGGAAATGCGCGCAACTTTAGGGTATAATGGTAGCCATTTTGGATCTTTATTATGTCCTCATAATCTTCAAGTCTCCGATATTCTTTAGAAAATGTTATTTAAGTAAGGATATGTAAGTAAAATCCCCAAAATATACTTTTCCAAAAATAAAACATAAACATCTACCCAAATATGGGAATAAATATATTACACGGCAGGGATTAACGCTTTATGCAAATTGGGCACTCTTCCCAAAAGAATTTCAGCAAAAATGCACACACAAAAATGAAGGCGAAAATACATGGTTTTCAACTTTGCAGTACACAGTAACTTGAAATTTGTAAAAGCAAGAGTATCATTTAAAAAAAATCCTCATATAAATCTTGAAATATTTTGCTCAATAAGTCAGGGGAAAAGGAGCCAGGAATTGCCTCAGATTGCACCACCGTGCAGAGCATCGAAATCCAAATTTTCCCGGGGCCCTTAAGTTCAGCGGGCCCCGGACCCCACGCCGTAAGAGATCGTGCTCCGCGCTCGCATTCAAGCCCTCGCTAGCCCTCGTTGCAACAGTTTACAAACTAAGTCAATACAGTTCCTTTTCAAAAATACAATGCAAGAAAATATGAAGACGAAAATACACGGTTTTCAACTTTGAAGTATAACTTAAAATGTGTAAGAGTATGTACTTAAAAAAAATCCTTATATTAAATCTTAAAACTTTTGCTCAAATAATTATGGGGGAATTAAAGGGGCCAGTAATCGCCTCAGATTGCACCACAGAGCACCTAGAATCCAAAATTTTCCGGGGACCCCACGCCATAACGGGGTGGGGGGGGGGGGGGACTTCTCTATATATAGTCCGACGTCCCATTGGTCCGACGTCCCATTGGTCCGACGTCCCATTGGTCCGACGTCCCATTGGTCCGACGTCCCATTGGTCCGACGTCCCATTGGTCCGACGTCCCATTGGTCCGACGTCCCATTGGTCCGACGTCCCATTGGTCCGACGTCCCATTGGTCCGACGTCCCATTGGTCCGACGTCCCATTGGTCCGACGTCCCATTGGTCCGACGCCCCATTGGTCCGACGCCCCATAGGATTAGGGTTAGGGTTAGACAACCTGAACCAGTGTTAATACACAGTATTATGTTATATCGGACCAATTCCGACCAATGAGCGTTGGCGGTTCTACAGGGGGGGGGGGGGGGCTTGCGGCCCCCCCCCCAATTTTGTCTAGCCCCCCCCCCCAAAAACAAATTTCCATAACAAAAATTGCATTAGCAAAAAGAAGGAATGTGACGTACATGCGAACGGTCTCCCCCTAAAGAAATAGTCGTGACAAGGGTGCATTTGTAGTTTTTATTTATTTATTTATTTTACATCTTTAGACATAAATATAAAATTGACTTAAAAGGAAATGTAAAACCACATGAACAGGGGCTGTCAAGGACAAACAAAAGCATAAAACACTCTCATCAAACGATGTGTTTGACCAGACCCCTGTTCAAATTAAAACACTGAATTTTAAATGAAGAAATAAAAATGAAATAAGAACCATATTATACTAAATTAAACAACTGTAAATACGAACATGTAATGATAAAAACAGGCCGACTGTACTATCTCAAGATGCTTTTTGTCTTAGATGAAAAACCCCAATGAGACCAAATGACCATCATGATGATGAGATAAAAATTGATAAAAATGGATTTATATTAAAACACCATCAAACCAGAAAAAGGGTAAAAACCAGTAAAAAAGGAACGCCCCAAAGACCAGTATTAAAAACAACCAGTATAGAGACGAATTCCCCCCAAAATAAAAAATATAAACATATCTGATGTCTGCTAGTTTATACACACTCCCAATTACATGTCGGATAAATCCCTCCTCAAATGTGAACGAAAAGCCCCCACACCCTCTAAAATCAAAATGTTCCTGGTTTCAGCATCAAGCTCAGAGATTACTTTAGGAAAGCGAACAGCAGCACTATATTTGTAGGCATCAGTCCTTGGATTTAAATGATGGAAAGTGAGCATGTCTGGGTGCCTAACATTAACGTGGAACAAATTAAGAAAATCCGACATAAAACCTAATCTCTTAGACATTAAAAGTTTCGTGGTAAAACTGGTGTTTAAAAACGTTCTCCTATTAGAAAGAGTCATTAGACCCAAGCTCTGCAGTCTATCTTGGTAGCTTTGCTCCATATAGTTCTGTCGCAGTATCATACGACTTGCCCGGCGCTGGATCGATTTGATGGCGTCGATGTGCTTTTTGCGGTGGATCCACCAAACGGGCGAGCAATAGTCAACAATGGGCAAGATGAGTGTATTGTACAGGTGGAGAGAAACACTGGAGTGGCAATTGCCAGATACTAAACGTATCAGGCCAATGAGTCTGTTGCACTTAGAGATAACATCTTGAACGTGCGAATCCCAAGACAGGTTGCTTTGGAACAGGCAGCCAAGAAGCTTGAGGGAACTCACACACTCCAAAGCAGAACCTCCGAGGGTGTATGTAGGACTGGGTAGTTGACGCCATGACAAACGCATAACTTTGCATTTTCCAGCATTCAGATGTAGGCAATTTGAGTCAGCCCACGTTGAAATACTGTTCAAGTCATTTTGAAGTAGAGGATCACGAAGATCGGTGAAAACATTTCTAAAAAGAAATGTGTCATCGGCATACTGTACGACGTTGGATGAAATGTGAAGATGCAAATCGTTAGCATACAGCACATACAACAAAGGCCCAAGAACCGAGCCTTGTGGCACTCCAGAAGAAACTGGCAACCATCTGGATGTGCTACCTTTGTATACAACTCGCTGCATACGGTTTGTCAAAAATGATCCGATCCATTCAAGGGCAGCTCCACTGATGTTATAGCACTGATGAAGTTTTTTAGCGAGGATCTTGTGCGATATGGTGTCAAAAGCACGGCTGAAATCCAACGATATCAAGTCCACTGCAGGCACTCTTGCATCCTGAGATCTCAACCAGGCCGTTGTGGCCGATAATAATGCAGTGTTGCAAGATCTCCCTGGAATAAAGCCATGCTGCTGAGAGGATACAAGACCGTTCTCCAGACAGTGGTCGAGTATCTGGGGAACAACGATCTTCTCCAAGATTTTGCAGACGATCGGAGTTAACGAGACAGGCCTGTAATTACACAAGTTAGTTTTGTCACCACGTTTGTATACCGGCACAACATTATTAGCACGCTTCCAAGACTTTGGAAGACATCCTGCAGCAAGCGTGCTATTATAGAATTTAGTCAGCACAGGTATGATGGTAGGGCAAGCTAATTTTAGCATCTGTGCACTGATGCCATCTGGACCGTGAGCTTTTCGAGCATATAGTTAATATAGTGTGCCTGATTGTAGGATTTTATTGGCGCTCCCCATTGAAAATATGGCACAAGCCCCCCCCCCCCCACACATACACACACTAACCGGAGAAAATAACCGGTCTACATTTCAGCACGCCTCCCTGAAAAAAATTCTGGATCCGCCCTGCTAGCGCCCCCCCCCCAAAAAAAAATATTGGCTCTAGAACCGCGCCTGCCAATGGGACGTCGGACCAATGGGACGTCGGACCAATGGGACGTCGGACCAATGGGACGTCGGACCAATGGTACTTCGGACTATCAAGACGTAACCCATAAGGGCTTCGCGCTATTATGTCAAGTCACCACAGAATGGCCATTTCTCAGCCTTTTTCTTTATAAGTTTAAAAAACACAAAAATCGCACCGATGCTTAGGCCAAGCTGCGTCGTCAACCTCTGAAGCACTTTCAATAATCCAATATGCAGACATCGGTTAAGGCTCTTTCGCGATTGCTTGGCCATGACCATGGACGCGGCCGGCTCGGCCTGGAGCCGTAACCTCGACTCATGTTCCCTATGACCCTCCAAATGGCCTATAGTTTTCATTTGGATACAAATATCCTTTTAATTGAATTGCTCGATTTTTTCTTGTATTTTAGAATACAAAAAAAAAATTCCTCAAGATTTCGGGATTTCCTTAAAATGTCCTTGAATTTTTCATTTCCTGAAGTAATTTCATTCGAACGTGACAATTTCCTTAAAATAAGGAAATTTCCTTAAAAGTGGAAACGTCAATGTATTTCTGGTGTCAGTCGGGAAAAGGGTGACCATTATGAGGTAATGGCACAATACAATTCTGCTAGATGCACTTCAAAAAAGTTTTTCCAGAGCAGTTTTTTTTTTCCAGAGCAGTTATTTTTTTCAAGACCAGCACTTCTAAAATCTGCTAGATTGAACAAAAATCTGCTAAATCACCTGTAATTACACGAAGTACATTATAAACAGTTATACTCACATGCAGATGTTATAAAATTTCATAAACCATTTTTTTTTTTTCAATTTCATTTAAAAAATTTAATATATATTTTTAAATGGCGCGTGTATAGCCTGGCTTCCAATGTCTACAGCATTGAGATCAATGGTCTACACACGTACACACAAGGGAACCTCAACGCTGGCATACCTGTCCGTTATTAAGGGTTTGTTTGAACAAATTTAGAGCTTATACTATAGGCCTAACTATATTTTTGAAATCTGCTATATTTTCCCGTCAGAATCTCAAATTCTGCAGAATTCTGCTTGAAATCTGCAAAAAATTGTCATTATGCTAGATTTTTTTGTCAAAAGTTTTCTTTCAAAAAAATGTGTCAAATCTAGCCGAAATCAGTAAGATTTGAGGCTTTGCATGGTGGAGATACTAATGAATGAAGAGTTTTCGGGTGTGATATTGAGTCCGCTGTGTGCGCGTACAGTGGCTTGGGTCGGGCGCATGGGGGCGCGCGCTCGATTGATCGCACGAGAACAGGCGCGGCCTTTGCCAGAGGCCGGCAGGGCACCATAGGATATTTTGGTCCAGTGGACTAGTTTGCGCTGGAGTCGAGAGGTTGATCGAAATGCCCTTTTCTTTGACAGAAACTCTAGGTTTAGCCACAACACAGCAACGATTAGTCGTTGCCGGTGCTGTGGGCCTAGCTGCAACTGCAGGTGTCGTCTGGTGGTTAAGAAGGACCCCCAAACCAGTGTTCAAACCGGTGGGTAAACTGAGTGAGATTTGGATCCATCCGGTCAAGTCATGTCGGGGACATCAGGTGTCGAGTGCAGAGTGCACACCTGCTGGGCTGTACAGCAACGGTTTGTATGACAGGTATGCAGTGTGACGTAGGCCCAGTGCTGAGAAACACGCAAAACGGAATCAGGCCAACTTTGCTCGCTCTTTTCCTTGCTCTATGTTTTAGCTGACAAAGTTTTTTTTCCAAATTTTTCATTAGGCAGAGAAGATCCTCACTTCGTATTTCACCAGCAACCACTGGCCATGCCAGCCATCAAGTTTCATCAATTCAACTTTTAAAGGGAACGGATACAACATTTGCAAACATCAAAAAACGAAATGGTCAAATTATCATGAAACACCTTACTGTACTGTTAAAGAATGACAGTCTGAAGCATCCTGTAAAATCGTAGCTCCTGGTGTGCTGACATTTTCAAGAAATTTTTTATTTATCTAATGCTGGTCGGCCGACTAGCCCCACTGTGTAGCCGCGATATTGCTGCACTGTATCTCTGCGCAGCAATATCGCGGCCACACTAGTGGGGTTAGTCGGCCAAGTTGGCCAACCAGCGTAAGGAAAAACTGGCATTTTTTTCAAAAACTGCTCCTACTTTTTCATATTTAGTTATTCTGCATTGTCTTTGCAATTGATTACACACCTGTGAAGGGGTACAACTACAAGCGAAAGCCTTCTAAGTTCTAGACTGATCATTTCCCAAAGTCTTTAAATTGTCCGTTTCATCTTAAGTGGGGTCAGGGAACAAGACTACAAGAACATGATGGTTTTCTTGGTTTTTCCAGCATCTACATGTACAAGCCCAAAAAGTGGAACAAGTCAGTTTAAAGGGAAAATACAACATTTGGCAACATCAAAAAATAAAACTACCAAATCATTTTGAAATACCTTGCTGGACTGTTAGTGAATGACAGTGTAAAGCATCCTGTAAAATCATGGCACCTGGTATACTGTCATTTTCAAGAAAAGTGGTATTTTTGTATCAATTTCCAACGCTGATCGGCCGATCAGCGTTGGAAAAAACTGGCTTTTTTTCAAATACTGGCCCCAATTGACCATCGCACTTGTTTGCAATCGATTACAAACCTATGAACGGGTACGAGCCAGCTAGACTGGTTCCCTGACCTTACAATTCCCCAATGTATGTAAACTGCTCTGTTTCTTCTTATATGGAGTCAGGGAACCAGACTACAGGAAAATGATTGTTTTTCTTGGTTTTTATAGCATTTTCGAACCCAAAACCTCAAAAAAGTCAGTGTAACTAAATTTGCTATATATTTCCAACCCCCAATTCCATCCATTTCTGAAAATTACAGCAAAAGCAAATGATGTATATTCCCTTTAACGATATTTGCTATAACATACATATTTTACCAACAGCCATGCCAGCCAAGTTTGAAGAATCAATTCAACTTTTAATACGTGTTTAGGAAGATACAACGGTCATTTGCAAACCTCAAATGCAGTTATTTCTGAAAATTGCAGCAAAGGCAAATGTTGTACATTCCCTTTAAAGTAGACTTTTCTTCAATATTTTGTACATGAGACTAGACAATGAGAGGGAAGTCAACTTCAGGGCCAAAGATTGTTATTATTATTGACAATATTGCAAAATATATGGTCTTTTTTTTTTAATAGAAGGTGGGCGGGGCAAAGGAAGTGGGCGGGGACGAGGAACCTGGTCTATTTTTTTTGACTTATCTCATTGTATCTGGTATACGAAATCACTAATTAACTTAAAGGAAATAATTAACTGGGCAGTGGGCTTTCCTTGATGTGTAATATAAATTGCAGGAAATTTCCAGAGAAATTTGGAGACCAATTTTACCAAAAAAATTTTTTCCCCTGAAAATTATATGCTATACATGTAAACTATCATGACTATACATCTAGAAATGTGCTTGCAGTTTTTGAGTGGTCGGGCACAACCCGACCACTCTTTGGATTTGTTGCGATTAGTCTTTCTTTCTTTCTTTTTTTTCTGCATAGCACGTTTCCGCGGGTTTTCTCCTAAACGGTATATGATATGAACTTGTAACTTTTAACATATATTGACCCTCATTCCGAGTGGTGCATATTACACTGACGTCACTATGACGTCATCGGGTATCAAATTACAAGCGATTTTCGTTGAAAAAATGACGATCTTCTTTCATCTATAACTCTTCAACAAAATCATCAATTATGCCCCAACCTTGTTATCAGATAAACCATAAATTGATAAACATTTTTTGTCCTGTAGGTGAACTCGCTGGACCTTTACTTCCGGGTCTACCGGAAGGTCAAATTTAGGTGAATTCAAAATGAAGACATTAGCCTGAAATCGAAACAAAGCACAATTTCTTCCAAACGGTTTACGGTATGAAAATAAAACCTACTGTGAACTTGTACCATGTTACGAAGATGTTATAACTGTTGTTACGTCATCATGACGTCATCAGGTATCAAATTACAAGCGATTTGATTGCACGATTTGACAAAATACTTTGACCTATATCTCTTGAACTAAAGAGGGTATCGTGTTCGTTTTTTTTGTGAGGTTGTAGACTGTGCCTTGAGCAACATTTCTTATTCCCGGGCACAAAACTGCTTGACCTTTACTTCCGGTGTTACCGGAAGTGCAATAGAAACTGAATCTAACTCTAAAACGGAAGCATTTTCATACAGACAAATACATTATGCAAGTGTTAAGTGAGGAATGCCAATCACAAAAACATTATTTTGACGTCATCCACGAAAGGGCGCCCTCCAGCGGCACATGGAAAACAGTTTAATCTTTTAAAATGTTAAAACCCTCGATCAAATTTTTATGATACAATTGCCCCTATATATCCCGTGAGCAAATGAATTTGCAAGGTTTCATAATCATGACGTCATCAGACCGGAAGTTACTGTAGGGAGAATTCAACAATGACTATTTTATTTTTAAAGTTAAATCCATCATTTGATCCCTGTCTCATGACTTTGTTTTTTGCCCCCAAAAATTACATCTGTTACACTTAATATTGACCTTTTGCTTCCAAATACTGTGACGTCATCAAACTGTAAGTTAGCTGTTATTATTACATACACTTAATTTCCATATTTCCATGCGTTATTTTTACTTAATGATAAACAAGTGTCCTCCCTTCCCTGTTTTGACTGATGACGCCATCAAACCGGAAATAACTTGTACGTGTACCCAACTGTTTACTGAAATTTATCATACCTTAAAAGACGCATTCTTTTTATACAAAATAATTGGTACTGGAAATGTTGAAGTTCTTGGTCCTTTTTTTCTGACATAAACACATTCATAACTTAATTGGACAATGTCTAATGAAATGGTTGTCTACCCGACCACTCTACGTTTGTAACAACAAACGCGAACCTCTAGTTTGAAGTTGTAACTGAAAAGTGATTTTTCTTAAAAAAAAACCCAATTTGTAGCTGAGGTGAAAAGTCAAGTCATTTAATTTGGAAACATTTATAGACCAGACTGGCACGTATTCGTGAATGGGGGAGAATGTATAGAAATAGCTGAACTACTAGACATTCCTTTTGAAATTTGATACTTGTGCAGTGCAGTTGGACTGGTTGTTTCATGTGCCAGTCCGTTTGTCTTGTTTTGCAATATTCCCTTATTTAAACATTATGTGACGCAGAACTCCCAGATGTCCATTATTTTTAATTGTGCAGGTTTTTTGTGATTCTGGATGAAAACGATTCGATCGTCACACTGCGGACTGAGCCGTCACTGGCCCTCGTCAAGCCACGAATCTCCAAAGATGGAGAATGCCTCGTTCTGGATGCGCCAGGGATGGACCCCTTCAGCAAACGCCTGGCTGACATGGCAGAGACGCAGAAACAAGCCCAAGAATTCAGGCTAGTACACAGTCCTTACAAATCCATGTTTATAAGTAAACATTTAAGGAAACTGTGATGCACCATTTAGTAACAGTTAACTGCGGAATTTGTGTTGTCCAGAGCAAAATGAATGGGGTTTGACAAAGAGATATTGACCAAGTCTCCTTAGTTAACAGCTAGAATTGTGCACTCTGCTATGTTACCAGTGCGTAGTACCAACCTTAAAAGTTGAAGAACATTGTATAATAACGTGATTTTGTCGATGCAGAGTCTGGGGACTACACGTAGAAGGGCTGGACTGCGGCCAAGAGGCCGGCGCCTGGCTGAGCACCTACCTCAAGAAGCCCAACCTCAAACTCGTCCATTTCAAAGAGGGCCAGACTAAACCCAGGACACCCGTACGGGATCTCAGATGGGGGCCCAGATTCACTTCCAAGGATAAAGTGGTAAGAACCCAAGTACACCAACGAAAGTCCATTCAATATTAGGTTTTGCCTTTCACCGACGTATAAACACTGTATAGTCGGTGTGTAACCTCCCGAGTGAAGGTACAGTGTTTATACGTCGGTGAAGGGTAAAAACATAATATTGAATTTACATCACTCCAATGCAAAATCTATCTTATGAAATTTAAAATTCCAAGCCATATAAAATCTAAACAAACTTTGATCATCGACAACTGAGTGACTAGTGATTGATTTTATACATGGATTATTCTATAAATTTGACATCAACATGTATGATTTTGTAATTCTTGATGCATTTCTTAATGTATCTTAATGCCACAGTGATTATGTCAAGCATTGAAATGACCTACCCAACAAAACTAATGAAAATTAATTTGAAGTCATTTTTAATGACAATTCATAAATACCTTAGACAGTTTACCCATTCCTATTGGTCGACAGCCCGTCACTTGGCCAGTTTAAAACGGTTGATAAAGACTGGCTGGTTTGTCTTAAACACTTTTCCAGGGTGTCACATGAAATTTGGACTCCTATGAAATCAGGTGCCTTTCACCGTTTCATTGGTTGAACGTTCACATTCCTCATGTAGGTGTGCGCAGTACAGTCACTGCGTAATACAATCACTGCGCCACACAGCGCCAATCTCTATATAAGGCTTTTCTGGCGAGAAGGACATACCATAATATAGAAAGAGGGGTGTTTAAAAAAACATGGAGAAAATTTGTTGAACAACATCATTGCAAATTACTTTTTGACTTGTTTTGATTTTTGGATCGAAAAATAGTTGTTTTTTTTAACGAAAAGAAATTTACACTGTATGAATGGGATAAATATGTGCTTTGCTGGTATTAAACACTCCATGTATGTTTAAGACCGGTTGAGTCTGGATGCTGATAATTACCCTCGCCTTTGGCGCGGGTAAAAACATGTTTAAAACCGGTCAAGCACACATTTATTCACTTGAATACCAAATTACAAAGGTCAGAGATAACAGGGACAAACAAAAAGGCAAACTTTGGACCTTTAACTTAAAAAAATGAACCATCGGTTTAAACAGTGTGCTCTTACTTGCGCTAATATTAAAGTGTTGAAGTTTCTAATCGCACAGTTAATAAACATCACCACAAAAGCTTGGTATACAGTGTGATGCATGTGGCTGTTGTCAACCAGCCATGAAGTTGAACCAACCTGGGTAGTTTTGATCCCAAATAGTTGTAACTCTTTCCATTGTTGATTAGCGTGGATTCAATCAGAGTTAGTTGAAATATAGCTGACCATAATTTGAGATAAAACAATTCAGTGTTCTAGCCAGGCTTTCAATAGTGTCAGCACCCTCTACACTTCGGAAACTGAGCACTATGCTTAGAATTGTGCTGCTACGCTACTGTAACATCTGTAAAGGTTACATGTTTGCAAAAGATTTTTCTATTTTTTTATGTATTTTTAGCTTTTCCAAATGGGATCTCAAATGCCCCCACCCCCTCCAAGCCATCAGCTTTGAAGATAATTTGGGATCCTGGAAATGAGCACGGCACTTAAATCATGTTTTTTAAAAACATTTTGTAGCTTTCCCAAGGGTTTTTGCAAAGGTGACCTGAAATTTCGTGCCCAAGCTGTACGATATGGCGAATAGCTTCGAAAAGAACCGCGATCCCGCCCGTATAATCCTACGTACCACACACGTACATGCATTCTCTAAAAACATGTGCATTGTACACTGCGATGAGTGCCAGAGCAAGCCTCACTATTCAAGGATTTTTCGCCCGAAATGTTTTTCACCAAACTGGTACCCAAAAATGGCGCACCCTTACATTTCCCCTTAAAAGATGCTAAGGTCAACCATACCTCAGGATTAGCTATGCTTATGTTAAAATTGACATCTGAGTATTTTCTTGTTCTTAATGACGCTTTTCTTTTGCCATGGGCAATTTTCTTCTGCTTTCCTTCAGAGGGGCTACCCAGACTTTGCTCCCATCATGCTGCTGACTGAGGCCTCTTTGGATGACCTGAACTCCCACTTGGAGAGGCCTGTCACCGTCCGGAATGCGCGGCCTAATTTTGTGGTCTCTGGAGCCAGTCCTTTTGCAGAGGTTTGTTGATTTGAACAATTTTGTATATAATACTTTCTTTTTCAGGATACTGGCTTCGCTATAATATGAATGCGCAGTGCAGAATTTTTGGCTTGCTTCAGCACAAGAAACTTTCAAAGGTATTCCATAAGCTGTTGTTTATAGTTAAGCACAAAGAATTGTTTGGCACATAAGGTTAACCCCTTTCCTGCAATTTTCTCTTTTGGAAAAATGTTGGAAAAAAACTGTGCAAATGAGGTCATTGTTGATTTTGGTTAGGTCAACTGATAAGTGTGCTTAAACTGACTGTGTAAATACTGCCAGCATGCCAGGGGGATTGCGCAAGTTTTACTTGCAGTATTTTTAAGAATTAAGGAGCATGGAAGGTCACATGCCCACTGCTGATTGCTGGCTCAATATCTGCATATCTAGGGTAACATAATAATTCTGTATTGATCATGTCAAAGAGTGAGTGCATCGGATCAACAAGGGTTTTGGTTTATGGTTTCACAGGACCAGTGGAAGCACGTCAGGATCGGGGATGCAGTGACAATGCGCAGGACTCACGGTTGCGGAAGGTGAGAAGTCACAACTTTGTAGCAAGGTTTATGCCCATTTAGCTACCACCTTAAATCAGAATTTCAAAAATCTGCTCCACATATTGAGAATTAGGGACTCTGTGCATAAACAGTAGATTACTGTTCTGCAAACCTGATCCGAGACCGACCCGACCAAATACGGACTTCTGGTCGGATCAGGTCGGTTTTCCATCATTTCAGTCGGGTCGGGTTGGTTTCGGTTTTGCATAATTTGCAATTCTCGAGCCAGGTTTGGTCAGTTAAGCCATCTTGTGAAAAACCCGAAATAAACTGATACAGTTAGGAAATGCACGCGGTGCAATATTATTGCGGAGTTACTGTGCCCGGTACAACCACCGCCAACCCACCGCGCAAATATGCATGTGTTTTATGGTCTTCACGCACAGTCCATAACGTGTAGGCTCCAGTAGGTCACATTGTGAATCTTCATCATATACCCTACAGTGTGACTCTGTTACAAAGAGACGACGAAATTCACGCGACATTGGTTAAGGCACAAAAAGCAGATACAGTTGCCCAAGCTAGATATTCAGGTTTTTTCGGGTCAGTTAATTCTGTTTCTTGTCGGTTCGGGTCGGTTTTGCTTAAATTTTTGTCGGATTTGGGGAGTTCAGATCGGGTTTCGGTTTGCGCATGTTTGGCACTAAGAACGCACAGTATACAAATATTGAGTGGCTCAGAGTGAAATAGGAGGAATATAATCGCAAGGTTATATCCGGACTTTTCCATTTCACGAGGCAAGATTTTACGGAGTGATAATATTTCTCCCATAATTTCACAATTTAAAGCCACTCAATATTTGTTTTATATACCTGACATATAGATCCTTGTCATTTCATATATTTGAACTTTTATATCATTACAAAATTGGTGGAAAATGTATTTCTCTCTTCCAAACCACCCCTTCACGAAAATGTTTGAACCCAACTCTCTAGCGCTGGCTCTTTGAACAATTCGCACTACGCGCAACGCTGAACGCGCACACCAGCATGCATTTGCACACAAATACCACGTCATGGAACAAGCATCAATATTAAGTCTTGAATAGTATTTCCCATTCCCCATGGGTGAATGGGACTTTTTGAGCCCTGGCGTGAATGAGAGCAATAACGAATGTCACGTGATGTGAGTTCCACCAATCAAATGACAAGGATCTGTATGTCAGTTATATAATTTATTTTTTAGTGGTAATTTACCAACTGGCATATGGTGGCACCTGCAGGCATATGGTGGGAATATGTGGCCCTCCAGCATGAAAACCAGTTGCTTGGACCAATTATTGAAAACTGGGATTTTGGGCTCATTGGAAAAGCACAGATAATATGCTTTCCCAGTGAATTATAGAATATGGGAAACGGACAAAATCTAACAGAGTTATAGGTATTTTCAGGCATGCAACTATTCCTCGGATCTGCTGATTTCCTCGTTTTTTACTTCTCATGAATGCCATTACAGATGGAAAAACACTGTACAAAGTCTTGTATGGTTTGGAATTTCCTCCGTCGTTTTTTCTAAATTTCCAGTTGCATGCCTGTATTTTTAGTGTCCATTTTTTTTTTTTTTTGGTGCAATTTCTGAGTATTTCCAAGCCTTTTTGTCACATCTTCGCACAGGATCAAGTATTGATACATGTACTTAAGATAAGCATTTTACCAGGCCTGCATTCTACAAATTAACTTCATTAAAAGTGAAATATATTCACTATAACTTACACCCAACTATGATTTTCGGTAAGTTTTGCCTGTACAATGTATCATAGGTTGTTTCTCAAAATATGGCTGTGCGACTGCAGTATTTTTGGTTGTAGCATGAAAGCAAAATTGAAGTCTTTGAATCTTGGTCCAGCTCCAACTTCTTTTTTTTAAAGCCACATTAATATAGTCAGAGCCCTCACATCTGGAATCAAGAAGTCTTTTGTATGGTTTATCATTACAGGTGCAAGTTGACAACTGTCGATCCTGAGACTGGTGTGATTAGAAGTGACGGCGAGCCGCTGGCAACTCTCAAACAGTGAGTCTAAATACCCCTTTAGAATTTTGTTTTGTGACAAAAGTGAATTAATTATTATGAAATAGTAATTTACTTGACTGTGAGTAAATAATAGTCTCAAGCATCCTGTGAAATCAGTGCGCCTGGTATGCCGTCATATTCAAGAAAAGTGGAATTTTGTATCACTTTCCAATGAAGGTTCTGCCAAACCGAACCATTGTTGGAAAATAGCGGCTTTATTCCAAATACTGTCTCCAAATTACCAAATTCAGTTCAGCCACATTCTGTTTGCAATGGGTTATATATCTGTGAACAGGCGCAAGCCAGTTAGTCTGACATGAATTCTCTGATGTCAATAAATTGTTCAGTTTCGTCTGAAGCATCAGGTCAGGGAACCTGTTTTTTTTTTCCGGTAAAACTTTATATGTTTTCAAGATTGTTGCTTACATCATAAACTAACACCTGAAAAAAAATTACGAAATTTGAAGCCTATTGTTTTTCGTAATTCAAGGTCGAAGATCATTTCTTTACGCATTTTCTCTGCGCTTCATGATACGATTTTGGTTTTATTTTATGAAGTAGAGGCCATTCAAAGAGCTTTAATATGCAGAGTTGTAATGACTCGAGTCAATGACTCGACTCGAGTCCGACTCGAGTCACATATTTTGGCGACTCGACTCGACTCGAGTCCCGACGGGTAAATGACTCGACTCGACTCGAGTCACTGCGAGCAAATGACTCGACTCGACTCGAGTCCCTCATCAGAATGACTCGACTCGACTCAAGGAAGGCTAATAAGACTCGAGTCCCAAAATAAAAGCAAAACTTACTTGCGAAAAATATTTGCAATGACTTACGCTGCGCCGTTCGCGTTGCCAGTTTTTGTTCACGTCACGTTAATGTTCGCGAATAATGTACGTTTATATACAGCGGCAGTCTGTTTCCTTCCTCCATAATGAAACAACAAACATACACCGTGTCGCGGACTCCCACCTTGTGGTTCTATAGCATGTAAGGCTAAACCCGGAACCAGACTTAAAACGCATTTCTCAATCCGTGGTTTCATCATTGGTTTCGGGCGATTTTGAAGTTCTTGGTGGAACGCTGGCTAAATTCATGTCCCGATTTCACACAAAAAATGGATACGGACGGGCCCACCTTTAAATAATCAGAAACAGTTTTGTATAATGCAATTAGGTTTTAACGTTGTCAGCGATCAGCGAACAACAAAATCTAGACCCGAAGCCAAACCAGTTGTTAGACCGAAGTTTCACATCTTCTTATCTGTGACGTGAGCTAGCAATGGAAACTGTTGGTTGGGTACCATACAGCATACTTTATGTCTTTGGATATCCGTAATAGACTGGTGCCTTGTATTCTTTCTCTCTTGTGTTTGTTGCTTTTTATTGTAATTTAGTGTTCAAATATTTGTGACTCGAATTGACTCGAGCTAAATACTTGACTCGTCTCGACTCGACTCGACCACACTCTGTGACTCGACTCGATTCGACTCGACCTTGTTGACCTAATGACTCGACTCGACTCGAGTCACTTCTTTAAAATGACTCGACTCGACTCGAGTCACAAAAATCAGTGACTCGTTACAACTCTGTTAATATGATGTACAACTTGGCTTTGTAGGCGCTATCGTTTTGGAGATACAAGTATTTAAAGTTTGGAGGTCATGCTAATTACCGGTAGTCAAAGTTTGTTGACCCGTATCTCAAAATCTAACAAGTCAAACTACAAAAAGTTCAGTTCTGGGGGTTTCTCATATAAGCCAATCATCACACCAAATACCGTTTCAATCTGTGAGGGCCGGGTCCAAAATTGTGTTGAATTGTCACGGAATGACTCGTAAAATTTTCACGGTAAAACTTGAAAATAGCACGGACAGTACATATTTCAATTTAGGAAGGTTGAGGATACTGACTTACTCCCTCTGCAGGTATCGCACCGTACCCAAGACGGAACTGGACAGCAAGCCCCTACGGGGCGCCCCAGTCTTTGGAGCCAATTTGATTGTAGAGGCGTCCGGCACCATCAAAGTTGGCGACACTGTGTACGCAGCACAGTAAAACTACAGTCCTGTTGAAGCACTCAGCACTCAAAGGGATGAAAATAAGTAACTTTGTGAATTTGAAGGTCATCAATACTGAGGTTTGGCAAGACTACTTGGTGATATCTGAGGGAAAAGGAAATGCGCACAACTTTAGGGTATAATGGTAGCCATTGTGGATCTTTATTATATTATCATAATCTTCAAGTCTCCAGTATTCTTTAGAAATTGTTATTTAAGTAAGGATGTGTAAGTAAAATCCCAAAATTATACTTTTCAAAAATAAAAAAATAAACATCTACCCAAATATGGGAATAAATATATTACACGGCAGGGATTAACGCTTTATGCAAATTAGGCACTCTTCCCAAAAGAATTTCATGTGTCACCCCTTCTAAATATCTTCTTTAGGGCTATGAGAATCTATCTGCCAAGTTTGGTGCTAATTGGACCAGTCGGTCACAGTTCCAACCGTATGCCACCTGACTATTAGTAACCACAGCATTTCGCACTGACTATCACCAGTCTGTGCTAACTGTGCTAGCAGAAATATTCCGTGATAACCCTGGCCAAGTTTGGGCAAGGACCATTTGTTGACTAGTGGTTGCATGTGACGTACCTTACGCCTGCGCACTGATAGCAACGTGCGAACGTCTCTAGTCAAACGCTGGTCAAAATGTCATTGCAAAACGTCTGGATCCTGGCTCCCTGCTGTACGTTATGAATGCGCGCGGCTATTGGTTACCAGCGATGCAACCAGCCCCATAGTTGGTTCCAAATAGTTGACTAGCGTAGTCAACCACCGTCGACTAGACAGAGTTTGGGCTAACTCTAGTCGAACTGAGCAGAGGTATGAAATTTGGCCCGGCATCTGAGAGAGTTAATGCTTGGGATAATATAGAATACGCTATTACACTTGCCAAGAAATATGGCTTATTTTGTTGGGGGAAAAAACACGAATTGTTCAAAGTCCAACACTGCTTATAATTACCAAACAATTGGCACATTTCTTACTGCTCAAATTAAAATGTGGGGAACATTTCCCAATTATAGTTATCGTGACTATAGGCAATCTTATATTTGTCAAAAGTATTTTCAGATGGGTAGCTGATATATTTAGGTTGATACGGGTTGTTAAATTTCACTTCAAACGGGTTGCGAGAATTAAAGCCCTATTAGTGGATTTTTTAATTGTATCAGGTGGTTTACCAAAGCTATATGGAATTTTATGTTACTTTTAGCTTTTCTTATTTTTTTTTTGAAATTCACTTCAAAGCCATAACTGCTTTGGAAATGTATCAGGTGATTATATTTGAGATTTACCAAAGCTATGTTATGGAATTTTATGTTACTTTTAGCTTTTCTTATTATTTTTTTTAAATTTCACTTCAAAGCCATAACTGCTTTGGAATTAAAAAAAAATAGAATGACATCGTGATAAACACTGGAAAAAAACAATACTGAAATGTCATAATATATCTTGTACAAATAAACTTGAGATCTCTAGTAGACAAATAATAGAATCATAATTTGTATTCAAAAAGGTATATTTTAGAATCATAATTTGTATTCAAAAAGGTATATTTTAGAATTAAGAGAAAAAAGAAAAGAAATTGAAGTTCGTGCCATCATTTATATGCCAGTGTGCCTTTACGTATGAATGGAATGGGTCGAACCATAATGTCTATAACTTTAGTGGGGATAAACATACTACATGAACAATAGTATACAAATAATGAATGTTTGTGAGTGCAATGGTAAGAATAATTTCACGAGGTGACAGATGAAATGTTCCATTCCACAAGGCGAAGCCGGGTGGAATGGAACATTTCATCTGCCACCGAATGAAATTATTCTTTCCATTGCACGAACGTGAAACATTCATTATTTGTTTTATATAACACCTGAATGAATCCTTGTCATCTGATTGGTTGACTTTTAATAGCCAATTTATTCAGGTTAAAAACTGTTTAAAAGTTCAACAAGTTCATATTTTATTAATGCAAACTGTTCAACAGGTTGAGAACAATCATTTTCAATTTATCTCGATTTAAAACAGCGCCACCACCGGCAGCAGTGACACTGTGCTATGGAATTTTCTATTCACGCGCCGTGCGTTGGTACGAATAATTCAATGACATGTGATCAACGATCCACCAATCAGATGACGGGGATTTATGCAGGTGCTGTATAATATAGACTGGTTTATTAAAAATCATCGTGGCGGCACATGCCGAATTAAAATGGCAATACAATATTAAACCATTAGAAACAAAAAATCAAATAACATTAAAGGGCATTAAAGGGTCAGTATATTTTGTAATAATCATTACAATCATCGAGATTGCACTCAGGAATATTCGTCATTATTCTCTAAAAAAAAAATCATATCAACGATTTCAATGACAATATATATGTATTCGATTATGTTACCAAATAAGAACTTGAACATTAATGATGTGATATTTAAAACATGCACGAACTCTACTTGAATTACATTAAGTCAAATAAGTACATGTGCATTAACTAGATATTTGATTACTTCATTAACTCCTTCATATCTGATTAATGGAAGAACTCCTCAAATTACATTAAAAGATTAATGTCAATAAGTGTGTGCAAGCTCATGCCAAAATGATCATGATCAAGCAAATTGTTTAATGCTATCATGCCAAAAATGATCAACTACCTCAAAATGTTTTTTGTGCGTTGCCTTCTATTGGACAATGTACAAGTATAAAAATGAGCTCAACAGGGTTCCATACTGAGGAAGAATAAAGGTACTTGGATTTTCAAGAAAGGTCTTTTTAAAACAGACATTGAATTTAACTGATTGTACAGATATTTTAAAGCAGAATTATAAAGAACACTTCACATTTTTAGCAGGGATTTGTTCCGATGGAATAAATATTAGTCAATTAGACAGTGAATTCATTCCATACAAATATTATCGCTACTCATCCGACTATAGTATTTCATTGTGTAGCACGTGTGTGATCAATAATATAAGAGCATTATTAAGAACATGACAGTTTCGCATTTTAGTTCTCCGTGTTTTTATCATGCTTGTAGTTGAGCTTATTAAAAAGTGACATATTTGTCTGATTTACTTACACTGGTTGTATGATTTGTTCATTGCTTGTAATATTTGGTTGTTTGGGTGTTTTTTTTTGCTTGAAATCCAGAGGGAACAAGGGAATCTCTTGAAAAATACTTTCTTATAGCCCCTCCCCAGTCCCCACCCCTCCAGAGCCTGGGAGTTGGGGGGGGGGGGGGGGTTGGGGGGTTGGTGATCATTTGAACCAACCAAGAATCCTGAGGTCCATTTCTTTTCTTTTCCTTTTTTCCTTTATTCTTCCTTTGTAATTTGTTTTTATTTGTTCACCATTTGCTTTGGACCAAGTGTTTAATATTCATAATGCAACATAGTACTTGCAGTCCTACCTTGTGTGTAAAGAAAAGTGGCCTATGCCTGAATCTATATATGTCCATCCCTATCCCAGATTATCTTTACTTTCATTTATCGGCTTCAGCTCCCTGCAATTGCCAATGGAGGAAACCTTGGGCCCTTCCCCACGCGAAACGGCCGGTGTGGACGGATACTCTGCCCCCTCCCCCCGGACAACTTTGCCCGGCTTGTCTAGGATATTGTGTCTCCTCCTGAGACAGTTTATCATAGGGTAATTGTCTCTCTCTAGGTTATTCTGTATCGGTTACGCTTGGGGGGGGGGGATACATTCCCAGCCCATGCGTAGCCACCGGGGGGGGGGGGGGGGGGGTGGGGGGGCGACTGCCCCCCCCATGAAACCTTGTCGCCCCCCCCCCCCCCCCAACGAGATTTTGAGTTTCTAAAAAAATTATCATTGATCTACATGACGCCATCAAATGTCCCCCCCCCCCCAGATTTTTGAACTCGTGTCTCATTTACAGGGCCCTATTATGTACTACAATGTATCTTTTGCTCAGAAAATATTGGTTAAAGTGGTCAGAAATTGCCTCAGATAGCACCACAGAGCATTTAGAATCCAAATTTTTTTGGGGCCCTTAAGCGGGCCCCGAACCCCACGCCTATAGCTCAGAATTCTGGTAGCTGATTCAATGACTCCAACCTCGAAAACAATGTTAAAAAAACTTTCTTATGCCTTTAGCTGAGAAAACCTCGAAAATTATGTTTCAATTATTATGTTTTGTGTTAAGATAATTATTGGTTAAAGTGGTAAGAAATTGCCTCAGATCACACCACAGAGCATCGAGAATCCAATTTTTTTTCGGGGCCCTTACTGCTTAGGGGACACGTTTCCCCAGGATATTCTGTGCCCCCCCCCCCCGACCGTTGTGCGGGGGACAGAATATTCCCTGCCACACCCTGCCCACAAAAAAAAAGTGAGCACTGTAGCTGTAAAATGATCAATGGGCGCGGCTAGACTCTGGACACCATCATCTGACCAACATTGGGCATTATACAACACCTGAATAAATCCCCGTCATCTGATTGGTGAATTGTAGATCACGTGACATATTATTATTCGGTATAATGCACGGTGCGACCATGCGTTATACCCGTGCGTTATACCGTTTCACTTTGCGCTTGTTCCATGACGCGGTATTTGCGTGCAAAATGCATGCTGGTGTGCGCGTTCAGCGTAGCGCGTATTGTTCCAAAGAGCCAGCACTACAGCGTTGGGTTCAAACATTTTCGTGAAGGGGTAGTTCAACATCTTTAAAATCGAAATAAATTGTAGTTTATAATTTACCAATCAAATGACGAGAATTTATTCAGGTGTTGTATAAAACAAATAACGAATGTTTTACGTTCGTGCGATGGAAAGAATAATTTCATTCGGTGACAGATTGAATGTTCTATTCCACTCGGCTTCGCCTCGTGGAATAGAACATTCAATCTGTCACCTCATAAAATTATTCTTACCATCGCACTCACAAACATTCGTTATTTGTATACTAGCATTGATCTCCATATACACTGTGTATATGGAGATCAATGGGCACTAGCAAACGATATTTGACACCCATGGGGGTGCTGTTTATTCAAAGCGGACGATGTTTGACACTAATATAGGGGGCGCTGTTCATTCTGGAGACGATGTTTGACACTAATATGAGGGCGCTGTTCATTCAAAGCGGACGATTTTGACATTATAGAACAATAGGTGGCGCTATTTTGCTGACCGAAACACACGATTTTGCCCCTAAAAACCCACTGCTAGCGTTCGTTTTAATTAATTTTCGCGACAATCGATTATTGAGTCGTTATTTTTAAAAAAGGTCAATTAAGTTTTTTCTGTTATGGTTCCGTGTAATCATTGTAATCCGATTAAATCGATTGGCCAGCGCGGATTTTGGCTACAAATTTATTGTTAATTTGTTGTCTATTGGTGGCGCCCTTCATGGTATTTGGTTCGAAATTTGAAAGCACAGGACACATGCAGGATAGACAGTAATTCTTACAAAAAAAGATTTAGGCTACTTGTTTTTATCATATTCACGGCCTAGCAGGGATCGGAGCTTGTGATTAAAAATATGAATGGTCTAGCTAAGAGTAAAGGCATGACAACCACCACCACCAGAAGCAAAAAGATACCTGGAAGAAGTTTCGAAAAACCAAAAACATTAAGGTAGGCAATTGTCATCCTATTTTTGTTGATGTCCCCTAACGTGGCGCGGCCCCCAACGTGGCGCACTTTGATTTTTCGCCTGTAGCGCCCACCTAGAGCAAAAGTTCTAACTGAAATTTCACAGAAAGTGAAATTTCATCAAGTTCTAAACACTCCTATTCATAAATCGCGAGTTTATTTACCTGTATTGGCCGTAACAAATTTAGAAGAAAACATTATTTTGGCGTTATTTTCCGATATTATTTTCAAGTGCAAAGTGAACCCTTTGAAAATGCCCCAAAAAACAAGAAAATGATTTTCTGACAAACATCTGCATCTGGCTGGGTATGTAATTGTAAGTAGAGATAATAATTATTTATCAGAATTTATCAAGTTTACAGAAATTCTTAAAATGTTATTTTGGAATTTTCCGAGATTTATTCAAGTGCGCCACGTTAAGGAACACTCCGCCAATTTGTGCCCAATTTCCGGACGCCACCGTTTTGGAATTTTGGATTCAATTTTATGAAACTGCAATTGTTCACAGAGGTTAAATAGCAAGCATTAATAAGGTAAAAGTACCAGTATTTTACTGCATGAATTTGAGGTTTGTCAACAAAGAGGTTTGGCAACACTACACGAGGAAAGTCGGGTAGGCTTTGAAGTGCGCCACGTTAGGGAACACGACTATTCTGAGCTTGGAAATAGCAAAGCAACCACTCTTTTCCCCAACAAAACTATAGAGTAGGCCTACATGCATGTACATTTAGCTAATTTGTTTCTTTTCAATATTGAAATTTTGCCCTTACTGATGCATTTTATAAACGCAGTACATACTCAGATCAGTGTAGTCCCGACATGCCCGAGTGATTGTGAGAAAAATGTCACCAACTTATGAATATTTTTTCCTGTTTTTAAGAATGAACTGTTTTTTTCCCCTTTATTTTAAGAATGAACTAAAGGTTTTTTTTTTAATACTTACTTTTGCTTCACTTTCAACATGTTCAACTATACAGCTATACACAGCTGAAGGAAGAGAACGGCATCTTGAAACAACGTAGCGTTGATCTCGAGAACAAGGTTTCCAAGCAGAGCAGTGCTCTAAATGTTGCACAGGTACATAATCGTGCTCCAACTACATGTACATGTAAGACTTGTGAAGAGTATCACAAAGCTCTGAACATGTTGACTCACATCGTGGCATGGGTTGCGATGTAACAGGTCTCAATGTGTGAGTTATGACACATACTACGCATTATTTCAAAACACGACAAGGTAAACCTACAGGGTGGTGCAAAAACAAGGAAACCCACTTTTTACAGCAATTTTCACCTACTTGTTCAGCATATTTCCAAAATTCAATTTAATGGTATTAAAATATTGATCTTTACCGTTAGGGGACGAAAAAATGATTGCAAATGCATGTTTTGTCTCTGTTATGGTAGTTTAAAAATTTAATGTGCCAAACCTGTTTGTCCACGGACGGCTTTATTCCATCCGCTTGACTGAGCTCCGGAGCTTGATTTGAAGACAATAAAACACTACACTAGACTTACACATGGACAACAGTGATTTTGGTGACTTGTATTCAAATTAGCATAATAACACTATTTTGCCAATTTGTTTTAAAAAGATTTTTTCACCACTTATGGTTAAGAGCTATACTTCAATACATTATTAAAAAACCCCAGTTCAAATAAGTTGAGAAAGTAGGTTAAAATTCCTGTCAAAAGTGGGTTTCCTTCTTTTTGCACCACCCTGTAGTAAAGCTTGCCCAGGACAAATTTACAAGTGACAATGGGGGAGTCAGTCAGTCAGTAAGTCAGGCGCAAAAAGGACTATAGGATGGTTTGCCCTAGCAAAAAAAGTGGAAGATAAGATGAAGTCATCGTCAGGAGAAACTCTGAATTAAAGTCTCTTTCCAATTGCCTAGGTGGGTAATATAATAGGCTTAAGCCTTTTTGACCACATATCCTTGTTTATTCCAGTAGGAATCTAGCTTGCTTTTTAATAGAGTTGATTACATGTAGCATTCACAACTTCAGCAGGGAGACATTGATGATCATAATTGATAGGAAGTTCTTTCCTGATGTTCAGTCCAATCTGTAAGGCTGGTTTGAATAACTTATACCGGCGTGACCCCCAGGTCTTGGCTTTTTTGGAAGAGCTTTTCTTCAATTTCTTCCAGCCCATTCAGGATCTTAAAAACCTCACTAAGGTCTCCTTTCAACCTGCTTTTCTCCGGGCTGTACAGCTTTAGCTCCATGAGATAACTTCTTAAAGGAATACTTTTTAATCCGAGTCGTAAGCCTTTGATGGGAACCTTCATGCATCTTCCGTATCACCAACCGTGCTTGATTCTTAATTGAAAACAATGGAACATTCTTTGTTCTTTGTACTTTTAATGGACAGTAATCATATAAAGTTTTAATTGATGGCTACTGCCTTCCTTAACTTGTACCTTCCAAAATCCTTCAAAATCCCGCAGAGGTTAAAATGAAGGATTTTGCAGGATAAGGGCAGTAGATCCCATCGACTGTCAGTTCAAATGGGGCTTGATGCCCTTCGAGAGATAGATGCATGCACCCATTGATTTCCAACACACTGAAGGAATTTGGAGGGAAAAGACTAAGAGGTTTAGGGTTAATCCTGCGAAACCCTTCAACCCTTTCGATGGATTTTGAAGGATTAGGGAAGGTTGAGGTTTAAAGGTAACATACAACATTTGCAAACATAAAAATATAAAAAATTATCAAATGATTATGAAATACCTTACTTGAATTTTTGAATTAATTTCCCGGCAATGATGGTTGGCCGACCGTCTTTGGAAAAAACTGACTTTTTTTTTCAAATACTGCCCTAAATGTACCAAATTTAGTTAGTCCACATATTGTTTGCAATCGGTTACACATACGTGGTGCAAGCCAGCAAGTCTGGTTCCGGACGTCTAGGAATTGTTCTATTTTTTCTGAAGCAGGGTCAGAGAACCAGACTGCAAGAACACCATTTTTGGGGGATTTTCCAGCAAAATATGAGCTTAGACATTTTATACAGATCAGTGTAACACTATTTGCTAAAAATACTTAACTCTCCCAAATCCATCCATATCTGAAAATTACAGCAAAAGCAAATGTTGAGTATTACCTTTACGGCTTTTTAAACTAAAAAAAAAATAAAGAATTTAAATGTTACCATGTCTAATTCATAACCGTCTGTCCGTCAATTATTAGAGGAATGCCAAGACGTTTGAGAAGGAAAACAAGACGTTGAAGGAGCAACTTGAAGAGGAAAAGCAACAGAACACAGGTCAGATGCTCAGAAAATCACAATTTTTGCTGAATTTTTGAGCAACCAAAAAACATGTCGCTTTTTACTACCATTCAGGGCTGTCGCTAGAGGGGGGGGGGGGGGTGACACCCCTCCATTCAAAATTTCTGTCGGCAAATCCATAATTGTTGTTGCCAAATTTGTAAAATTGAGGGCCTTTTATATTTAACTGTTGTCAGCAAATTTTGAATTCTGAGGAACTTTTTTTTTTTTGCTTGTTTTTTTTGTTGCAAGTTTGTCGGCAAATTTTACTTTTCACACCTCCCATAAATTTTCTGTCAGCAAATTTGTAAATTTCAGGACCCTTTTTTTTTTGGCTTGTTGGATATTTTGCACGCAAACTTGTCTGCAAATTTGGTTTGACACCCCCACCCCCCATTGAAAATGTTTTAGCGACGTCCATGCTATTATTGAAGGGTCGAGGCCACAACGTCTTTGTACAGGACACTTGTATCAATCAAGTGCCTATTGGTACTCCAATGCATATGGGTTATTTTAACCAATCAGCTGGGGATATAGCCAGTCTGGGAAAAATACAGAGACTCCTGGAATTTAAAGCTAGCATGGAAATTCCTGTAAAATGCATGGAATTTTGTTACTGTACAAGGAGTCATGGAAAGCTGATATTCCAAGAAAAGGGTCATGGAAAAGTCATGTTATCCTGCACAACCCATACGTGATGAGGTGTAATGTTTGGCTGTGACAGTCCTCCAGTTTGCATTCCAGTTTACTATACTTCCTCTTTATGCATGTATGCTCTATCCTTGTTGCATGTTCAGTGCACCATTGTGATGCTTTTGTGGTGCTCAGTGGTCTCGTGTCAAACTGGAAGGCTGAAAGGGAGTGGCGTCCCTTGCCTCAGTGTGATGACTGGCCAGTGTATTGCAAATAGGCTCCTAAGATGCAAAAAAGAAAAAGTGTAGGAATGGGACATGGAAAACCTTAATTTTGTCCTGGAAAAATCATGGAATTTCATTTTAATATTACAGTGGGAACTCCACTTAAGGCATGGACCTTGGAGATATGGGGATTTCCAAATCTTGCATTCGTATCCTGCTTTGGCAATTGTTTATAAGTATTGGGTATGTACATGTGGCCAAAGTTATTTGGGCATTAACCCTCCTGCTGTCTGATCAGTCACAGACAGTCAAACATTCCATCCTCTTCCCCTGCCATGCCTTTTACACAGGCTAGTCACCAACAGTCAGATCACATTTCAAGCAAGCACTGTGACTAGTCAAATTCAGTCAACAGACAAAAACAGGCAAGTGGTAGGTGCAGCTGGCTTAGCAATCACCTACAGTCGGAGCATAGCCGTATCAAGTTACATAAACAGTCACAGCCAGTCAATCCTGCTTTATGTTGACTGGGAGCTCTTAACTGTTGAAAACAGTCACTTGTTTGATTTTGACTGAAAGGACTGCCTGGCACAGAATGTATGGTTGCGTAGGAGGTTTGGAGTCTTGAACTTGGGATGAATTAAGCCACAGTGGGAGAAAATGCCACGGTTTTGGGAATGGCCAAAGAGGCCAATTCCATGTGCTTGAAATTCCAGGCTCAACATAATGTACAGTATAAAATAGCAGCAGTTTTATATGTTTGTATTTGGACCACAGAATACGTTGAAAGTGTGACTAAGGAGTGGACTGCACAAAAAGAAACACTCACAGATAAACTGTAAGTATTAACAAGTTGTCTAGAAACATCCATGCAACATTCAACCGTAATCGTCAGTGTAAAATACCTGCAATTTTAATTTCTGTGAGAAACATTTTGGTGTCCTTTACGACCACCTCAAAATTCTGAGACAAAATCTCACTTGTGTAATGCCTTACAGTGAGAAAGTGGCTTTGAAAACTACAGGAAAGGTTCTTGGTGAGTTTGAATGCATGTAAGCGTTATTTTTGTATTTTTAAACAGAGTGCGCTGTGAGACGAAGTTGGAGGACCTAGGTGTTAATCCAGGTATGGCTTCAGTAAAATATCATTAGAATCTTCCCAAGTTTCTTACCTGTATTGAAAAACAGCATTACCCCAAAAAGTTGTGCAAGCAGACATCTGACGATGGAAAGCGCTATATAAGCACATTTATTATTATTATCTTTTAAATTTCTCAAAAAGTATCCAACATCAGCATTTCATGTTGATGGAATGTTTTGTTTGTACTCTTGTGTATAATCACAGAGAAAATTTGATGAAAACGCATTCATGCAAACCAAAGATACAACAGATTACAAATGGCGATGTGTTTTTCCCCCGTTCCAATGTGATTTACACAGTTGGGCAATTCCACCGTCACTCACGTTACATTTATATGCCATGAGGCTACTTTGACCTCTCACTGCTTGAAAAGTATTTGATGAAGCTGAATCAAACCAGACACGCACCAACCTTGGGGTAAGGGGTACTCAAAATGGAAAGAAAAATTCAATCCATTCCATTCATTCACTTTTTCAAAACATGTGTTTTGTTGGTCGTCACTCACGTTACAAAAAAGGACATGGAAAATTGTCCTGCACGTTTGCTGTTACAGTCTTCTCAAGGGACATTAGATTACAGGGAGGTACCGTCACTCACGTTACATCACTCACGTTATGTCACTCACGTTACTTCCTCTATGACTTCTAACACGGCATAAAATCTGAGTTTGATGAACTGCAACATAGTGAAACACTTTTCTTATAATAAATGAACCTTTCTCTCTGCCTTGAACACAAAAACTCTCAATAACAGTCACATTTTGCATGTTAAAACAAGGTGCCAAAATGACTACCAAAATTCCATGATTTTAGCCAAAAACCAGATTTTTTTACCCAGATTCACACTTAACTACATTCAATCTCATTGGCACACCACTCAAATGAAAGATCTTGTTGTCCCCTTTAATTTGACACCACAACATGTGATGTTGTGATGTTTGATGATGATGATGATGATGCTTGTTTGGAAGATTTTATACAGTTTTCACTTTCTAGCCATGTCCACTTCTTCGTGGAATTGCCCAGTTAACCAAAAGACCCATTGCAGAGTGCCGGTTGAGCAATTTCCAATGCAATGCGTAATACCCATTGGAATGATTGAAAAAGACACATCTTTTTATAATCTGTTACAGCTCTGGTTTGCATGAATGGGTTTCCCTGACATTTTCACTGATTATACACAAGAGTATAATTAATATGATCCATCAAAATGAAATACTCATATTGGGGACTTTTTGAGAAATTTAGCGATATCTGCTTGCACAATTTTTTGGGTCACCCTTTATACAGTTACACAAGTAGGAATCAAACGTAAGCTCCCAGGCTTTGTTGACTGTTCTCCAAGAAACGAAGTTGTATAAGACAAGTGGAAAGTCCAGGTCCTTTTGCAAATTTATACTAAAACACTGCTTTTTGGTCCAAAATGTGTGAAACTATGTAATTTGAAAATAGTTAAAACTGGCCAAAGAGGCTAATTCCATTCCAGTTTCAAATTGTAAATAGTGAATAAAATTGATGATTAAAATACCCAGTGGTCCTTTGTACATTATCTTCTATCTTACAATATTTGTTACTTTGCAGTGACTTTGAGTGACTGCAGCAATACAGAGGATGAGGATGTGTCAAAGCGAGAGGCCTTGGTGAGAACCCTTATGTTTGTTGAAAACTTTTCCATGGCTAACTTTTTACTGTGGCAATAAGTACTTTACGCCTGGATTATTTCAAAGTTTGATGGTGGTACGTGCAGTGTTTTTCTTTTGCAGTAACATTTTTCTTTTGTGGTAAAACCCAATTCTAGGCTTTTACCATATTTACACTTTTCCCTCGGAAATTCTTGTGCCATTGGCGTTTTTCTTTTCACCAGCCTCAGGCATATTTAGATGTCAACCGGCCCCAGTAAAAAAATGCCAAAAGCTGCTCGAACATGTATATCCATCTCCTGCCCCTTGACTACTCCACACGTGATGCGTTACCACGTTAACCGCCACTACAGAACAAAACTAGATGTGTTTACAAGTCCTCCGTGCAATTGTCACAGGAAACTGTTGCGTGTTTGCATGTCCTCCAGCATTAAGTGGTTAAAATTGCCTTGACAGTTTTCACGGCCCTGGTTACTGTAAGCAAATAACCTTCCATAACTTAAGCATGAAACAGTTGAATTTTTTCAAGGGTTAATGAGGAGTTTTGTTAGCATGAGGAGTTTTGTCACCCCTTGTTCACATAAGCAAGACAAGGCACGCATAGCAAAACCGGTTCCATAGTGGGAAAATTCTATTCAATTGATTCAGAATGGCAAAAAAAGTTCGCAGAATAGATCTCTCTCATAGGACGCCATCTTTTTCGAAAAAATTACAACTGCATATTCAACGCTATCAGGTGTGTGTGTGCGTTGCTCGAAATTTCTTCAAAATACGGCACAGCCGATACGTGTCATGAAAATTTGACGCCCAAATACCGATGCACGTGGCAATCTGTAGGAAGTGACGTCATTTTAGAGACCTATAAGCTATGGTGGTAACTTGATGGAAACGAAAAATCCACTTTCGCCATTCGCATGGAGACTTGACTTATTGCCTAAACATGTATCATGAAAGTTCATGTGCACGAAAGAAGCGAAGCCAGATTAATGCATGTGTGGTGTAGATGCTACAAGACGTACATTATGTATAGGCAAGCTTTGTAAAATGGGTTCCAGTCTACCCTATCTGTGCAAATCACAAGTGACACTCAGTACGGGTAACAAGTAACCAGTCTGTGACAAGTGACAGTCAATGAGTCACGAATCGACAAAAGGACATCAGGCTGGCTCCTCTGAGACCAGCACAAAGTGACTAAAATGGTTGTGCACACATTCATGTGCCCTTGATTTCTCATGAGATTTCATGGAAAGTTTTCCTTTTCACAATTTGTGTTTCAGAAAAGGGCAGTCGTTCTGAAGGAGAAGTTGGTGGAGAATATCTCAAACGGCCAGAACCTCCTCCACAAAATTCAAGTGAGTAGGATTTTTGTTACCCTTAATAAATACTGCAGTGAATAGGCAAGTGAAATATACTTTGGAGATGTCCGATTTGGCGAGATTGACTGCAAAATAACATATCTCCCCAGTGCGAGAATTTCTATGCAAACACATTAATTAACCCTAACCCTGCCAGACAGTGCATCAGGTGTCAAAGTCTGTGGGACCTTGCTGCATTGGGCAATCAACACCAGTGCATAAAAACAATGGGAGCTTGTTCCCATTGAACAATGCCACAGTTGTATCCTGCTGCAGTTGGTGACCACAGACTCTAAGGCAGTTTGGCCTGAACTTTGTGACCCGATGCATCTTGCTACACTAGCAGGCTTGCCATTTTGACAAGTGTTGCATGTTGCTGCATTCAGCAGGGTTTCTAGCCATAGCACCCCAGGGGTTTAGGGTTCATCAAAGTAAGATATTTGATTTGTCAAGCTGCAACAAGTTTACTTGCTGTGACAGAAGTGTTAAAAAGCACAGTGAAATCATGAATGCAGAACTAAAGTCACACAACTGGTTGAACTATCAAATTTCTTTCTTGATCTTTTGACAGGAAATCACAATGCAGAGTCGAGACGCCTTGAAACAACTGGACAGCTGAGGAAGTGATGTATATACATGTATGTTATTCATACTTTGCCAACTGTGGACCAACTTTTTTTGAAGTGGATCATTTCTCCAAGAATGTTATTCAATTGTGTACTTATATGAAAGGTTTTCTTACCCTCTGAACATTTTGTATGCTCTGAGTAGTTCCTAAAAGAGGCAAATTTTGTGACCTTGTGTTTAAAATATTAAAATGTTTTGTACAAAACAACATACACTAGCTTTCGAAAGCTCCATCAGGGATGTTAGTAGGCTCTGAAATTTTTGTGCGAATTTTGAGGTTAACAAGAGTGTACAAAGATGTATGGCAAAAAAATATGAACTGTGTAATCATATTTTAAACCATCAACTTTTTTGTGTTGCTAAACACAGCAGGCATAACATTTTTTTGATATCAGAGAAAATACATCACAATAGAAAGAAATGTGTGCATCTTTCAGACCTTTCATCCAGTTTTGAGACTTCTTTTTAAGTTGACAATATCACCCCTGCACAGGCTGCAATTGCATTTCAGTTTTTGGTCACCAGAAGCATTACTTGACCTTTGTGTTAACACAGTGTAGTCAATGTTGGGCCATGGTAACTTTGTATCTATAACTTCATGAGCCCCCCAAAATGGTAAAGGATATCGAATGATTATTGAAACTTACAAGTAATCATGTTTTCTCCTAACCCATAAGCTGGAAAAAGAAATGAGTGAGCACAGCACTGTGCTGATGAAATAATTTCAATTAAACTCGGTTAGAAATACACTCAAACTTTATTTGTCGGCAACTTTATTAAGTTTCTCAGCAGGGAAATGATTTAGGGGCAGATAGGGGAAATATTTGGGGGAATTGTGCCTTAGATGATACAAGCATGGCATGTGGCACACAGTCAGAGTATGTCTGAGAAATATATTTGGCTATAGGGCCATCGCAGATTTGTCCTTCGAAAAATATAGGTAGAATAAAAAGCAGTTTTCAAAATGGCTGCCATTGCCTGTTATTCTACCTATATTTTTTTCAAAGGACAAATTTGCGATGGCCCTATAGCCAAATATCTTTTTCATATCTTTTTCATACTCGGACTGTGTGCCAAATTTTATGCTTGTATCATCAAAGGCACGATCCCATCACATATCTGCCGTACTAACATAAAGAAAGATAATCCAAAGTATTTTTGTTTGTTTGAGTTATATACTTGAGCACTGCTCATGTGGTGGTTTCATAATTTTCTGGAAAGCTCATTTCACCACTGAATCAAGACATCTTGGCAGACAGACTAATCCATGCCACTCGGCCATCCATGGCTGTAGGGTATCAGTATGATATTAATACCATCCCTTTATCCATTCACTAGTTAGTAACTTCTCAGATAAAGAAAGGTTTTGAATGCCATTTGTGGGGAATTTTTTATATGAAAACCAAGCTACATGGAAAACCAAAACAGATTTCACGTTTATGTTCATTTAAACACGTGACAGGTGAAGCTCGCGAAAGTTGCAGTTTACACCGCAAAGCTATAAATAGTCAGGTGGCTTAGGCCCAATTTTTGACAAGATCGTGACCGACTGGTCCAAAGCACCAAACTTGGCAGATATATTGTTATAGCCTTAGAGAAGATATTTAGAAGGGGTGACACCTGAAATTCTTTCGGGAAGGGTGCCTAATTTGCATAAATCATTTATCCCTTCCGTGTAATATATTTACTCCCATATTTGAGTATATTTTAAATTTTTTTATTTTTTGAAAAGTATATTTTGGTGATTCCACTTACACATCCTTACTTCACTTACATTTTCTAAAGCATTTAAGACTGACTGAATAATTATGAGGACAAAGTAACTATCCAAAATGGCTACTATTATACCATAAAGTTGCCCGCATTTATCTTGTCTCCAGATATCATCAAGTTGTCTTACCAAACCTTAGTATTGATGAGCTTCAAATTCACCAAGTTGCTTACTGGCACAGTAACTCGATTAAAACTTCATGGAAAATCATGTGAACAATGATAAAATTGTGATATTTAACCCAGAAAACAAAAACGATCAAGTCCCTCACGTTAGGCAGGCTTCGCCTAATGTTTAGCCCTATTTACGGACACCTCATTTCCCCTCTCTTTGTTTTTGTGGGCTAAATATCAAGATGATATAATTTTTCACATGATTTCCCATTTATTTTTGTTGGGGTAACTGTGCCAGTAAGTATCTTTGTGAATTTGAAGCTCATCAATACTGAGGTTTGGCAAGACTACTTGGTGATATAAGAGGGAAAAGGAAATGCGCGCAACTTTAGGGTATAATGGCAGCCATTTTGGATCTTTATTATGTCCTCAAAATCTTCAAGTCTCTGATATGCTTTAGAAAATGTTATTTAAGTAAGGATATGTAAGTAAAATCCCCAAAATATACTTTTCAAAAAATAAAAAAAATTAACATCTAACCAAATATGGGAATAAATATATTACACGGCAGGGATTAACGCTTTATGCAAATTAGGCACCCTTCCCAAACGAATTTCTGGTGTCACCCCTTCTAAATATCTTCTCTGGGGCCATAAGAATATATCTGCCAAGTTTACTGCTTTGGACCAATCGGTCACGATTCCAACCGTATGCAACCTGACTAAAAGCCCTTCACACAACTTCCGGGACCCGTGTTTTATACTTCAATAGTTCCCGTATTATCCATAAATGCTAAACACTTAAATAACGTTCTTACATTCTGTCTGTAAAATATCAATAAGGCTCATACCCACCCATTATATTCAAATTTTTAATTTATTTTAGACACCCCGCCCAACTAAAAATATCCTCTAAATTTGCTGGTGTCAGCTGTATCCGTTGTGTAACTGCCGGCATTCCACCTCTAGAACTCCCCGGTAGACCTCAAAGTGATGGTTGAGACCGCTCTGACAATGGATCAGGTACTTGCTGCCCAAGGCTCCGTTAGGGTGACTGGCGCCGTAGAACACGCGCCTGATACGACTGTGAACCAACGCCATAGCGCACCTGTAGATAATAGCACAAGTCATCAACATCAGAGGTCTCATCATTTCTGAGCCCTTTCAAATATCATTTCTAGGCCCAATCAAAATGCCATGCTTACGTTACAGTTAGTGTATTTCATGGGTCAGTGATGAATTTTGGCTAATGCGCATGCGTACACCCTGCAACTTAGGATTCCGTGCTTACAAATTTAGCACAGAATTTTGTTTTGGAAGTGGTTTTGGAAAGAATGTTGCAACCTGACGCCACTTTTTTTTCTTCATATGTCATCTCAATAAAGGCCAAGTCATTGCAAAAATGTTGAAAATACATGAATCTGAAACTGAGAAACATTTCCAATTTTGTTAGAAAATGTTCTTGACTCTCCATAGACTTTGCACACAACTGCTGAAGGGGCGTCTGGATACTACATTCTTTCTGAGGTTTTAGCATAGAATGGTGATCGTAAGCGCGGAATTCTGTGGTTAGCTGCGCCATGAAATTAGATCCTATCGATCTTGGTGACATCTAAAGCCAACAAAGGAAATCAACTGTTTTTCTATCAATGTACTTATATGTGGCTCGTTCCCACTGCTCTATCCAAAGAAGCTGGTGATTGCTAATTTGTTTCACAAGATCTGCAGATTATAATGATAGGCCTTCGATCTTGAAGGTAATATACGACATTTGCAAACATAAACAAACACCAAGACCCAAATTATAATGAAATACCTTACTTGACTGTTAGTGAATGATAGTCTCAAGCATCCTGTGAAATCATGGCACATGGTGTGCTTTCATTTTCAAGAAAAATGAAATTTTTGTATCAATTTCCATCTATGGTTGGCCGATCATCGTTGGAAAAAAACTGCCTTTTTTCAAATACTGCCCCCAATTTACCAAATTGGTTACTCCACATTTTGTTTGCAATCGGTTACACATCCGTGAACGGGTGCAAGCCAGCTAGTCTGGTTCCATGACCTGACAATTCTTCGATGTCTATAAACTGCTCCATTTCATCTGAAGTAGGGTCACGGAACCAGACTACAAGAACTGCATTTTTTGTGTGGTTTTTCCGGCATCTATGAACACAAAACTTTAAACAGGTCAGCGTAGCAATATTTGCTATAAAATACTCACCCTCAAATCCTTCCATTTCTGAAAATTACAGCAAAAGCAAATGTTGTATATTACCTTTAACAAGGTACGTTCTATCCGTACACACATTTTAAACTACCGTAGCCATATATAATAAATTTAAGACAATGAGGCCAACATACTCCGCAAACAGCAGCATAGCTGCCAACTTTTCAAAATCCCAATTAGTAATCAACCCGCGCGGTCATTTTCAACTGCTCATATTATCAAAAGTGTATGTACCAGCTTTACCAACATCGAGTACAGGTACATGGTTTACATGTACACGTTCATGTGCATACCCTTCTTGTTGTGAATAATAATGTACTGTAGGCCAAAAATAATAAAAAATATTTTTATTTTTTTTTTATAATTCTTTTTAAAATTAATTTTGTTTTACTGTCTGTATTTGTTTGCTGAAGTCAAATAAATAATAACAATAATAACGTGCGCATATTTTTTATGAGATGCATGCTCTCAATGTTGAGTTTCGAGTTTGTATCATGTTTTTACACACAATGATTTAGGGCCACCGTATGCCGCCAACATACCTTGCAAATGCATGCTGATTTATCTTTTCTGGACGTTGTGATCAACTCAAACTCTTATTACCAATCCTTCCAACCATACTCAATCAAATTCCATGATTAAAATCTCGCACTGATGGGTCTCATCCTGGCAATAAGCGACCAAATGTGCTCACGATCGTCACTGAAAAGTACTCACATACTACAGTACACACAACCACACATCCACGAGATGCACACAAATGACACACTATTGAAAAATATTTTTAGTCGGGTCCTCAAGTACTCCACTGCGCACACTGCATTGATGTCTATCAGGTGCTTGACTGCATTCTTATTAGACTTGTCACCAGTCCATCCATTATCGCAACATTTCGCCAGAAGTTTTCGGTCATAAACGCTACTTTACAAGTATTTTTTTTCGTTAGGTAGAAAATGGGAAATTCGTAATGTTTTAGTGGCAAATCGTATTTTCGTAATTTAACAAACAATTCGTAATAATTACGAAAATTCGTAATAGTTGGCAGCTATGCAGCAGGATGTAGCAGATTCTGGGTAAAATTCAACCCCCCCCCCCCACCGCTAAACTAATCAACTTACATGACGCATGGCTCCTGTGTGATGTACAAATCATACCCAGTGCACAGATAGGGTCCCTGCGGTTTGCTAGAATCGCCTCCTTGTCTCCCTGCCGACGCCCCCGTCTCATTTCTCTCCTTGACGCCCACACTATCTGACGATATAGCACTGTTAAGATCTACCCTGGGCCGATCAGCACTCCCTTGCACGCCACTCTCATTTGCACAGTCCGAGGTTTTAATCCCACATCTGCTGGTCTCTTCTGTAGCATCTTGGGACTTCCTGCCATCTTGAGGTTGAACCGGGGACCCTTCAACCGACAACACAGTTGGATCCCTGGTTTCTTCATCAGTACTGTGTCCCGGAGCAGATGAACTTGTGTGTGAATCTATTTCCGGTCCAAGTACATTCTCCTTGTTCAACTGTTGATTTCTAAAGTAATGCCCCTCTGCTGAAATCGAACAACAAGAAAACAGCTGGCTTTAGTAAAAGAGGAGAATTTGATATCAAAACAAATCGAAGCCAAGCAGAATTTAGGTGAAGTTATTAGTATCTCCAGTATATTTACCCTATTAACACCTGTAGTACATTGTATTACATTGTACTGAATTGAATAAAAAAAATTATTAAATAATACGACTGAAATTAAACAAACTTTTGGTACCTTTTTTCCTGCATGGATATCTGGAAAGTAAATTTTTATTTTGGTCTTAAAAAATTTGAAAATAAATGTCTTTCCATTCCAAAACAATCAAGTTATTAACTGAGCTCTGATCCAAATTGTCAAAGGCGCCGTTTCATCTCTTAAAGGGGCTTGAAAGGCTATAAAGTGTTTTGTATTTTGTGCAAAAGTGTGGAGGCAAAACCTGTCCTGAACAAACAATCATATTCAAAGCTTCAATATGCAAATATTCACTGACCTATGACCTCCCACGCCCCTCCCCCATGACTATGCGCCACCAGGTCCACGCAAACCATGACAGCGTGCTTCAATGGGCTATTGTTGAGATGACGAATGTCGTAACAGGATGCTAGTACTGTGTCGGTCGAAGGATCGACGACGACTGCACCTACGGGCACCTAGCACAACATGATAAAGTTTGAGGTCACAATACTAAGTTTTAACCCCAGCAGTCTGGAATTCTCCAATTTTTATATGATTTCATACACATCCCAGGGGGTGAGGGATACTTAATGGAGCGTTTTCTCCGGGGCACGTGTGGTCTAGGGGTAGAGCACAGGGTTCATGATCGTGAGATTGTGGGTTCGAGCCCCGCCATGGCTTGTGCCCTTGAGTAAGGTGCTTTACCTCGATTACTCCTCTCAACCCAGGTGTTAAATGGGTACCGGTGTAGCATGAATTTAGGTTTTATGAAATACGGACTCATTGGTGGTATTGCACATGCTTATGCATAGATAAGTCAGAGAGGGACAGGTCACGTGAGAGGGTTTAACCAATAAAAGGGAAAAAGAGTCCGATTTTCATACGAGTCTGATTTTCATATGACAGCGGCATTATTCAATGCTGGGAAGGTAACAGACTCGCTGTGGAGGAGGTGTGGTGATCCCCCCCCTCCCCCCCCCACAGCAGCATTTCGTGACTTCAAGTCTGGCCCAATCGCTTTAAAAGAGAGATGGGCACTCCGTTCCTGTGAACACAGGTTCGTCCCTTTACCTTTTTTTTCTCTCCAGAGAGTGCAGCCAAGTGATTTCAATTCGAACCAGAAAACTAATCAGTTACATGTCCAAAATTGTCAAAAGATGGACCATTAAATAGTCTGGTATAGTGGCTGGGCTCTACCTTCCTCAATCCTCCAAGAAATCTCTGGATGCATTTTGAAGGATATAGGAGTGTTAGACATTCTTGAAGTTTTGAGCTCCTCTTTGGAATAATAATTTGAAAAATTCCTGGCCTACCATTTCTTGATGGATTCCAGCCCTTGCTGCTACCATGGCCTCCATCATGTGCCTGGCTATTCTCTCTTTGTCAGCGTCTGTGAAGAGCTGACCACTTACAACCTGATTGAGCCTAAAAGAAAATTTAAATCAGGAATTGAAAAAAAATCTGTAATTGGGAACTTGTTCAAATTTTCAATGTTTTCCTATTGGCAAAACCCCAACAAGGAAAACCAAAAAAGAACAGGTTTCCAACTCCAGCATGTTTGGTTTATTCAAGGAAAAAAAACAAACTCGATCTGCTGCTCTGCAGCTCGCAAACCTGTCTTAGCGTCAGGCCAAACCCCCACGGCTTTCATTGAACAAAAGAGATCTACTTATAGAGCCTTTTTATGGGCACGTGCTGCTGACAAAAAGAAGTGTAGGCCAGCGTGCCGAGTGAACCTATGGGCTCCGTGTGCCAACAAAAGAGGGCGTTTTTAAAAAAACCACTTTTAAAAACCCGAGGACAGGACACACCGCGCGTGCGTACTGGTTCGCATGCATATAGCTTGAAGTACGCACTACTGATTTTATTATAAATGCGCGCAAAGCCAAAGCATCTTCGTGTGAGCGTCAGGAGTAGGTGGCGCGTTGGAATGTCTCTCCCGATGGGCTCCCTAGTCTGGTTCCCAGACCAAAAGATCTATTTCTGATGAATCATCACAAATATAAGTAGGAATCTTTTGGTCGGGGAACCAGACTATGGTTTCCCTAACTCTCCCTTTCTTGGGGAGGGGGGGGGGTACTTGTAAACGGAGCAAATATAGGTTGTGGAAAGACAGAGAGAAAAGGAAAAGGCTGTCTATTAGTGCCTGTTTCACTACTTTCTTAAACCAAATTACTACATAATTGCTTGGAACCCTCAAAAATCCTCCGCTTATCACAAAAGCAGTAGCGCATTCTGTCAATGTTCAAGGGTAGTCGTAGTCCAAGACAGGATTCTGATTTTGTTGCCCTGAGGCAGGTAGTCCTGCGGAGCACAGTCAAGCCGCTGCAGAACGAGGGCGCTATCATCAAATCCAGTCTTAGGAATTTTGGCACCTTCACCCTAGAAACTCTGAGCATACCTTATGTGTGCTGTATCCATGCTAGTGTATATGATGAAGGTTAAAAATGTCATGGGTCGCAGTGCCAAAGTTCCAACACTTGGATTCGATTCATTTGTTGACAACGCTCTCTACAGCCGGTCAGCAATTAGGGAGACGCAAATCCAAATCTAGTTTTGGACAGAGACTGAGTCCCACTCAAACATGCTTGTGAATTTGTCTTTTCCTCGAAAGTCTTCAAGCAGCAATGTGTTTAATAACGTCAGTAAAGGGCAAAAATCCCCTTAAATAATCCCCCTAATGCAAAATTTAATGCAAAATTTTAAGTTACATTGGATCATTTGCTACTCATGCATTTCGTTCATTTCCAGTAGTAACGCCACTCAAAATCCAAAGAAGAATGTTCAAAACCTAACCTGTTGAAGTTTCAGCTCAGTGGATATAACACTTTTAGAGAAAACAGTAAAACCTTGCCAAACCTTTTGATCATAAAACATGATTTCATCCATTGTACTCTTTTATTTCCAAAAATCAGTCAATTGACTGAGTGTTGGAAATGACCTACATTCCTTGATTTCTTCTAAATGACAGCAAGCCAGACGGAATAATTTCACGGGGTGTTTAGTACCAATAGGAGCTTTAATCAAAGTAACCTTTTGATAATAATTTAGTAGGTTACTTTTGGGATAAATGCAAATGATCCTATATGCTTTTAAACTTTCACAAACTTTAAAAAATGCTCCTCACTGTTTGTTCTGATGGAAGACCACTGGCCACTCTCTGGATGCCACCTCAAACTGTTGCCTGGTGACGGGCGCCATATTGGATACCATGGCAACAAAGGGCTGTCCCAAGCCATCTTGGCTGATGCTTGGTTTGGCTCTGAAGATGTCTGACAAGGAAGCAGGGGAGCTAGTGGTCTCCACATCTGTGACCAGACAAAGGATGACTTCCAGACTGCTTCCTTAGTGGGTAAAAAAAGCAACCATAACGATGATCAAGAATGATAAGGATGCCAAACTAAGATGTCATGTCACATTTAAATGACAGCTTACATAAAATATTGTCAAGTAGTTATCAACATTCACACAGTATGGACTCTTTGCACGGCAGCCATCTTGGAGGTCGAATGCTTTTGTCCCACAGGTAGAGCTGTCCCAAATATAGAGCATTTCGCCGGTTTGATTATTCAACAACTAAAACTATGCACATGCGCACATGTTTGTGGTGTCATTTTTAAATCGTAATGTTTTTTATTGTCAGATGCCACTTGTTTGGTCGATGGCAACTTTCTTGTCGATGCCTATTTGTTGGTCCTATTCTTTAAGCTGGGTAAAATCAAAATTTTAACCGATTGAAAAGCAAAATTTAAATATAACTTATGACCAGCAAGGAAGGCAGCTGCAGCTGATCAGTGAGTTTGGAATATTTGAATATTTGGTCAAGTGCAGTTTCAAATTAATAATCAAATACTAAATTATTCGAAAATGGACAGCCTTACCCACAGAAAAAGGAATGGGTACACCTTTTGTGCATCAATCCTTAATGAATTGGGGCGATTCACAAAGCAGTGGCCACCAAGAGATTGCCACAGCGAGTTCAATTTTCCCAGGGCGTTGTGGGAGATGGTCAACAAATCGCAGCGTGGGACATTTGAAATTGTTATTTTTTTGCGGTCCGTAGTTTTGTAAGCGTAGGATTCAAATATATGTTTGTAAGGCGGCAGAACGCTATGCCCCAATCTATAACAATTAGCTCAAGTTGTCTACTGACACTCATTCAAATGGGCCGTGTTTTGTATACCGTAAACTTGAAAAAAGGGCTCTCTATGGCAAACTCTTGGTGGCGCACTGCATTGTGAATCACCCAAATTGAAGGCTCCTTCCCATTACATCTTGTCACTGGAAATGACTAGATGAAAATTACCCCGTCATGAACTTTGGCCTAGTTGAATAATGACTGCTTTATCACGAAGCTCTTTCCATTGAAAAACAAAATGCAAAGATATTTAAGAAGATGAACACATCCTCTTAGGAGAGTGTGGCCGATTGGATGGGTTTATGACTCGTGATCAGAGGCTCAGGGGTTCGACTCCAGCTGCTGGTCATATGTTGTGTCCCTGGGCAAGCCACTTCACCCCCACTTGCCTCTCTCCACCCAGGAGTATAAATGGGTACCGGCATTAGCTGGGGAGTAACCAGCGATGGACTGGCATCCCATCCAGAGGGAATAGAAATATTCTCAGTTGTTTCATGCCAAGGAAACTGGAGCAAAAACGACGGCCTGATGGGCCATTGCAGACTTCACTACCAGTACAACACATCCTCTATATGGAAGTCAGGATTTTTCCATAATGTTTAACAATAATATTTTAGAGTAGCAACATACATCTAACATTTCGCTTTGTTTTACCTCCCTGTTGTTTAGCAGTTTTTCGGACGCGCTTAACATGTGGCAATGTTGTCAATGGGTAAACCCTTTGAAGATCTCTGTAAATGGAAAGAAAAAACAAAATGAGAGTTCAGTGCATTGTCAAATTGCAGAAATTCTCATCAATTGTGTTTTCTGTAAAATCCTATTTACTGCTTGTTTGGATTGTTGGAATAGGGACACATTGTTCAAGACAAGTGATTTTTCTTGTCTTTGGTACATGTACATGCATAAAAAATGAACAAAATGCAAATTTGAACCAGCCAACCGATCCCGTTAGCTCGGTGGTCGAGTGGTAAGACGTCTGCACTAGAAAGCAGGAGGTCGCGGGTTCGAGTCCCACCCAAGTGATTTTTTCACACTTTCACTTGGGAGGTAAACGTCGGTGAAGGGCAAAACCTAATATTAAAAAAGTGCAAATGATAATCAATGTCCCAGTATTCTTGTTTAACAGTGACGTCGGATGTCAGAAACAAACATAATTGAACTTGGACATGGCACAATTGCTGAAGGGTTCAATGTGACATCAATGCTAAAAAAGGGCAAACTCCGTCTGTACTAAGGGAGTATGTAGGGATAATATACAAGTTGACAAAAAATATGCAAAATCATAAATCACAAAATTAACTTCACATCACATGAAAAAAAGGTAATTATCAATTCAAACCTGATTATTCTTGAGGTAGTCTTTGGGTCCAAAATTGGCGCGGCATAAACCTTCACTGAAAAGGAAGAAGTAACTGTAAGCTTTCACAAAAAGACTGAAAACAAATTAAAAACCAATTGAAATGTCCCACCAGGGAAGGGGGGTAGTCCGAGTATCACCCGTTATCCACGGAGCAAAATCTCCTGTATAACGCCTGATAGATCTAAGCATGCATCACGTCATTTCATTCCCAAATCAGGACTAAGTATGCGATTGGTCAATTTCGACGCCGCGTTATTGCAATACAACAACCTGTACAAATATGCTACTCATCATGGGCGAGATGTTTACGATGCGGGGAGCTTGAATTGTGTGCATATAGAAGGTTCTTGCTGATTGGTCAGATTCTCGAGGTCGTACGCAGTCCAGTTGTATAATACTAATCGCCGAATCTGTTTATGACCATGGTCGGCTTCGCCAGGGCCAGGGTCTATTACATAGACTAAGAAAGGGGGGGGGGGGATTGGACTTTTCCCAAATTCACCCCCCCCCCCCCAAAAAAGAGAAAATCCCAAAATCCTAAACCTGGGTACATCATACTTTTGTTTTCACCTGAAAACCTATTAAACAAAATTAAGGATTGTCCACGCAGTACAAAGGTATTATTTATAGTGTTAAATGTCCACAGGGGAGAAAAAATGTTATTTCTGCTTTACAATTGGACGGTTTTTATAACTCCATGTACATGTATACCTATATCAATAAAGTATTATATTTTGTATTTGACTATTCAACCAATTTTTAAACATAATTTCAACAAAAAACTAGGACCCCCACGGAAAACAAAGGGTAACATTACTTATGTGATGCAGAAAACCAAGTAAAACAATACAATGACAAATAAATGAAACAAAAATATACCAAAGTCAACTGCTGTGACTTCTCTTGGCAGGACTGGTATAGGATTGCAGGTCATCTGAACCCCATGGTTAGGACTAGTACTTGATTTCACTGCTGCTGTTGGATCTGTATCATCAGAAATAATATAAAAAATCATGTCACAAACTATAATTTAACTGAAAAATAAACCTAGCATTACAAAACATGTACTTTACAATGCCAAAGTCATGAAAGTAAAATTGAAGTTGCAATTGTTTGTTCTCGCTTGTGTACAAAGTCTATGGATTTCCTAACAAAATTGCAAATGTTTCTCAGTCCCAGATTCATGTCTTATCATCTTTTTTGCAATGACTGACCTTCAAAGAGATGATAATTGATATATGACATGTATGAAGAAAAAAGAAGAAAGAAAAGAGTGGCGTCAGGTTGCAACATTTTTCCCTTTCCTTTCCTTTGAAAAAAAAATGGGGAAAAAAATTGCAACCTGACGTCACATTTGTCTTCATATATTATCTCAATGAAGGTCATTCATTGCAAAAATGATAGTCATAGTGGGACTGGACTGACTGACATGACTGAGAAATATTTTGTTAGGAAATACTTTAAAAAAATTATTGACTCTCCATAGACTTTGTACACAATCGCGGAAGTGGTGTCAGGTTGCAACATTTTTTCCAAAAAATGTTTTCATTCACCAGACATAACAAGTTCACTTACAACTCTGACAATCATCAATTTTCCGCTTTTTCAAAATCTCCATTATCACTCTGCACCGACACTGCCACTTCCACTGGAGTATAGGGTAGTGGGGCGTACATGCAGTGCAGTGTGCACATGTGGCACGGTGTACGTGTTTTGGTCGTACATTAAGTCTGGTGCTCGATATCATTGATGTTCTGTTATAATTGTAATACTTCTAGATTTCAGACATTTGTCTTGTGCCCCGCGTACACACGGCGAGTTTCCCCACCTTTTCTGCATGATTGGTCTATTTTCGAGGTCTTTAGTCTGGTACTTATTGTAAAGTAGAAATTTCGCCAGGGTCACATTTGACGTCGTGTACAGTGTAGAGTTCAGACGTACATCACGAGAACGCCAGTTGCACCCACTTTTTCACCTCGATACAGTACAACAAATTCTTGCTCTTGTTCTCACACGATAAGGACATCACACAGGTAATGTATGATGTGAATCGTCAAATTGTTTTTGACTGTCATTTATATTTGGTGCTGTTTCTTTAGTTTGACTTTGACTTTGAGCCGAGACTAGACAGCCAACGGGGGGAGCTAGCCGGCCCATAGGCCTACGGCATGTGTGGCGCCCGCGCGCAATGGAGAAAACTCCAGAGCACACAGTGCAGGGCCGGGCTAGGATAGGGCCAAGCGCTTCGGCCCTGGCATATTTAAAGGGCCCATGCATGTAATTTTTTTTTAATGCAATCCTTGGAAGTGCACCTTTGTGACCCATTATTTTCAAGTTTCGTTTGGCCATTTTTGAGGGTTTTGGTTTTAATGCCAATAAAAATAGCAATGCGAATTTCCATATTCATGACAAAACAAAACAGTGTGATGTCATTTCAGGTAGAATTTAAACCTCAATGTTACAGCTATTTTTTTTTCAGCACAACAAGTTGCCAGAATTTTGGCTATTTTGCTGTCCTAAATTTCTTTTCTTTGGTGATTCGTTGTGTCAGTACATGGCAGGAAGCCGGTGAGCAAATTTTTCTCACAAATGTTTTTAATGACATATTTTCAATATTTGTGTTCACAGCTTGAACAAAAAACCCCTAAACTGAAATGTGTTTTTTTCTTAAATGACATCACAGCAACAGCGCTCTCGGTTGTTCAGAAAAGCATAATTTTTTTTAAATTTAAAAAAAAACATGCACTTTTCAATAAAATTAACCAAAAAGGGATGTCAAATAGTTTTCATACATTTAAGAGGAGTAGAAAGTTTCAGAAGATGTGTTCCTAAGATTTGTAAGAAAACTTCTTCTCATGAACCCTTTAACGGCGTAGTTCCACTTATTGTTTCCTACTTTCAGCATGGAGCTACCGGTATAATGGTCAATTTATTTTTACCACTCACAGTATTTTCTTCTGTTTTCGTAAAAAAAAAAAAAATGGGCCATTGGTTTCAATAACCCTTACTCCCCAGAGGCCTTTTTGCTAGGATGTACATGTAGCCTCCATCCTGCAAAATCCTCCAATTGGCCTCATGGAAAAATAGCATGTATAGCCTCAATCCTGCAAATTCCTTCATTATTTCTTGACTACATGTATATGGTCCCTGGAGGGGTGACCACTGCCTGAATCCTGCAAAATCAGTGACTGTCAATATGTTGAGGCTCGGCCAGTGACATCCTGGAGCAGTACGGGGGATTCCAAGCATAATCCAGGCCTATATTTTGGCATGGCTGAGCAAACACAACACAAAGCCAAATAAAAAAAAACACATGTGTAGCGTCCTGCCTTTTTGAAAAAAAAAAGGATGAGGCCCTTGATTTCTGTCCCCTGAATACAAAGTACCAGTCCTTCTGATTTAAGGCTTGCGATCGCACCCCCACGCCACAAAACTTAAAACCAAATTTGTTAGGAACTGGGCAATAAGCAACCCTTTTCTGTGAGCTCTTGAAATGGCTTTACTGTAAACCAAGATGAATATTACAAAAACAGTACCAGATTGTTCAGTCCCACCTTGGACCACAGAATCACACGCCTAGAAAAATCACACTCATAGAAAAATCACACACCTGCAGTAGAAATATCACACACCTGCAGTAGAAATATCCAGGTGTGCCTTTTTCCACACACCTGTGATTTTCAAATCAGAAGAACTGAATGACAATGTAATACCAGATGAAGGTTCCTCTCAGTAACATTTTTAAATCCCTAAAGCATTCACTGCAAGCACAGTGGTCTCATCTCAAACACTCGTATTTTCGGTTGAGGTGGATTTGCCATCCCAGGGCCGGCTTGACTTTGGGCCATGTAGAATGCTTTTAAGTAGGCCCTTATCAATGCTATCATATTTCATGAATTATCATCAAGTTAATATAATTTTTTGATGTTCATGTTGAGAGTCTAGAAAGCAATATCCTGTAACTGCTGTTTGCCATAAAGGCCTAAACCTGTGACTCGGTTGATGGTCATGAGTTAGAAAGGAAAAAAGTAAATTTATTTATAAATGTATTATTTTTTTGGTTAAAAGTAAGTTATACTAAGTCCTGTTATGCACCAACTATACCATCAGTCTCCACTTAAGTTGGGACCGTCCCATTTAAAGCGCCTAGTTGGGCCGGGCCAACTAGAGTTGTCCTGGACACAGCATACATGTAGTTTTCGCGGCAAAATTCATCAAAAAGTTCACCGTTTCATCCATGTAATACAAATACAAAAGAAGTAACTAAGGCCAAACAAATAATACTTCTGCTTCCGGTTACCCATCCGACCCTATTTTTAGGCCGCGACCCTAAAAATGTTATCGGCAATTCAAAAAAAAAACCAATTTACTGATTGACTAAATAAAAATAAAATCTTGTTGTCTTTTCTGTCTTCACAAAATACCTCTCAACAACCCTTTTGCATCAAAAAAACTTGTAATTTATTTGTTTTCTTACTTACATTCGCTATTTTTTTTCAAAAGAAACCTCCGTTGTTTTTACAAATTCGCTTCGCGATATAACTACTTCGCAATTCGATGTTACAGTGACTGTAAACACCTACGTAAACCTGGCTCAATGCAGCGACAACTGGTTCCCGCCGCGCCGCGCAGGGGCCAATCTAGAAGACATGATGAAAATGTGGTAACCAGTCTGTGCACGGCTTTGCGATCATTCATAGCGCTAGCATGGCTATGCATTGCAGGCCGGTGCACTGTCAACTGGTCGGATTCGACAATGTAAAAATGCCAACAAAACACCGATGGAGAATTTTTGCAATTAATAAGATGGGATTTGGGTGAAGGCAAAACCTAATTTGATTAACATTTTTGCAAGTTAATTCACAGAATTGATCTAGTTTGTCTGTGTATGTATTTTCCGTGTTCAAGAGTTCATTTCGAGATCGCACTACTCATATTTGGAGTGATACATGCAGCGTGTCTCCCGAAATTTTTGACCGTAAAAACGAGGTCTGTTGGCTGCGCTCCACACATGCACACAGTACATCACGCTAGTTACAGAGTTTTGGCCAGTTTCCCATCTTGACTAGCATTGTACACGTACATATGGTGCGAACGACCTGAATTTTCCATTATATTTTTAAGAATAATTGAACGTAAATATATTGACAATAATTAAGGTAGGTTTTATTCACTTTTTGTGTCCGTTTTGTGTATAGCTTTCGTAGTGTAATGCAAATATTTCAGGCTAAAACTTTGCATGTAATTGCATACCCCATTCAATCTGCATTAAAAAAATTGGCAAAAAAAGAAAGAAATACTGATCGACTGACCCTATTGAAAGGCATGTGATCGGAAGTAGAAGTATTTTTTTTTGGCCCAAGTACAACTTGGTGTCTCTGGCACTTAGCAGCAAGTGTGAGTGACGTGTACGTACCGGTATAGCATGGTTCATAATTGTTCACCCTTCTATTTCTAACACGTACACCATGAGGTTAGAGGTTGATTGCTTGATGTCCTAGCAAAGGCATTACACATCCATTTGTTCCAGATATGTTAACTCAGAGTAGAGTTTGAGGTATATGTACATGAATAAGATCAGACAACAGGTAAATGACTTGACTCGACTTGAGTCACTGCGAGCAAATTACCCGGCTCAACTGGAGTCCCTCATCAGAAGACTTGACTAAAGGTTTCAGTTTGCCAAGTCCAACTAGTTTGTTGATCAGGAAAGACATGATTGTTTTTGAATGGAACAAGAAGTACATGAAGTAAGTTGCTGCATGCCCAACTTTTTATAGCAGCAGATCTCTGTTCTGAAACTTGGGTTCCAACCTGATGGGGCACGCTTTTGTGCCAAATAGGCTAAGTACAAATGTAAAGCCTGGAGCATTTTGGATAAATACCGGTACCTGTACACGTATATATGTGTACATGGTGTGTACACTGCAGATTAATGGTAGAGCTATTGAATAAGTGCACCCAATAGCTATTACATTTATGTGAATGGGGTGTACATACAATGTACGTCATTTCGCCTTATATCCATTTCCCCAATGTCACTATGCCCTACACCACTTTGCCCCATTTCCACTTTGCCCCAGTTTCCTTTTCCTGTTTTCCTGTTTCTTTCATCAGGTTTAAGTGTGATCTTTCTTTCACAGTTTTCTTGGACGGCATTTTAAAGGATTCACAAAACATCTTTTTAAGAAACTCTTTACTTTTGAAACTTTGGGTCGGAAAGTAAATACGCAGTTGCATTAATAGCAATCGTTCCGCTTCGGTAATGAAGGCGCGTTCCGGGTATGGATGCATTGCCATTTTGATTACAAAGTTTTTAATGTATCTTTTTAATGACATAGGCCCAATTGTCGTTTTCTACTTTCAGTGAACTTATTTGTAACCACTCAGTCACAGTATTTTCTTCTTTTTTCATAAAAAAATAGGTTTCTTTAGCTGCCTTCTCAGCTGCAAATTTTATAGCGAAATGCTGAATGGGCTTAAATTAATTTTATTTGCACAGCACTTTTAGAAAACGTTTATGGAACAGTAGTATTCAAAGTCAATATATGTTTTTCTTCAGCAGAAATTAAAGCAAAACAAAATCAAGGTAATGGGGTGAAGTGGTAAAAATGGGGCAAAGTGGCGATAGGGCGAAGTGGTGATAGCGTGAAGTGGTAATAGGGCGAAGTGGTGATAGCGTGAAGTGGTAATAGGGCGAAGTGGTGATAGGGCGAAGTGGTTTGGGACATATTCACAAGGGGCGAAGTGACTGTAAAGTTGTGAATGATTCCTAACTGTGTCTAGCTGTTTGATGTGCCATTTGACAAACAAATCTCAGAATTTACAGGTTTTGTAAACAGCTTTATTTGCATGTGGGTGAAATTACAGTAGGATTTTTTTTCTGAACATGCACATGGGGGTCTACCCGATGTTTCCCAATACCGATGTTTCCCAATACCGATGTTTCCAGAAATTCTTAGGATTAGGGTTAGGGTTAAGCCTAGGGTTATAGGATAGGGATTTCGGGGAACATCGGTATTGGGGAACATTGGTATTGGGGAACATAGGTATGCACTCTGTACATGTACATGTACTGTATTCGCTCAACTTGTCTGAATGACATGAGTGTGAAGTCCTGTTCGCACAATTTGTTTGTTTTTGCGTAACAAAAATCGACTCCCCTGCAGTGCGCAACAGCTTTTGATCAGAATTTCCTGTGCATTTTTGAGTGTTTTCAATTATTGGGGATTTGTTTCACTGGTATGGGTAAGTGAAGGAATTTGACTCTCTACGTGACAGTTCATGTGCCCTTGACATGTACGTGTACATGTATAACACTGATAATGACAAAACAAAATTGATCAGTCCAAGGTCCACGTACGTTTCTGTCCGGTCACTTTTGTGCCTAATTACACCTATCGGGTCACTTTTGTGCCCAATTTCACCTTTTACCGGTATGTCAAGATAAAAAAAAAAACCAAAAAAAAAAAACACAAAAGGAAAGAAAGTTTTGTCAAAATGTCATTAGAGTACCAGCCCACTGGGCATGTCGATTATACTTCTCAGAATCATACAATGTATATTTACATAGTGTTCTGGCATGGCATGGTGTTACCACAAACTGTCCTCTAATTTGTCAACATGTTTACTGACTGCAACACAGCAGATTTACAATTTTACATTCATGTAAACAATAGAACACATACTTGTACATATGCAGTGAATGCAATATTCTTCAAGTTTCTTTTAAAAACCATTGCAGTGTCATGGCCTAGCGGTTAAGAGCACTGCACCGGACTCATGCTTTGGTGCTTCAGAGGCAGCAGAATGTGGGTTCGAGCCCGCTGGGTGGACACTTGTGCCCTTAAGCAAGACACTTAACCATTATTGCTTCGTCCTTCGGATGGGACGTAAAGCCGTAGGTCCCATGTGTTGTGTAATGCAATGCACATAAAACAACCCAGTGACACTTATCGCTAAGAGAAGGGGTTCGCCCCAGTGTTTCTGGCTTCCTGTTAAAACTCCCCTGCGGAGTATTTAGGAGAAGCACCAACCAAGTACCAAGTACAATTTTTGAGAACAGTTTGTGTAGGCATAGAAGAAGATAATGACAGATGCTAAAATGAAGTCAAGGACACAAAGCACAAACCACTGCAAAACTAACAAAACAAAATAGAACCAAACAAGGGAGTCTGCTGTTTAATGTTGGAAAAAAAACAAAACATGCATGCATACAAATGTACATGTACGTGTATGCAAATTCTGGCCCATCATTTCTCATACCACAAGGAGGTGTTGCTTTCCCATTGGAATTGACTGACCACCATTTTTTTCCATTTAATATAATCTGTTTACTCACCCTGATCATGCGATTAGGGATCTGATTGCAGTATCCATTCACACTTCTTTTTTTTTTTTTTTTTTACCAAGCCTTTAACCTCACCTTCAGGAAACTGGAGTCACCCGAGTGTTTGATAACTTTGATCCGTGGGATCAGGGGAAGAAAGTTCAAACGTGATTATGAGATTTGTAGTGTGATACTTCTAATATGTGTTTTCTTGATCCAATTTTGCCAAATTTGGCAAATTATTTCGAAGACTTGCACATTGTTTCAAGAAGAGCAACTTTACATTTTGTAAGAGTCATGTGGCACATGTAACATTTCTGGTAGCAGAACTACATGTACATGTATGATAGTTTGTACATGTACACCCCCTTGGCCTTCCTCTCTTTACCTGGGGGAAAACCCCAGAAAAATGTAATGATATTGTTGACGGTGATGAAATATTTGGTTTGATGTTCCTCAAACAGCAGTATACATGTACCATACAGCAAAAGGAGCTGGAGTTGTAACCTAATGGTACAAACATGCGTATGTAACAATCAATGAAACTTTCCTCACGCACAGTCTTTGATAGTAGAATTGAGTGTATACATGCATGTAAATTGAAAGCACTTCCAGGGACAGTAATTGTGTAAGCATGGTAAGTGGTAGACGCTTTTGTAAGGCACCAAATACCTTTCAGCAAAAAACAGGTTTTTGTCTGTTAAAGTAGAAGTAAAAGTAGAAGAAATCAACGCAATTTGTTTATACCTGTGCTAATGCAGTGCTCAGGTTTCAAAAAGTTTCACTTTCTGTTTAATATGCTCAGTGTCACATGTATGCAGTTGTATTTCTGTCGAGGCAGTTTCTGTTCTGTAGTGGGTTGTGAATTCATCATATAAATGTGTACATGTAGATGATGCAACAGTGTACCATTTCAGTGCTGCTATATACACAATTACAAGGCATGTTAGTTGACAGTGTACATGTCTACTGTAGTACTGAACTGCTGGCACATGCATACATGGTACATGTACATGTACACGTGTACATTTACATACACTTATGTACATGTTGTGTAATCTATGAATTCTGTTATCGGTTAAAAATTTGAACTTTGTATTTTGGTTATTTATTATTTGTTCCATTTTAGATCTAACTTGTTGGATAATGGTTTGTCGACACACACTTGTACCCGCGTAGTAGAAATGGTCGTGTGACTGGAAGACTTACGTGGAAGATCGACGTGGATCCAGGATGGAGAATGGGAGCAGAATGGGGCGAAACCTCAGAGGCAGGTGGGAGGCGTTCATCTCTCTCAACTCAGGCGAGGTTACCGAGGCCCTTCAGAAGGTGAGAAAGACACGTTACAAAATACTTGTACAAAACACTAGTGTTTTACATGGATGAAATTGAATAATTTAGCAATTGATTTTGATTCTGTTCAAGAGTCACAGTTCCATTAAGAATTGACGTGAAAATAGATGACAAAAAGGAGCAGGGCGAAAACAGTGGCTAATTTGAGGCTGTATTAAGAATAAACTCAACTCTAAGACTTGATCGTTTACGACATATTATTAATTTTTTTTTGAAGTATTTGGAATTGAATCTTGGGGAAACTGGTATTGGCTTCTGCGTGGACTCAAAGCCTCACAAAAGTGGGGTCACATTTTTGATTCAAAGTTAGGGATGTGCATTTTCTGGTAGTACGGGAACCGGGTAACCGGTTGAAAAAAACCCGGTACTCGGGCACCCGCGAAAGAAACCCAACCAAAAATTCAAATCTCGGAAGTTGCTGTTCAGATTGTTCATAAACATTGATAAAGGTCCACACACTTTAACTACATCGGTGCAGTACAACCACACAGACGTGTGTACAGTGAGGTTTATACATGTACGTGTAACTTTACGGTGTAAACTGCGACTTTCGCGAGCGTTATTAACGTGAAATATGTTTTGTTTTCCTATAAACCTGGTTTTTATTTTGAAAATTCCCCACAAATGGCATTCAAAACCTTTCTTTTTCTTTTTCTGAGAAGTTACAAAGTAATTTTTAAAGTTGGTTACGGGTACTTGATCCCATAATCTGGAACCGGTTCCTGACATCAACGCTCGGGTACTTGGGTACCCGGATACCCAGTTCTGATGCACAGTCCTATATTCAAAGTTTAGAAGCAAGACTAGCCCAGGCTTATTGTGTACAGTAGAGCCAGCGAGTTCAAGTATATCAAGTGATGATAAGTACCGGTAACATACCGGTAATGGTTATACAATACAAATGTCTTCAAACAGATTAGTTTCACGTTTCGATGAGTGGGTTTTTTTTGGTGTTCAGTAAGGGTAATTTATGAGCAATGTTCTCAGTGAATATGCACACAAACTTGACGGAAAAATCATCAAGTGCATGATACAATTACTTGTTTTGTTTAATGTTCATAAATTGCTTTTACCAATCAGAATGGGAAACCTTACACTCCAGGGGTCACCTTTTGAGACTAGGGTCGAAAGTTCACCTGAAAACAAGACTGCTCCTTTTCTCGGTTTTTATTTTCAACCCCTTAACCCTAACTCCCTAGCAGGAACCATACCCATCCTGGCAAATTTCCAACACCATATGGGAAACTGCACATACATATTTCTGACTTTTGATTCTAGAGGTGTGCCAACCCAATGTAAAAGACTGTCAGTTTAGGGGTACTGTACCCATCCTGACGAATTGCCGTTGGGGTTTGATGGGTTGAGTTCTGTCATCCTTCACTCCCTGTCATTTCTGGGCTGTACGCCCCTGGCCTTGTTCCAGGTTGTGGTCATGTCTTTATTGAGGGATCATGACTTGTTTTGGTAGTCACATGATGTACGTGGCAGATGTGACAGCCAGCACATGACTTGAGACAGAATGACACACTGTATTTCACTTTTTAATTTATGGTTTTTCAAGACAGCAATGTGAAAGCGAGAGTGCAATCTCGCTGTAAATAACCCAACACGCATCACAAGCATAGGTTTATGTTGCATGGTAACGGTGTAAAAGAAGTTAAAAATTGTGAAGATTTACATAATCTACCGTAATAAATGTTAGTACCGGTACATTTCGTGGGGAGAAATAAATATTGTACTCTCACCATGGTGTGGCATTGATTTATTGTCATCAGCAAACCAGATCCAAATAAGCTGATACACATTGTGTCATATGTAGTTTGGGACAGAGAAATAAGTTGTTAATTTGTTTACGCGTTGAGAGATTCTGTCTTTTGTTTGGTTGAGATTGCTGCACTGTGTGTACACACATACTGAAATTTATATCCTTGTGGAGGCATTTCTTTCTTCTCGTGTACTAAAGTTTTCGAGTTTGAAAGTACAGTTTCAAAATGCTCTTATTTTAACCAGAATTAATTTCCTTGGCTGAAATTCGGACTAAATATCCTTTTTCTAAAACTCTACCATTTGCGACAGATCAACATACCCTGGATAAAATCCATATATCTATTTCGTGAAAACCTTGTAGAGACGTATTCATCTATAGAAATTGCCCTGTGGAGACGTATAGAATCTTTTGTTCCCTATTGTGTGCATGTCTCCAGAGGGCACGGTGTAGTATCAGATCTGCATATCACTGCGAAAAAAATCTTATTCCAGTACAGAAATTGGCACCATTACACCCCAAACTTTTGTTGAACACCAAATGAAAAGACAGCCCTGGGCAATTACATTTAAATAAATGTCCATTTTTGGACTAAACGAATATTCTCAAAGAAACAAATAAATTACCGTTTTTTCCTCTACATTGACACTTACATGCACATTTTCATTTATGTGTCCTGGTGTTTACGAAAGCTAGACAAGCTGGAATACCATACCACTCCTTTTGCTTGTTTATTTTGTGCAGGAAAAGCATTTGAAGTTGGAGGATTTCCTGCACGCCTTTCTGTCAATGTCGGCCAACCCAGCAATCGACAGGGAAGACCTCATCAACTTCTGGTGAGTTCAGGAAACATATTTTTTATTTTGTTTGTGTGTGTATTTGTGTGTCTGTTACACAACATTGATACAGCCAAGCAGTGGAACCAAGGTTAATGAACTTTTACATAAGCCACAGAAATGACAAAGGCTAAAGGTTAAAAATGTTTGTTTTTTTGACATTCATAAAGAGCCTGTCACATGGTTGATAAAACACCAACTGATTTTGGACACTTTTTTCCGGTGTCACATGAAATTTGGACTCCTGTGAAATCTTGTCCCTTTTACCCATGTATTGGTTAAAGCCTAGTGTATTGGTTAAAGCCTAGTGTATTGGTTAAAGCCTAGTGTATTGGTTAAAGCCTAGTGAGCAGTCACTCTCCTAATCATTATCTGCACTTAGACATGCGCAATACTACCAATGAGTCCATATTTAATCATGTTCATAGAGTCCTAAATTCACACTACACTGGCACTGCTGCGTTCTGCGCCACATCTCCATATAAGGAGATTTTTAATACTAGTCGCATGAGGCACATGATACCATAGACATGGCCAGGTTTTTTTCACAAAACATAAAGTAGAAAAGGGCAATTCGGTATTTCAAAATAGTCTGGTGCACAACAAGATTCGACCATATTTTTTTCGGGAAAAACATCTATATATATAAGAGAGAAGTTTACTCGCCCCCGAGACGATGTTTGCTCATGAAAGGATCCGAGACCGCGGGCTCCCGCGGCCCCAAAATCGCTCCACGTCCGTGGAAAAATGCGGAGGGTGTCTTCCGCCGGGTCGGACGCTTCGGGTCGTCCTGATTTTCCCGTACGGACCGGCGATCGGTTTCGTCGATTTTTCGTGACTGGATTTTGCTCAGGAATTTGCCGTCGTGTGCGCTTTCACGTTGACTGCTTGGCCGCCCCCCGTGCTGGCTTTTCTGCGTGTCTAGACAGTGCGAGGTCAGCGAGGTCAACGTAGGGGTTTCGTTTACGTGTTCTACTCGGCCCTTCTGCGAAAGCGTTCGCCAAACGTTAGTATGTGGTGACCTTGGTAAAATATTTTTTGTCCATGGTGCGTGGCCACCAAGTGTCCCTGTTCTTTCATATGCTTCGCTTGCCGCCCCTGCGCCGAGTGCAACGAATATTCAGGACTACACATTAGTATGCCTAGCGCGGTCTGACCAATCGAAAGTCTACATTGCGTGGTACTTCCCGGCTATGCGTAAAACCGTCACTGGCAACGCGTACTGCAGCCTGCTCCACACCCTGGAAACGAGGTTGAGTCTACGGTGCTCGCTATTTGAAGCACAAGCATGTGACGTCGTGTGATAGAGTGCTGTTGCTTCCGCAATGTATTTACAGCTCCATGCTTCCACCACCAAGGCTGAGCGTTGTGAGTTCGCTGCCCGCCATGTATAATTCAGTGTCGCGTTATAATTTCGGGGGCCTGTTTGGGGTCAACGAAGGATCGATGCATTGCTTCAACTATCGCGATCTTAAACGCAGTCACAAAAAAATCGACGAAAAAGACTTTAGTGTCCGACCCGGCGGAAGACACCCTCCACATTTTTCCATGGACGTGGAGCCATTTTGGCGTCGCGGGAGACCGCGGTCTCGGATCCTTTCAGGAGCAAACATTTCTCGGAGGTCGAGTAAAACTTGCTCTTATATAGATGGTTGAACCAACTTGAATAAAAGTTGAATCGACTTTTTCCTCGCCAGACGGTCTCGCAAATTGTAAGAAGTTCAAGTTAACGTTTGTTGAAGAGTCCAATACTGAAACTTAATTATGACCTTCCTCCATATTTTATGGTCACACTCAACATTTTCATTTCAAATGACACCATCACGTTTTATTGCATTATTATTTATTGTCAAAACTGTAAAATCAGGCTTCGCCTGTGTACTACGGTAACCTTTTCACTCCTTTTTCCAAAATGCGACTGCCTCACAAAAAGCCCATTTATCAGACCAACGGCAACATTTACAGACAGTCGCCACGGTACATAATTATCATGTGCGTAAATCGACGGGGACAGGGGGAACCCGCCCCCCCCCCCCACATTTTCAGGCGGGGGACATTGTTTGGCCCCCCCCCCCACTTTTTCTTCCCCGAATAAAAATATTGTAGCCTACAATAATGATTCTCATTACTCAGAATACATGTAGCTGATTCAATTACTCCAAACTCCAACTTTAAAAGATGATCTTTTGCTCAAATTGGTTTTAGTGGTCAGAAATTGTCTCAGATCACACCACATAAATTGCTTTTCTATAACTGCACGTCTCCTCAACTATATCCCCCATCTACGTTTTCCAAATGCGACTGCCTCACAAAAAGCCAATTTAACAGACCAACGGCAACATTTACAGACAGTTGCCACGGTACATAATTATCATGTGCGTAAATCGACGGGGGACAGGCCCCCCCCCCCCCCATTTTCAGGCGGGGGACATTGTTTGGTGTCCCCCCCCCCCACACTTTTTCTTCCCCGAATAAAAATGTTGTAGCCTACAATGAATTATGATTCTCATTACTCAGAATACATGTAGCTGATTCAATTACTTTAAACTCCAAACTTTAAAAGATGATCTTTTGCTCAAATTGGTTTTAGTGGTCAGAAATTGTCTCAGATCACACCACAAAAATTGCTTTTCTATAACTGCATGTCTCCCCAACTATATCCCCCATTTACATTTAACTCCCCACATTTTCATCCCCAACACTACGCCCTACCCGATCTATGATCGGGTAAATCAGCTTGTGGCAGATAAATGCACACGAGGCTATGGGGGATGTGGTAACCAAATCTGCATTCTGTGTGATTTTTCGTGCAATTGAAAGAGATAGAAATTTTGTTAGCACAAAAGTTTGGACACACAAGGCACTTAAAAACACTTTGTTGTCCAAATTTTTTTTGTTGCAAAATGTTACTTCAGAACACGACGATCTCTTTAATTTTGCTGGTACCCTGCTATGCTCTTGCACGCATACGATGAAATGTTTATTCCGAAAGAAACATCGTCAAATCTTAATGTGAACATGCGCAGAATACCAAACTGGCTTATCGTTGAATAAAATCGTTGGAAACTTGTGAATTTTAAAAATTTTTTTCCAATTTTTGACCAAAAGGTATAAATACGAATGGGAATTTGGCTCAGGCCATTATCCGCGTCCAGGCCCCAAGCCGGTTTTAAACGTACTTGTTTAGTACCAGCCAAGCACATATTTATTCCCTTAATAATTCTTCGCTGCAGTGTTGCGATTAAAGTAAGTAATGCCTGCACGCAGTGGACGTAACATGTATGTACCTTATGTTGAGGCCATTTGTTCATTAATTCCATGGTATGATCAGGCCCATAAATAACACGTACAGTACATGCATGTGTGCATGTACGCCTTGTTATGATAGCAATGATACTTCGGAGTGCTAGAACAGGATCAACTTTAAGGTCAAGTGAGAAAGACATAAACAAACCGGTGGAATTCCTTTCTGGAAAGGAAATATCAAATTTCTAGTATCCACGTAGACATGCAGATAAAATCGATGTGTGAGATACCGGTATTATATTACGGTAAATTTAACTTGCATTGAAGCTTGTCTTTCCTTGTCAAATTCTTAATCTGCAATTTCAACAACTCTCTGCTTATCGCATTAACATGCAGGTTTGAACTTCTTCCCCCCCCCCCCCCACAACAAAAAGGGTTTCATGAATTGTGATTCCTTTGCCATTACGGTAGGTTGGCTTTTGCACAAGAGGGGGTCGATATTGACATTTTTTATGGGAAATTCCATGACAAAGTGGACACGGCTGAAAATTGGAAAATTCATGAAATCTTCAGAATTACAAGCATCACAACCTGAAATGTGGTATCAAATTCAAGGGGACAACAAGACCTTTCATTTGAGTGGTGTGCCAGTGAGATTTAGTATGGTTAAAAGTATTCTCTTGTCGAAAAAATGAAAAACCCCAAACTTTTTTTGGGGGGGGGTGGACTAAACTTACAGTTTAATACAGGTAGTTTTTCATTTTGGTACCTTGCTTTTACAGATCATATCTTATGACAAAAGAGTTTATTTTTCATTGTTAGTTTCTTCTAAATTTTATCTTGTTTCAAAGACAAAGACGGGCGGAACAATTGTAATGCGAGTAACTGTAATGCGAGTAACTAGCATTTTTCTTTAAATTAAAGCATCCTTACCCGAATTAGGTTTCAAAGTTTTTTGGTCCTGATTTGTATTTTAAGATATCTTGTTAAAACACTCATTTGGTTTTTGCAGTTTCACTCTTAAGGAAACTATTGAATGAAAGGAAGACATTTTTGGCATGTCCCTTGTGTAATGCGAGTAGCCACATTTCCAAAGAGTGACATATGCTCAACTGAGGAAACATATAACTTTTTTTTTGTTGTCATCAGGGAAAAGCTCTGAATATTTGATAAGTTAAATGGAAAAAGGAAATGCATCGTCCGACTAGTACATGTATGCAGACTACAGCACTCAGAGTATTAAAGTTGCACAAAAATATTAATGCGAGTTAGCAGTAACCGTGAAATTGATCTAATGTATTCTCAGGGCAAGTTCTCTTAAGGTCAGTTGAAGTTGATTTTTTAGATGAAGGAACATGAGTGGGAAAAATGTAACCTAAGCATGTTCAATTTCACAAGATTTCGCATAATGAACACTTGATGGTTAGGGTTAAGAAAGGTGTCTCCTGTGTCTACCTGAAATACATTTGTACATGACATGTACATGTACATGCATGTGTATGATCCTGTACATTATACATGTAGTTTTCCCCCTACCTAACCAAAGTATTAACCCTCCTGCTGTCTGAACAGTCACAGACAGTCAACAAATCAATCCTACTCCTCTGCAATGCCTTTTACACAGGCTAGTTACCAGCAGTCAGATCATATTTCTGGCAAGCACTGTGACTAGTCAAAGTCAGTCAACAGACAAAAGCAGGCAACTTGTGGGCACAGCTGGCTTATCAATCGCCTGTACAGTCAAATCAAAGCTGTATCAAGGTACATAAACAGTCACAGCCAGTCAATCCCGCTTCATGCAGGCTGGGAGCCATTAACTGTTGAAAAATCGCTTGATTGATTTTGACTGAAAGGACAACTTTGCATAAAATGTACGTTTGCGTAGGAGGGTTACTTAAGACAGGAACTCTGCATGTTCTTTTGTGAGTCTCCCCCTCCCGTTTGTTGCTTGCGATATTAGTATCTTTGCCGATTCGGACTTATCACCGACAACTCACAAAAATCAAGGCTGTGATCCTGTGCAGAAAGATATACCCTGTGTTTAACAAGGTTCACAATTTCTGGAAGTTTGTTTAAAAGCTTTGGAACAATGGACTGGAAACCTTGCTCAAAACTTCAGGCCAACATACTACATGTATGTACATTTGTACATGTAGTATTTACATAGTTCATCTGTACTGGTACCGGTCAATCTATGTGTATGTACACATTTTTAATTCATTAATGTGCTGATTCGTTTCTAAAAATGCCTTGTATTTCAGTCAAGATTCTGCCAGTCAGGATGGCCTTACGGTTTTGAATTTTACAGAGACTTTTATAAAGATTTTATAAATTTTTATTTGACAATTCCTTTTTATCCCCTTATAAAATGGCAGAACTTTGTACTTTGTACTTTTTTTTTTTTTTTGGTTGCTTTTCTGGGGGGGGGGGGGGGGCTGGGGGGGGGGCAAGCGCCCCCCCTTGCCCCCCCCCCTCGCGACGCCCATGGAGAGGAGGGGGTATGCATGATAGACCCCATTGTAAGCGACAGAAGACATCAATTTCCAACACCGTCGTAACCTTTAAACGCAATTCAATAAGTTCATGGCTTTTAATACAAAGGCATGCGTGATGTAAGTGCCAATCATTGTGCTGTACCAACGGACCGTGGAAGTTTATTTCAATTCACATTCATACTTTTTTTTATGAGAACACAAATGTCCTGAATCCTTTCACCGCAAAATATTGGAAATCTCTTGTAGTTTGTATGCATACATGTACCTTAGCTCCTAGACAATATGCAGGGGTGAGATTTGTCAGGATTTTTCCTGATTTCAGGATTTTCTTGTCATGATTTTTTCCTGATTTGTGGATATTTTGTCAGGATTTGTCCCAATTTCAAGACTTTTTGAAGGGAGTTTTCGTGATACCAGGATTTTTTAAAAGAATCCCTTTGGAATGGACCGATCCAGTAAGCACCGCCCCATGGTATTCTGACCAATCACAGCCGTGATTTATGTCCAACATGCGTGCACAAAAGTCCGACATGCGTGCACGCGCGTATGATGCGAGCGGCAGGAAAATGTAGTGTGGCATTGGAGAGGAGCGCGTGTTAATTTTCCCAGTGCGCAGTGGGAAGGGCCTACTGGATCGGTCCATTGCAGAGGTTTTTCTGTAAGCCTGTTTTTACCTATCAAGGTACATGTAAGCTGAACAATGGCTCCCTGTTAATCTACATTCTGAGACGGTTATTGTTGAAATGATAATTTTTTTTAATTTCACGTCTTTCGTTGCAGCAATGATATTCACAGTGTCTTCAACATCCTGGTCCGTCAGTTCATGACGGACATCCAAGAGCTGGCCCCCACCCACCCCGGCGGTCCCCCTACCGATGCCGGCCTTTCCCCCACCGACACCAGCCCACTGTCCCCACCGTTGCCTTCACTGAGTCCTCTCATGGAGTTCCTTATGCACGGCCGGGGCTGGCTGATCCTGAACGCATTGTGCAACCTCTCTGGCCAGGTACGTGGAACAAGGCGGAAGAAGTTTGCTAATTTACAGCTATAGATGTAACTCTGGGCCCTCAACCAGAGGGCTATGGATCTGAATACTGCCACTGTCTGTATGCTATGTATGTTCTTGAACTAACTCATTTACAGCTGTGGGCTCTGTGCACGGGTATCCTCTTAACCCTAAACCTCTAGGCCCTTTTGGCTAGGAACCATGCATCCTCAATCCTGCAAAATCCTCCAATTGCCACCCTGTAAAAATTGTTGGCAGCCTGAATCCTCCAAAATCCATTATTTCATGAATGTATTCAGTTGAGAGTTGACCACTGTCCTTCCAAAAACCTCCAATTTACTTTGACACATGTTGGAGCAGTGGGGGTGATATCCAGAAGCAGTGCGAATGATATCTAGTATAATCTAGGTATAAATTATTCATAGCTATGCATAAACAACACAAGGTATAGCTTCAGACCTTGACACAATGCATCCTCCAAAATCAACTGGCACTAAAATGGCATATTATAGCCTCAATCCTCCAAAACCGCCTGGTTGATTTTGGAGGATTGAGAAGGCTTAGAAGGGTTAGGGTTACTCGGTCTCTGGTCAGGGCGCGTGTCGATTTTAATCATGCGCGTCAACTTTTTTTTTCTTCAAATTAACTTGGAAGCTACAACAGCGCCCTCTATTGCCACACCTCAAATTTGTGTACCAAGGAGCACCAAGGAATGGGAAATTGCACCAAGGCAAATGATAAAGGGCACCAAGGCAAATTATGGAGGACACCAATGCATTATGAGGACACAAAAAAAGCAAAATAGTACCAGCCTTGTCTGTACTTCAATTCAAGCTTGGAAAAAAAAAAAAAAAAAGCCACAAAAAAAAAGGAAAACCGCATCGCCGCATCAATTCCGGAACTTCGGTCTGACCAGAGACCGACTATTTTTTTTGTGTGCCTAATATACAACATTTGCAAACATAAAAAAAATAATTGAAAAAATACCAAATAAATGAAATACCTTAGTTGGCTGCAAGTGAAATATAGTCTCAGTCATCCTGTGATATCATGGCACCAGGAATGCCGTTATTTTCAACAAAAAGACATTTTTTTGGTATCAATTTCCAACAATGGTCGGCCGACCATCGTTGGAAACAAACTGACTGTTTTCAAATACTGCCCCAATTTGCCAAATTTAGTTAGTCCACATTTTGTTGCAATCGGTTGCACATTCCCCATTCCCTTTAAAACAATCTTTTGTGTGCTTACAGGTTTTTGCACAGTCATGTAGTCATACGTGTATACTATGTGTAAAAAGTAGGTGAAACATTGCTTGCAATACTGTGGGTGTTTTGTGGTCACACTTTCCTATCCACTTGTCTACTGTCCCGGCATAAAGTCCATCCTGTTAGTGTTAACGGCCAGGGCAAATTTCATAGAGCTGGAAACCACAGAGATTACCGGCCAACATTTCATGCAGTGTATACATTTGCTTGTGATTGCTTCTCTTCCAATGTTTGTATAGCACACAAACTTTTAAGCATTTGGAGCTTTTAATGATAATAATAATTAATTGATTTATATTGCGCCAATTCCATTCAATGTACACAGGTGCATAACAGCAAAAAAAATAATAAACAAATGATACTATAAATTAACACGTTAACCAATAAAAAGCTTGAGAATTTCACAGTAAATTCATAATGATATGACATAGAACTCCTCATTCAAGAATATAAAATTACAAAATGTTTTATAGGAACTTCTCAAAGTTTTTGAAGAGTAAGAGGAATACAGGGCGAGTCAAAAAAACCCAAAACCCAAATGTCAGGACCATTGTTTTAGTGAAGTTCTGCCAGTAGCACTTTCAAAATCTAGGATATGAAAGCCCAATTCATAAGCTTTCTTTTAGTACAAGAATCATTCAGATCACTCATGTACTTCTCAAGTTGCAGAATTTTAAACACAACCACCGTTTTAAAGTGGTGTCCACGGATCACAAAAAAGGTTAAAGTGTTCTTTTAGGAAAACGAAAATAAATCAAATAGGGATGTGTTTGAATTGTTTTCGTTTTGCTGAAAGAACGCACACCTTTTTGTGATCCGTGGACAGAACTTAAAAACGGTGGTTGTGTTTAAAATTCCGTAACTTGAAAAGTACATGAGTGATCGGAATGATTCTTGTACTAAAGAAAGCTCATGAATTGGGCTTTCATATGCTAGATTTTTGAAGATGCTACATGCAGAACTTTACTAAAACAATAATCCCGACAATTGGGTTTCGTTTATTTTTACTCACCCTGTATATAAAGGGTATAAGCACAAATGTTTGTTAAGCAAGGTAAATGATTTACCTGTGATAAAAAGCTTTCCATATAAAATACCCTGCAGTGTGTATAGCCTGTGACTAGTTTTGAGGTGATGAAACACATCAATCAAAGCACTTTTCACTGCAGAGCAGTGTCATGAAATTGGGCCCAAATTAAGGGTAGAGTGTATCATTTGCAGCAATCCAAAAACTAACATTATTGTTGAAAAGTTTACTTGGTTTAAAGATAGTAATGGCACTAAACTCTCTGTGCAGTTATTCTTTCTGGCATGCTGTCATTTTAAAGAAAACAATAAAATAAGGCCATTTCCAAAGATGTGTCAAGTGACGCATTTTCAGAAATTTCCGTGTGTAGTTGGTTTGTAGCTTGGCGAATCCGTGAATGGGTGCGTGCAAGCGTTGACACGACACATGCGCGTGCGGTTGCTTTAATTCGTTGGTTCAGTGCTCAACATTGCGTAGCTGCAATCGGCTGAAAGAGAACGTGTCCCGGACGCTGATTTCAGGCGCAATTCCAAACATGACTCGTCAACTAATATTGTTTTCTCAAAATATACAGTATTCACAGAGCTACGCTTCATCGGGTTAGTTGTTAAACACGCGTCTTTAGATTTTGAGCACTTTTGTTGCTTCAAACGAAAACAAATGCACAAATGATCTACTCTACCTTTAAAATCCAGAATCAAATCACTTGTCATCATTTTAAATCCTTACCAGTATTAAATTGTGTGTGTGCAAATTTACAGTGGGGATCACTGGCATTTATGTCACAAATTTGCAAAAAAGTTGGCAAACTGCATAAAACCTTTTTTTTTTTAAATCAAGGTTCCGGTTCTAGAACTAACTGTGAGATAACCAATTTGGGTAAAGCATTCATGCATTTACATCTTTCATATATCTAACGTTTTTCCTTTGATGCAGGCACTTGACTTCAGTCCTGACTTTGTGTGTCTCTTAGTCCAGTTCATTGAGGAGGCGCTGAATTTGCCACTTTGCGACAGTAAAAAAGGTACCACTTTAGTTCCTGTTTCCCCGCATATTGCATGCAAAATGATGCAAAGGCAAAATGTTGGATAACATCTTGTATAAAATATGCAGAACTTCTGCCTGACATGACAGTGTTCGTGTTCATAGCATGTACATCTTTTTGGCCCAAATCTCCCCCTCAAAAAAACAGAACAAAATACGTGTCAGAGATGTTTTGTATGTAAAACTTTCCGTTTCAGTATTAGCAATCATCCCTGAAATCATAACAAGAAAAAATCAATTAACAAATTGTGTTCATTGTGCTCTTTTCTTCTTTTATTTTTGGGCGGGCACAAACTGTTCAATACATAAAAATGAAAGTAAACCAAGCATTTTTTTTGTTGATAGTGGGAGTTTTGATTAAAGTCGCCTCTGTTAATCTGATTCCCCTGTTCATCTTGCATGGCGGCTGTTATTATCAATGTTTTCAGTTGGAACAGGAAATAGGCTTTCCATAATATTGTCAAAAATGAAATAATGATAATAATCCTATCCAGATTCCTATCCTATCAAGAAAAATAAAATATAATACAATGTATACACAAGATCAATTTCTCACATTGTACATCATACAACCAGTTACTCACATGCACAACCAGTTACTCACTTGCATACATGCACAACCAGTTACTCACTTGCATACATGCACAACCAGTTACTCACTTGCATGCACACGCAAACATGTACAACCAGTTACTCACTTGCATACATGTACATGTATGTACAACCAGTTACTCACTTGCATGTACATGTATGTACAACCAGTTACTCACTTGCATGTACATGTATGTACAACCAGTTACTCACTTGCATGTACAAATATGTACAACCAGTTACTCATTTGCATGTACATGTACCACTAGTTACTCACTTGCAATTTTACATGTAGTTACTCATATATGTACATGTACATGTGTATGTTTACAGGGGCAGAAAGTTCAGTGTGCTAAAGTTCAGAGTCAACAGTCAATGTCAAAGTCCCCTGGCCGGTTTCCAGTTCATATTGATACAATTTGTGGCTGAAAATTATAATCAGTTTTGAAGGACGCACTTCATTTTGAGAGTTATCAATGTTTCAATCTTGAGTACACAGAGCCACCGGGAACATCCTGTGCCATCCTTGGAGTTTGTATCTTTCGCTGACTCTTGTCAATAAATTAGAGGTCATTTGCTAGATGTTGCATTGATTATGAATGAAAAATATTTACACGTTTTTGAGGATTAATAGTAGCAGCTTACAGTTCAATCCAATGAATATATGTAAAGGGGGGGGGGTTTGTAAAAGTTAATTTATGCCATTAACAAGACTCTAACAAATCTACAGTTTGTGACTTGGAGTGTTTGGGGTTAACAGGTTAACAGGCATTCTTTTAACATATTTTACAGATTGCCAGTCTGGGTTTAATAAAGTAGTAAAGTAAAATCTGTCACGAGGCAATGTGGCCCATCAGGCCGGCGTTTATCTCTGGTTTCAGTAGCATGATACGACTGAGAATATTTCTACATCGTGTAGGCCTACTCCCCCTGGATGGGATGCTAGTCCATTGCAGGTTACTCCCCAGCTGATGCTGGTGCCCATTTATTATACTTCCTGGGTGAAGAGAAGCAAGTTGGGTGAAGTGACTTGCCCAAGGACACAAAATATCTGGCTAGCAGCCGGATTCGAACCCTGGACCCTTTGATCATGAGTCACGGACCCTAAGCTCAAGGCCACACTCTAGGTTTAATGAGAATGACTAACCTGAAATTCATGGAAGTCCTTAGCAGAAAATGTTTTTAACCAAAACACTCTGACAAAGCAGAATAAATGAAACAAGTTAAAAGTTGCTTACCCTGGGCTCTTTAACGAATGCACTTATTTTTTTTGTTAACAAATTTTCAACTGGTATGTTTTATTACAACCAAAAAAAACCCCTTTTATTTTTCTTTCGTGGATATCTGCAACACAAGTTTAATTTGGGCACAAGCAGATCCATTTTGCAAGCTGACTGGCTCCCAGTCTGTACATTATCGATACTGATTGTGGAGCGGGAACCAGCGTATCCCGCAAGAATGGAATTATTGTCAGGCCACAAGTAATGCGAAATTTGTAAATTAATAATTCAATAACTAAATGTGGGCCAATTTGTTTCGGGTGAGGTCTCATTCAAAAGTGAAAAACTTATATAGTAATAGTAATGTAGAAAAGGCATTTATAAAAGGAAAATAGTACGGGGGAAGCTTTAAAAGTGGTATTAATTTGGTTGGTAACCAGGAAAAACTGAATTGATTTTTCAAAGCAATCGGCAATGTTGGATGTGCAACCTTAGACAATAGTACACACCTTTTGTTCGGGTACATTTACATGTAGATGTATTCTGAACCCAGTTTCAAAATCCGTTTTCCATGCCGTTCTTGGCCTACTGACCTGTGACATGTTGGCCAACTTCATTTAAATATCCAAACACTTGATTTAGAGGGCACTGCGTTTTGTGCGACTTGTACGCGTGCTAGGGAAGTAAGTGGAGGCTTATCAGAATATGGAAAAGGAAAAAAACGGTAGCAACCAATAAGATTTCAGAAACACTGAGGATGCTGCCCGTCCTCATATACATGTGCATGTACTTGATATGGGGTCAGGTCAGGGCTCCAATCTAGGAAGGTTTTTTATGTATATGCATGAACATTTTGTACTGTTTTCCAAGTCATAATTAAGTAGAAAGATAAAACAGGTAATGACATAAATATCAATGGGATATTTACAATTTTATTTCTGTTGGCCTTTCCAGATCGAAGTATCAACATTCCAAGACTGGAAGCCTGCATCCTGAAAAGGCACTTTTCCAAAAAGAGCCTCATGTCCATCGGATTTGCCAATACGCGCCGGTCTACATTCAGGGGCCATTCCGTCTCCAACCCGCCTTCCCCGATCAGGCTGCAGTCCTACCAGGGCAGCCCTCACTCCTGGAGAAGGAGCAGCAGAGACAACACAGATTCCTCCGACTCGGATAGCAGGACCAGGACTTCTGATAGAAAAACATCGAGGAAATCTGGCAGCGATTCCGTGCAGAAGTATGTTTACTCCAGGCAGGCTCCATTACCCAAGGCGGCTCTTTTGGGCGAGGTTCGCATAGTGGACTGGAAGCTTAATATTGAGAACCATCAGAGCAGCGTAAGCAGTGTGGACACCGATGCCTTTGACCTTTGCCTCGTGTTGCTGTCCCTCTTGGAACGCCTCTGCACCAGCGAGGTCATGCACTCCAGCAAGAGGAATACCCTGGCTCTCTTTCTGGCCCCAAAGCTCACGCACCTTCTGACAGTCATGAATGCCCATGCTTCAGTATCCAAAGCGAAAGAGCTGAGTGTTTCAGAGCAGGAAAGCAAAAGGTGGTCAGAGGATCTGATATGCACGCTGCAGAGACTGGTGCTGCGCATTGTGGTTAGCCTCTGCATGTTCAGCTGCACACAGCATTATGAGGCACCCAAGCTGGCGTCCAGCGGTATACTCTTCACACTTCTGCAATTAGTCAAGAGCGTCGGGCGAAGGACGGAAAAGTCATCAGAGGTCACAGATTTGCAAGCTGATTGTGAAAGCTCATCTTCCTCTGAAACACCAAATGTTGATGTTGTCGGCAAGGGTAAAGCACAAACTGATAGTAGTGGGAGCAAGCTTCGGAATGGACCTCAGTCGTTACAGCAGGACTCGTGGTCAGAGTTGACTCTTAATAATTTGCACTATGTTAGTGAGATACTCTACGGTGTTGTGATATTGCTCATCGGTGTCATGCATAGCTGCTGTGACAATCAAATTGTGGTCACCCACGCCATGGCCCTCTTGAATGAGTTTGCCACAAACGCTGGCTATACTGTCACTGAGTCCCTCCTTGCCTTCGTGGATGAGAGGATAAGACATTTTGGAGAGGAGGCCAAGGAGTCGCAGATACTTAAGGACTGCATGATCAGTCTCTTGTGTAGTCTGTCCAAACTCCTCATAGCCACCAAGAGAGCAAAGTTAGAGTATCTCCACAAGTTCCAGTGTCTGAAACGAACCCATAACACTTGTGACTACACGCACTACACCCACCACCACCACAGCATGTTTGGAATCTCGTACAGTGCTCATGAGGATGATAAGGTGCCACCACATCCTCAGCCTAAAACCTTTCCAAAGGAGAGCACCGATAAAACCTTGTTGAGAGCCCGAGGTTCCAAGTGCTGCATTGCCATTATCGTGGAGATGCTGTTGGGACTCCTGGAGAAGGTGCACTACAGGGGAACAACAGTGCGGATCCTGTTTGCGCTTGAGCAAGGCGGAATCTGCTGCTGTCTTCCACCCCATGTTGTTGTTTCTGTCTTTTTGAGGAGCCTCCAGGAACAGCCTGTTGCCATGAGGAGCTACCTCCTTAGTGTGCTGAGTAAGCTGATCCTTGAGCAACTCGGAGGAGGTGAGCGATCGGAAGGAGTCATACAGGGCATCTGTGAGGAATGTTCCAACCAGGACATGAGATCCCCTCCTGCAATGGCAAAGGAGGCAAAGATCACTGACCATTACATGTCCAGCGATAGTGCCATTTGCAGTGACGGGAGCCAGCATGATGACGATGTGCGGACTACAAGGTGGAAAGTACTGGAACTATACACACCGTTACTTATGAGTCAAGATGAAGGCCTTAGCCGGCAGATTTCAGGCCATCTTCTTCACCTCGTCAGGCATAGTAACATGGTGGTCAAGGAGGAATTGTACTTCAGTGTCATCCTATCGTGCTTCCGACACAGCAGTGCTGATACAATAGATGGACCTCAAACTCTTCCGTGTTTCTCAGCTCCGTCTGTACTTGAGCACATCTTCTGCGCCCTGCCACATCTCTTGAATACACTCTCCGCACAGATAGAGTTCCTGCTCGAAGGAGGACTGACCCAACTGGTGCAACTCTTAGACTTACGTGCCACCCGCTTGCATGTCCTTAGAGTGTTTGAGGTTCTCGTCTTGTCTGAGGAAAGCCAAGGTGCCTTCCTCACAAACCGTAGTCGAGCCGGCACCAGGGACAGTGCCCTAACCACAGAGACACTAAGTGAAAGTGGGGAAACTTGCAATGTTGTCCAAGACTTTGTAAATATTGTCTGTAGTGTACTTCCTTATAAGCCAACAGAGGAGACAAACATTATCAGCAATTCGGGAGAAGGGACTGAGCCAGATGAGGACTGGCTGTTGTCCTGCGAGGTTATTGAAGATCCTATCGAACGAGTGTACCGAAGTGCACACAATGTAACCCTTATTGAAGAAGGTAAGGCGGCCTTTGCCGAAAGTTTAAATACCATCACTGAGGAGGAGGCCAGTAAAGAGATCTACGACAGCTTTGAGGAGATGTTGTTCAAGCCTGATCAGTTGAGTAAGATGTGTGAAGAAACCCTGGCCAAGGCTGCCGATGTCTGGCGGGTTGGCGGGAACTTGCTGCTGCAAAGTGCCAGTTTCAAGTTGCAGTTTATCCAGAGAGAGGGGGATGTCTTGGCAAGGTCACTCTTGTCAGAAGCCCTGGTGGGTCTGGCGAGGACCTGGAAGATGTGTGAAGGGCTCCCAGTTACCTGGTCTCCATTCAGTGACGATGCGGCAAGACTGCGTACTGCGTCAGAGTATAAGCCAGTTCCAATGAGCTTATTTCGGGTCATATTGGACATCACTGGATCACTGCTGAGGATCTGTCTGACACTACAAGGAAATGAGGAGGTGAGCTAAGTTTTGTCATCTCCATGGCCGCTTGAAATGTCAGGTCCAATTTGTATTTTGTTTGCTCAGTGAAGATAATATATTAGTGTGGAGCTGGTGGCCTTGGGAATTCTATTACCCAAAACAATGAACATCCTTCATTTTTCAGAGTGAAAACATGCCCAAGTTCCTTGAGAACTGCAAGGGGATCCTGAAACAGTCTGGGATTCTTCAGTCTTCGTTGGGAAGGCCTGTCGCTGAGATGCTCCTGAGGGTTGCCCAGATGCAGGTATATGTCCATCCAGGGTGCCATGGCTACAGCAGTACTTCCAAGGACTGTGTAAGTTATAACAGTAGAGTCCATCTGTTATGAGTAAGATTTGTTTCTGTGAATGTTTGCCTGAATGTTTTCCGATAAGGCATCATTAACCCTAACCCTCCTCAATCCTCCAAAATCCTCCTGGTGGTTTTGGAGGATTGAGGCTGAATGGCAAAAAGGTGTTGATTGATTTTGGAGGATGCATTGTGTCAAGTTCATAGGCTGTACCCAGCATTGTTCATGTTCAGTCGTGTATAATTGAGCCCTGCATTATGTTCCATATCATCCGCACTGCTTTTGAATGTCACCGGCACTGCTACCCATTAACAGCAAGTGTTTCAGGATTTTGAAGGATTGAGGCAATGGTCAAACCCCCCCCCCCCCCACCATGAGCAAATTCAAGAAATAACAGATGATTTTGGAGGATTGAGACTGAAATCAACTTTCACACAGTGGCAATTGGAGGATTTTGCAGGATTTGAGGATGGTTCCCAGCCAAAAGGGCCTAAGGGGTTAGGATTAATTTACCAATTGATAGGATTTGGATTGCAACTGAGAAAACTATTGACAAAACAATTGAAATGCCTGAAGTTAGAATTTGGCTCATTATTTGTAAATGAATTTGAATTGCCATTGACTCTTCTCTGGAAGTGTCAGAAAATTTGGGGGAAAAAATGTAAAACTCTAGAAAATTGCTATCTGTATGAGTTTTTGCAAGCCCTCGTACAACATTTGGTTGACAGTGCTTATGAAATTCTGTCAGTGCAAAATTGGCAAGATATTTAACTCTAAATATCCTACGAACTATCCAAGCCTTGAGTGTGTTAGTTTTGAGTTATTGTGCTGTACTGCAGCTCATCCCACTTCTGCCACCATCACTTTGTGTGAACATGTCTCAGTATTCCCACTGGTCTCGTGTTATGCTGCAGATTTGAGTTATCATTTAAAGATTGAACTAAATTGAGATATTGATCATGTTTTCTTTCAGATGGGCAATAACGTTGATGAAATGCTGCACTGGAATCTGGAGGAGTTACAGGAGGCTGTGTCCAGCGACAGCCAGAGTGAGATCAGCGACCCTTTGAGCACCGAGGAAGGCTACGAAGCTGACAGCGAGAGGGAAAAGGAAGGCGCTCATTCAGGTAGTGTGAGGTCATTTTGATGAGGATGTTTGTGTAAATCTATGAGTCCTGTAACAAAATTAACAAGATCATTACTAGGCAGCCCAAGACAAATTCAGTTGTTCAGCAGACAAAAAGTTTTCAGCTGACATTTGTTGGATACTTGTTCTAGAGGGTAAAACAAGAAACAAACCCCTCTGAGCTTTTCTGTTTCGGGTCATGCCCAACACACCTGGCAAACTACACTACGCACTGTACATGTTATGTGTCCCTGATGCAAATAATGTGTCAATAGCAGCAGAGTTACATAAATGATGTATCATTTGCGACGCCACAAACTTGGCAAGTGAATTACAGTAAATGACATATAATTTAACAATAAAAAACGCTATTCAGAAGATGGAATTTATACGTCGGTGAAGGGCAAAACCTAACATTGAATTTACATCACCCCGACGCAAATTCCATCTTCTAAATAGTTTGATTGTGGTACCCGCTGCTACATCAGATTCGAACCAGCCAACCGATCCTGGAAAGCTCGGTGGTCGAGTGGTGTGACGTCTGCACTAGAAAGCAGGAGGTCATGGATTCAAGTCCCACCAAAGTGATTTTTCTCACGTTCACTCGTGGTTACACACTGACTTTACAATGTTAATACGTCAGTGAAGGGCAAACCTAATATTAAAAATTAACAAAAAACTAAAGTGAGAAGGTCCTGACTAGAAACGACCACTCATTGCAGGCGACGGCCAAGGGGAGGTGGACCTAGACCATGCCGAGCAGACCATGAGCCAGCACACCCTGCTGCACCCACAGGTCTGCCTGCTCCTGCTGCAACTACTGGAAGGCACCGGCAGCAACAGCGGGGAGTTCCCGGCCGAAGTGGCATGCTACAGCATCAAGCAGGTCATGGCCATCGCCCGCAGCAGCCAGGCTAGTCAGGACAGCCTGTACCAGTGTGGCCTGCCCGAGGTTGCCTTGCAGAATTACCGCAGGACGGTGTCGCCTGGTCAGTATCCTGGCAGTTTTTGAAAGCCACCCTTCTGTAAACATGTTCTTCGTCTGTTCTTTTGTCTGTTGCATTTTCAGGCGCATTACAGGGTGAGTAAAAATAAGGAAACCCAAATGGCAGGACCAATTTTTTAATGAAGTTCTGTATATATACATGTAGCACTATCAAAATCTAGGATATCAAAGCCCAAATAAGATGCTTTCTTTCAGTACAAGAATCATTCAAATCACTCATGTAGTTTTCAAGTTACGGAATTTTAAATACAACCACGGTGTTTAAGTTCTTTCAGCAAAACGAAAACAATTCACATAGGGATGTGTGTGAATTGTTTTCGTTTTGTGATCCGTGGACAGAAGTTTAAAACGTTGTGTTTAAAATTCCGTAACTCGAAAAGTACATGAGTGATTTGAATGATTCTTGTACTACATGAAAGTTTATTAATCTGGCTTTCATATCCTAGATTTTGAAAGTGCTACATTTTTGCAAACATTTTTGAAGAAAATAGTCCTGCTATTTGAGTTTACTTTTTTTGACTCGCCCTGTATAAACTAAAGGCCAAACAGTGCAATGAACACAAAATGGGATTGAAAACGGATGAATTGTGAGGTAGCTGTGTGGATTCCTCATAAGAACTAGGCCCATTTCCAGATCCTGCTTACCATATTTGCAAAAATAAAAACATTGCTTACTATAGCAGAAGCTACTTCACTAACAATTACTCTACTTCATTAGTTAGCATAGAATTTTGGCTTGTGCTTATAAGGTGAGCACAGCATGACTGTTTTGTTTGCACACTGAAGCATTTTGGAAGATTCAGGAAGCTTCTTTGCGAAATGCCTTGGATTTTGGGTTTAAGTTGCGTTTGTTTGATTGAAAGTAACATCATACAACCAATACTTTAATCTCATGCAAAGTTCTGTGTTCATATTGTGTTTTGTATTTGTTCTTAACAGCTGAGAGAGTGCTACTTCTGGAACTGTTCGCTGTTCTCGTGCAGCACAATCTAGTGACGTCTGAACTGCGGGAGTTCCTACAGCTCTTTGATTTATCCCGGGAGGATGAGGATCTGCTGTCGACACTGCTGACCATCGTAGACAACACGCCCTCTCTGCCTTCCCACGTTCTCAGCTTCCCCATCGTCAAGCCCATCTCACAGACCCTCTCGGGCAGTGGGTCTTGCTCCAGCAGCGCCTCTACCATCACTGATGCCAAGGCCGGACAGCCAGACCCCACGGCAGCGGCGACGGAGGAGGAAACTACCACAAAACCCGTCCAAATCCGCCTTGGGGCCAGCAAGTCCCCCTGGAACATTGCTCCCGTACAGCTGCCAGTCCACAGCAACCTGCCCTGGCCCCCGACGGGGAAGGGATTCTTTGTTGCCACGTGGCTGAAAGTGGACGAGCTGAGGCTACTGAGTCGACTGCATGCCGTTCCCGGGTTCAGAAGAAGGAAGAGCGTCCATCGACAGGCTGTGGTCAAGCTGACGGAAGAGGAGCTTTTTGACCAAGGTAAACGTCAGAATAGATTGACACCAGCACAGTATCATTTCTCTCTCTCTCTCTTTCGTCTTTTTGATTCGCTTTTTGTTCATTGAGCATCATAAATTGAAAACACTGGAGGAGTTTTGGTTTGATAATATTCGCAGAAAATCAATATCTGAATACCAATGCAGCCATTCTGTGTACAATTTCATGTTACAAGCTGATCTGCACTAGACCATTCTCTCTTACATGCAAGGCTTCTCTTCTCTTAAAGGGAATATACAACATTTGCAAACATCGAAAAATAAAACTACCAAGTTTTTGCGAAATACCTTAATAGGATGTTGGTAAATGACAGTCTAAAGCATCCTGTAAAATTATGGCACCTGGTATACTGTCATTTTCAAGAAAAGTGGTATTTTTGTATCAATTTCCAACGCTGATCGGCCGATCAGCGTTGGAAACAACTGGCTTTTTTCAAATACTGGCCCCAATTGACCATTGCACTTGTTTGCAATCGAATACAAACCTATGAACGGGTACGAGCCAGCTAGACTGGTTCCCTTACCTTACAATTCCCCAATGTATGTAAACTGCTCTGTTTCTTCTTATATGGAGTCAGGGAACCAGACTACAGGAAAATGATAGTTTTTCTTGGTTTTTATAGCATTCTCGAACCCAAAACCTCCAAAAAGTCAGTGTAACTATGTTTGCTTTATATTTCCAACCCCCCAATTCCATCCATTTCTGAAAATTACAGCAAAAGCAAATGATGTATATTCCCTTTAAGCCAAGGTATTCGCCCGTTGATGGTCAGCACACTAACTGAGTTCATATGTATTGTGCCTCTCAGGACAACATTCCTGTTTTTACCTTTTCCATGCTAAAAGCTGACACATTCCAACAGTGGATACCATGATCCTTTGTGTGCAGCTGTTGGACTCAGAAACCTGCATACTTTGCTGTTTTGGGGATTTGTTATAGTCAACAGGGTACTGAAAGGCAATCCCAATACGGAAAGACTATCCAAATGTCGGTGAGATTGAGAGTGAAACAGTTTCTAAAAACTTGTAATTTAAACCATGGAAAGCCTTGAAAAACATTAGCAAGAAAAGAGGATAATTGTCCAAAGAAGGGAAATGACACATTAAATGTACTTTTTTTTTGAAAATCTGATTGAATACAGAGATTCTATATGGAGACAAGAAGAAGACCCAGCGCAAAGATTCAACCACGCGATCACCAGCTCCGCAACGGGCTGGTCTTCATCTCTTCTCCATCGGCAACCGTGACCTGATGATACAGGTCTGGGTTGAAGCCAGAACCTGCAAAATGACCATCAGGTAGTTAAACCCTCTAGTACTTGTACTACATTGTGTTACATTGTGTTACATTGTATTACATTGTATTACATTGTATTTATTCCCCGAAGAATCCATAAACCATATGTTTGGCTCGGAACAGGGAATATATTCCAGGAAGTTTGGGGCGGTACAGGAACGTGGTACAGGGACTGTAGGTCGAATCCATTAGGCTTTTTTTTACAGAAAACTTTCAAACCAGATCATAGGTTTTATTAAAGGTAGAGTAAACCATTGCATCTATCCAAAAAGTAACCGACCAAATTATTGTTAAAAAGCTTACTTGGTTTAAAGTTGGTAATGACACTTAACTGCCTGTGAAATTATTCCTTCTGGCTTGCTGTCATTTTTTAAGAAAACAACAAAAGGTTATTCCCAAAGGTGCGTCGAGTGAAACATTTTTGGAAATTTCCGTTGGCAGTCGGTTTGTAATTGTAAACATGTCCCGAATGCTGATTTTGGGATGGTGTTGTGATTCAGCAACTATTGAATTCAAATCGAGATCCAGATTATTGTGTTTTCTCAATAATGATGGAGCACAGTGCATACCAACATTGGCAAATGCTCGTGCTATGTGTACGTGATTCATCTCACAAATAATTTTTCTTTTTAGTTATAATATGTATTTTCCTTCTTTTTTGGACAGATTAACTCATTTTTTGTCATTGAATGAGCACGAGGTGCTACACGAGGCCACATGTTCCCTCCTCTCTCTGAGTGTTTGGCAGCATCTCACTGTGGGGTACGAAGAAAAGGCCGAGGGTTCGACTCGAACCGGAACGGTAACTTGAAGTCTCAAATTCACTCATTCTCATATCAGAGATTTAAAAACTAGAAGAGGCTTTTCACTTACTGACACAATGGGCTGGACTTGATGTGTGCTCTGAATCTGGACTGAATTTTCTGTAGTCTGGTTGGTTTAAGAAGCCCATCAAGTATTTTACAAATAAACCGTGATTTGATAGGTTTGATAGTGGAGAACAGTTGATTGGTTTTTTTTTTTTTGATTTTCAGATTTTCAGATTTATTGGTATTTGTTATCACTGATATGTGTGTGTTTTAAGCACATAGTTTAAAAAAAAAAGTGCATTTACCAACACGTCAAATAAGTAAAATACTGACAAAAAGGTGTTTAAAAGTTTTGAGTTCTGTATTCATGCAAATGAAAGTCTTTTCCCCTAAAACTCTTTTTATTCCACTTATTTGACGTGTTGGTAAATGCAAACTTTAAACAGCCACAACTTGTCAATGGAATGTCTGATTGACGTGCAACAAATAGTATTGTAAGGAGAATTTTATTCTCTTTCCTAAAACCTGCAAACTCTCATTTTGACCTCTGCCTAGTTCTGTCTCATTTTGCTAGAACACCTCACAAATATCTGACAGAATTCCTGTGCATGTTGTTGTTCCAATATGCACAGTGGATGAGGCCAAGTCAGTCTGTCTGTTGGTTATTTTTTACTCTCTTTGTGTGTACCAGATCACTGTCATTGTGAACGGGCAACTGCAGAGAGACATCTTGATTGAGTACACCAGGCCCGCTCGTACCAAGCCTAGCCAGGCACCGGTGCCCTACTGCCTGCTGGGCCATTGTGTGCAGGAAGGCACGGTTACCAACCTACCTCAGGGATCCTGGCAGTTGGGCAATGTGCTGCTGTTTAACGGTGAGTTTTCCGTCCTTGTTAAGTAGAGGAATTGAATTTGGGTTCACGGTAGAGGAAGATGATGTACACGGCAATAGACCATTATCATGTTGTGGCCATCTTCATTGTTCCCATTCAAATCAACGTAACCAAAGCAAGGCTGGAAGGAAAAATAGTCTGGTTCCTGTTTGCACAGAAACATTATCATTCAGTACTGTTATTGGATACAGGGAACATGACTGAAATGGTGGCAGCATGATAAAGGTCTGTAGTAAACTGATTAAAATGTCTGGGGTTTTTTTTCTACGGAATCTCTTCTATTGGCCAAGGCTATTCTGAAAATTCAAAAAGACAGTTTATTTGAATAATCATTTTTTCAATACTTGAAAATATGTATTTAGATATAAAGAAAGAGGAAGGATTACTGTTGAGACAAAAGAGTATTGTTTCTTGTTCTTATTTTCCAAAGCATTTTAATTCGTTGCCTGCTACTAGTGGTATTGTTAACCCTAACTCCCCAGCCTAATTCACTAGACCCCATACCAATTCTGGCAAATTTCAACACCCACATGGGAAATTGTACACACACACTGTTGGACTTAGTTTCTTGAGGTATACCAACCCCAGTGTAAAAGACCATCTGTTTAGGGGTACTGTACCTATCCCAACAGATTTAAACAAAACCTGCTGTTGAACTGTAATGGGTACAGTTCTGTTACTAAAAGGTATTATGATTGTATTTTGTTGCTATTTACATCTTCATTTGTTTTCTTTTTATTGATATGATATGTTGATGCAAAAATATTTTTCCTGGTATTTATTTTTGAATATTTCATACATGAATAAATAAATATATATTAAATTTGACTCGGCCCTACATGCATTTCTTGCCCTGGAGTACCATTGTTTAAATGTTTATTCCTGATAGTTTGTTTTAGTCTTGTAGCTTTGGTAGTTTTTGCTTATCCAGAATTAGCGTCATAGAATTGGCGTAAGATGTAATTATGTGTTTTTGACGCTATGCTTATTTGTCCTCCATCCAATACCAATTTTTGCACGGAGAATACTAAATAGTGAAACTATGTCACCTTTTTAAACTTGTCAGAAACTATGTTGGTTTTTAGCTGTTAATCTAGGAAGGCATGTTCCGAATGCCTTAGTTCATCACTTGAAAGGATGCTTATTCCAAAGTGATTTTATTTTATCTCCTTTTTTAAACAGATGCTCGTGTTCTGAACCAGGAAATAGCGTTCCATCTGTACAGCATGGGCCCGGACTGCCTGACCATCAGCGCCTGTGAGGGCAGCAGACAGAGTCAGCTGTACAGCCAACACATCACGCAGGACATTCTCCAATCGGCGCTCAGTGCCGAGATCATGTCTGGGGACCGGGAGGTGGAGCTAAGGCCTGCAAGGGTGAGTGTATATTGATGTCCACCAGTTATCCCCCCTATGTTGGGCACTTTGATTTTTTTTTTTTTTTTTACTTTTCTTTCCTTGTCAGAGCAATGCAGGTAATATTTGGAGTTATGAAATGTTTGTTTTCCTGCGATTTACCAATTTTATTATGAAGTGCTCAGTGAACCCCTTCAGAAGGCACCCCAAAATAAGAAAAGATTTCTCTTGCATGCAAACGATGGCACAATATTTAATACATCAGGTGTGGCATGGGTGGCTAGTGCGTAAAGCGCTTGCCTCTCACCACTGTGGCCCTGGGGTGCCAAAAACGCCTTTACATGCATTCGATACACTTGGGCGACATGGCCAGAGACTTGTGCACAAACGTTTGTCGGCCTTTAACTTTTGACCCATGAGCAGACCCTACCCAACTTTCCCTACTTCTAAATGACTCCTCCCACTATCTAACTTTCCTACAAACCAATCCCAAACTCCTCTTTAAAGGGTACTTGTGACCTATCCCAAACTCCTCTTTAAAGGGTACTTGTGACCTTAGGAAGACATCAAAATGTCTCTTTAATATTGCCAGTCTCCCAAAGGTACAATTAATAACATAGCATGCATGTCAGGCTTTCTTTTGACATTTGTTTGCCCAGTCACAGCTGTAATTGGTCAAAACATAAAGGGTAGTGATGCTTGACAGAACTGTTCATTAAAACCGTCCTATTCTTTGAGACAGTCAAAAAATATTTCAACTTGCCCTTCCGTGTATTTGTGAACAGACTAGTAAAAAAAAAAGTCAGATCACATTCGTGTAAACACTGTGACTAGTCAAATTCCATCAACAGACAAAAGAGGTAACTGGTTGGTACAGGTGGAATATCAATCACCTCCAGTCAAAGCATTCCTATATCAAATTGATAAGGGAATTCTAAACTGTGAAAAGAATAGTCACTTGATTGATTTTGAAAGCTGTGATGGCATTGCTGAATTTGTCAGCCAGAGTGGGTAGGCGTTAAATTCACTGTGTGGACTTCCGAACAAAAGAGGTCCACATAAACCAGGTAGAGGAGACGTTGTGTGGACTTTGGCAAGTCCACACAGTGTTTCCCCATTTCTGGAAACTGGTTTAGAGGCATTTTGGGGTTAGGTTTATCTGTGGCAAAATGAAGAGAAACACTAAAGGGGATCATAGAAAAAAATTGGGTTGAAAGAGTTTTCACCGTTTGAGAAAAACAATTTTTTTTTTCACTGGTTTTTCTTAACTACACGAAATCAAGGGAATGTCCACACTTGGTATGTAACGTAAACATGTGGGTTAATTGAAGTAATGTTTCCATATTTCAGGAGTCTCTGGTGATATCCTACTCGCCAAGCAGCAAGGACGTCTTTAGCCATTACGAGCCAGTCACCCAACCCGGCACCGCCTTGGGCCGAGTTCTCAGCGGCTCCTCAAGGAGTTACCCCAACCCTCTCCTGCAGTGCCCAACCACGGTGGGTGCTGCCTTGCTCTGCACCCTTGTCCCCGACTCCCACCTCGGTCTGCAGCGGGCCATCAAAGAGAGTGGCGGAATCGGCGTCTTTGTCTTCCTCTTTGCAAAGGTGTGGAGGAAATTTGGAATCGGACCTTTGTTATATTTCACGTTGTATCAGTAGAGCATGTACGTCTCACTAGCTTTCGTATGTGAACGTCTTGGTACCAAACACAGACTAGTCTAGTCACAGACTCTCATGTTTGTATGTACCCCTGACATGATCTGTTGAACCTTAGTCGAGATCAAAATGTTTACATTTCATTGTTGTCATCAATTCGCAATATTTTTCAATATGTTGTCAATAAGCCAGGTCAAAGGTCATTCGGGATAAAATCGCTGACGTGATGATACGCGATGTTACGCGGACGCCCATTCTGGTTGTAATAAGCGCGAGAGCGTCTTGTGCCTGTCTCTGCGCGCGTTCCATGCATCCAACTTATCCTCGGATCCACTGATTTCCTCGTCTTTTCCCTCTCATGAATGTCATTACAAATTAAAAAATACTGTACAAAGTCTTGTGCTATTTGGAGTTCCCTCGTTTTTTTTTTTAATTCCCAGTTGCGCGCCTGGCGTTCTTACGCCTTCGATTATCCCGAATGACCTGCAACCCATATCATTATGCGCATGCGTAGTTGAAATACTGAACTGGCTTATTGTATTGCTTTCTTTTCCCATCAAAGAACCCCTTACGTTTAACGGGCATTGCCCAAGCACAAGGCCAGGAGCCACTCAAGGTGTGGACTATAAAGTAAATAGAACAGGAAAAGAACCAAAAGAATATCTGTACATATTTCTTTTGAATCCTAGAATATTGTTATCAGAAGGGAAACAAGATTTGGGAAGGGAGTTTCAGAGAGAGGCAGTGTCAGGGAAAAACCTTGATAACTATCCCACAACGCTGGTTACTGAAACTGTAACAGTGAATGAATGTGTTGAGACAGCCAAGACGCGTAGAATGCTTTACAGTTTGGTTTAGGAGAACTACATGTAGTCATGACAGGCTACTGGAACACATCCTATGTACAAGGTGCCCTCCCCCCCCCCAAAAAAAAACCCTACATTTTTTTTACTGCTCTGCTCTGTCCTGTACTTGGTTGCCTCTTTCACGGATGCAAGTTTCAGCCTTTGTTCTTATTGCAGAAGTCAAGCATAAGACGTTTTGGACAAAATAAAAAAGGTCCCTTTTTTTTTAAATAGTAACTCAATTAATAATTTTTTCCCATTGGAAATATTTTTTTCATTGTTGAAAATCTATCGAGCTAAACTTGTCAAATATGTATCAAGAGTTGCGATGTATTTTTTAAAAAGCAGTGAAAACAGTTTTTTTTTTGGGGGGGGGGCCCTAACAAAAAAAAGGCATAGAGAAGCCACAGAGCATTGACTATCTTCCTTCTGTTTTCTTTCTTAGATTGTTGAGAAGTCAAGCTGCAAGACCGTCCAGGCTAAGGCTCTCAAGGTGATCATGAAGCTCCGGGCTTGTAGTCACGCCCTGGCGGCCGTGTTCAACGATATGATGGCCGCCTCCATGATAGCTAAGGTGCTCGTCACCCCCAAGTGCATTGTGGGATTTGAGATGTTGAAGGTATGTCATGTCATCGCCAGAATAGATTTCTCTGCTAACTTTGTAACAGGTAGATGAACTCACGATTTATGAACGGGAATTTGTAGAGCTTGATGAAATTTGATTTACTGGGAAATTTCAGGTAAAACTTTTGCTCTAGCAAGGCGCTAGAGGTGAAAAATCAGAGTGCGCCACATTAGAGCCCGCGTCATATTAGGGTACATCAGCAATATGATGCAGTAGCCGCTGCTACATTGGATCTGAACTGGCCAGCCAACCCCAGCATGCTCGGTGCTTAAGTGAATATGGCATTAGTAACTCGGTGGTTGTTGGTTTGACTCCCACTCCAGCAAACGCGAAGATTTTTTTTGTAATCTCTCACACAGATGAGTTTTTTGTAAGCTCTCATACAGATGAGTAAGTATTCAGTACTTGTAAAATTACACCACATTACTTTTGTTATTTTTTGGCAGGTCATGCTGGATGCTTGCCTCAACAAGCCTATCCTCTACCGCTGCTCCCACGCCAACGAGTACCGGCTGCACCGCGACTCACAGGCCATCATCCAGGACACGGGTCTGGTGTCCCAGCTCCTCCTGGACTGGCGTGTGTGGGAGAAGGCCGAGTCGGGAGTCCTGCCCATGCTGTTCCGTGTGATGGAGACGTTGATTCATTCAGACCACCCCTACCAGGCCTTCAATGTCACCCAGCTGCTTAGCATCCACTGTGTGCGACGTCTGCTCATGATTTGCAAGGTGAGTGGGAGAAATATTGTACATGAGACATCATGGTCCAATGTTTCACAATTTTCCGGACAGCTGAGGGCGCTGTTGCTGTGATGTCACTTTAGAAACACACTCTTTAGATTAGGGTTTTTCTCTTCGAATTGTTAACCCTGAAAATTCTGCAAATTGAAAACATTTGTACATATACTTTTCTCACTGTTTTAGTGTCGTATACTGAAACAGCAATGAAACACTGAAAACAACATAATTACCACGGCAAATCCCTAAAATTCTGGTGACTTTTTACGCTGAATCGGATGTGAAACTGAAGTTTCTGCCTTGAATGACATCACAGTTTTTGCTCATGAATATGGAAATTGTCATTAGCATAATACCAAAAAGGCACCAAAACGCCCCATAAAATGGCATTATGAAGATTACAAATAAAGTTAAAAGGAGCACAAAGGTTTATTTCAAGGATTGCATTAAAAAAAAAAAATCCAATTACGTGGGCCCTCAAGTTTACTGATATTCAAAAATTGCATTTTACAATGTCTTTGGTTGTTAGGCTGCATCCGAATCAGTTGTCTAGAGCTAGGTCTAGGTCTGCGCCCATTGAAAATACGTGGGGACGCGCTGACAATAGACGTAGCCATAGCTCTGGAAGCCCGTTTCGGACACGGCCTAAGATTGAAGTAAAAGTACTATTTTTTTTAAAGAGTTTACCCAAAGCAAACAATGCCTCCTACTTTATCCACCAGTAGGCTGATAAATTTCTGACAAAGTAGATCCAAGCTCAACTTATGGAGCTACTTAACAGAAAATATATCGCTAAGCACATTGGAACCAGCCACAAGCAATTAACCTTACATTGCATGACTGGTAGCCTGTTCTTGAAAAAATGGGTTACATACTCTTGGCAAATTTCTCTGCTCAGAACTTCCAGATTGCAAAAAAAATGGCTCATAGAACATCAGTTGAAGAAAGATTTCCCGTACCAATTGGAATTCAGGAAAACTTGTGTACATTTTCTGAAGACGGTCAGAGCATACTGACCGGAACGTCGAGTTCATACCTCTGGTTCTTTTTAGAACCATTCTCTTAGTTTGAGAAATTATTCGCACATGGTGTTTCCTCGAACCTTTCATTCAGTAGTATCTCCACCATGCAAAGCCTCAAATCTTACTTGTATATTTTTATTCTTGGCTTATAAAAAGAAGTGACTTCACAGGTTAAACAAAACTGGGATTATTCTGATTGGTGTAAAGACTGCCATGTGACTGTCATTGCATCTCCTGATTGGTTAATTCCCCCAATTTCATCTCCAGGAGCGCCACCATGAGGACCTGCCTAACCTGGCTCCGGATACCTGCCTCTCCATAGTGTCTATTATCAAAGGCCTGATGGGTCAGCCACCAGACATCAACCTCCTTGCTGAGGTCTGTGACTTCCTTCTCGCCGTCCATCCGGCCGTCAACACGTTTGTCTGCCACGCTCAGTCCAGCTTCTACTTCTCTCAGCATTCCTGTAAGTTGATTGGTCAATGTAGAAAGTAGCGATTGTTATGATACAAGAATGGTTATCACAATAAGGCCAAAAAAAATAAATATTCGGTCTCTGGTCAGACCAAAGTTCCGGAATTGACACGGCCACGCGGCTTTTTTTTTTTTTTTTTTGCTTTTTTTTTTTTCTTCAAGCTTGGATTGAAGACAAGGTGGGTACTATTTTGCTTTTTTGGTGTCCTCGTGTACATTGGTGTCCTCCATAATTTGCCTTGGTGCTTTCGATCATTTGCCTTGGTGCAATTTCCCATTCCTTGGTGCTCTTTGGTAAAAAAAATTGAGGAGGTGCGGAAATAGAGGGCGCTGTTGGAGCTACCGCGGAACATTTTGGGGAAAAAAAAGATCGAAGCGCATGATTAAAATCGATGCGCGCGCTGACCAGAGACCGACATATTTTTTTTTTTGGCCTAAGAGAATGCGATATAAGGCTTCAAGACACAAAATCTTTATTTCAAGACTTTGCTTTGAATAAAAACTTGTTTGCCTGCCACGCTTCTCAGCAAATTCATGGAAAATTTTGAAATGTTTAAAGTGCACTTTTCAATATTTTAACCAAAAAGGGATGTCAAATAGGTTTGATACAATTAAGAGGAGAATAAAGTTTCACAGTTTTGTTCCCAAGAAAAATTCAAGTCATGGGTCCTTTCGATTTGCAAATATAAGAAACTAAGGGCCATGGCACCACACTGTAACAATGTGAAGCACACAGAAAAGTGTAAGCCGTACGGCTCTGTGCACTCGGTACCCTTCAGCAGTAAGACAGGGAGAGTTGGGGGAGACCACTGGGAGAGACATCTGAACGCACTGCTGATGACGCCTGACGCTCTCGTGAAGAAACTGTTGCTTTGTGCACATTCAGAATAAAATTAGTCTGGCTTATTTTGCACCATAGGTGTTCGAACCAGTAAGCACACGCATTGCATCCCAGGCCAAGTTCGGGCAAGGACCATTAGTCGACTAGTGGTTGATTTGTGACGTACCTTACGCCTGCGCACTAATAGCAAAGTGCGAACGTCTCTAGTCGAACGCTGGTCAAAATGTCATTGCAAAACGTCTGGATCCTGGCTCCCTGCTGTACGTTATGAACGCGCGCGGCTATGGTTACCAGCGAAGCAACCAACCCCAGTAGGTTGGTTCCAAATAGTCGACTAGCGTAGTTAACCATCGTCGACTAGACAGAGTTCGGGCAAGCGTTAGTCGACCAATGGTTAACTATAGTCCTTGCGCGAACTTGCCCCCAATCAACAGGGCTTTGAAAAATGGTCAAAGATCGCCCTCTTTTGCTTCTGCATGGAGCGGATAGAAAGTTATTGCCGATACAGTTTTTGGAATAAATATGTCCCCTTTGTCTTTCAGTCGCCCAGCAGAAATACAAGCAGAAATTGCTGCGACACACGTCGAGTACAAGTAACGTTTCCACGCAGTCCGAGATTCCTTCCGAAGCTCCCAGATTCTACATATCTTCCCAGGATCTTGCTGGTATGTATGAACTTTTTGCCATTATGTCTTGCTATGGGATGAACACACGGTCAATTTTATTCACAAAACAGGAATTGGAAATTTAAAACCTTTCTTTGTACTTAGTTCAAACAAAAGCTTTCGCTACAGTATGTCATAAAAAAAAGTGTCCGTCAAAATATTTTTGAAATAACTACAAAACCACAAAATAAATATGAAAATGTTTAGTTGTGCAGATACTCCTTATCCTTGGCCTAAATCCCTATGAGTGTTATTTAATTTTCATCACACCTCACTGCACAGTGGACAATTGATCACAATTACATTTTGAACATTGCAAGTTCCTTGCCTTAATCAATTTCAGTGCTGTGTTATGTAAGCTGTTAAAAATCCTTCATGTTGTGAAAAGGGTTGCGGTTGGGATTGGAATCATTTGCCTGGCTATCAGTCATCATGGCAAGACATCAGTTTAATCCTCAAGCGCAACTTATTCGAATCCCGAACCACGTCAGCCTTTTTTTCACAACATGAAGGATTTTGCACAGCTTGCGTAACACAGCACTGAAATTGATTGAGGCCAGGATTCTGGTCACAGTGTCCAAATTGTTGTGATCAATTGACCATCGTGCAGTGAGGCGTGAGGGAAATTGAGCAAAATATTGTTCTCTATCTCTTCATCCAATATGCAAGTCACGCAGTGTTGTGTTAAATGTTTTGCAGTGCTGCTCTTCTATTGTGCATCTATCGTAAATGAAAACCCAGTTTTTGTCTTGGATTTGTAGAAATGAATCACAATCATCAGCGGGCGGCCACCGATCCCGACAGGGACAATGCCGATAATTCAGCCAAATCAAAACAGGGTCCCTTCGGTTCCCCGGGCGCCAGTGACTGGGATGAAGACAGGGGGTCAGACATGAGTGGTCTGGGTTCCGGTCTTCTGAATCTCCTCTCTGAGGCTTTGGTAGTGCTTCCAGACTCCAGTCTGTCCAAGGTTTTGGGCATCGTGATCAAACCGGAGACGCTCATTGTGCTGGCCCATCACGACTCGCCGCTGATCCGAACCCGAGTCATCCAGGTAGGTTTTTTCGAGCTGTCTGTTTCGTGTGATACTAGGTTGCATTCGCTGACCTCTATAGTAACTGGTCTGGCTGACTGTGCCAATGCAGGGTTGTGCTATCAAGCGTCAACAAAGCGTCAACAAGTTCTAAGAGCACTTTTCAGCTTAAAAATCATGTTCAGTGGGCTCTTACGATTGTTATAAATGTATCACAATATTTAAAAGTACCTTAAAATGTGCAAGTTTTAAGTGAACAAGTACGACATCAACGGTGGCTTTTTTCTGGGGAAACTTGCCGCCGTCTTGTTTTTTTTGGACATGATACAATCGAGCATGCACAAAAGAGAAAACGAGCTGTTTGTAATATTAAGTTTTCCCTTAACTAAGCACAGTGCTGTTGAAGAGGCTTTTTGGGAATAAAAGCAAAACTGGCTAAGAAAAGGACGCTTCTTATTTTGCGATGACCACAAGACATGTCATAACTTGTGACGTGTTTTAAGCCGTCGTCAATGTATACAACACATTCAACACATTGTACGTTTTGTAAAATGGATCGTATGATGCATTGCAAGTTGCAACATGTTAGGTGTTGCAACTCGTGTTGTGACACGTCGCAGCGCTTTGTGAAATCGGGTGCTGTTGAGGACTTGTGATGGACATGAGTTCAACACCAATAAATCCCCGACTTCACCCCTTGTATTTATACCTCCTGTTTTTGTTGTTGTTATTTTCCCAGTTGTTGGACATGTTCTTCCATCGTGCCAACTTGGCTCAGATTGAGACCTTCCTGAAGAGGAGGAGTTTTCATCTCCTGGCCAACCAGCTACATCAGTACCCGGCCACCCGTGAGCTGATGGAAGCATGCCTGACCATCACGGTGGGCAAGCCTGTCAACATGAACCAGGGGTAAGTATGTCATCGGAGATAAAGCATAGAACATTTTATCCACAGTAGGCCCATTGTATCCGGTATTAGTTGTAGGATTCTGAACAACTGACTGAGGATGTCAGTGTGAAGATAGAATGTCAAATTGATTTGAATATTGTCCTGAGATGAAGTTCGCAGCATTGTTTAGAAACTGATAACTTCATTGCAGGAGGATTCCATGGAATTTGTTCAGAATCTTGTAACAAATGGGGCTAGTGCGGACAAAGTTTTCTAAAACTTCTCTGGTATGAATTCATCAGTGTTTTAATCAAGACAGGTCAAAGCTTGAAATTTTTGGCCCAAAGATTTGCTGGGAAGGGGACGTGTTTAACAAAACTTGTTCCTGAGTGGACAATCTAGTAGCCTACACAACAGGCAACATGAACAAGTATTCATTTGGCTTGTCTGTTTTTTTAAATGCCTGTATTTGCCTTTCTTGAGTCAGTATTATGCATTGGGATATACAGTCTGAGACTGGCCAGCGCGCCATTGTCCTTAAGTATCTCTGATGTGGGGCCACATTGTGTAATTATCCACAAAAACGCAAAAACTGGCACATTGTTCTTTGTGTTTGCAATATCGAAAACGAGACCTATCAGACAATAGCAGAATCGTCAGATCCTTAAGCAACCAGTTTATTGTCAGAATCTATGATGGCAATGCTTGTTCTCAAGCACACGTATGAAATAAGGTTAGGTCTACTCTACTCTTGGGTAGACCACAAATATTGGGAAATATTTAACACCATCAACTTGTTTTGTGTGGAGTGCGGTGGCCTTGTGATCCGGAGCATTGCATTCGTGGTCTGTGGGTAATTCTGCAGGTCGCGGGTTCGAGTCCAGCCTGGGGATATGTTGGGTGTGCCCTTGGGCAAGGCACTTTGTCACTCATTGCTTCTCTCCACCCAGGAGTAAATGGGTACCTGTGAGGGCAGAGATGGTTATTGTGATTGATTTTAGCTGCTTTGTGCCGAAATGACAGCATCGAGCTGTATACTCCCCAGGGAGCCGAGATTGTCTTTGGAATGTTTCATTGCTCAATGAGCAGGGTGATAATGATGTAGCACCTGGAGCACCAATAATGGTAGATTCTTGTACGTTATAAATCCACACTACTATTATTATTATTAGTTGTATTGTTTTTTTGCTTAGCGTGGAGTTGATGTTACTTCAGGAGTCGGACCGCTTCCAGCATATGTCATCAGTACTGTTAATGTCACTCCTTGAGAACTCGGTGCATGACTTCAACCTTTGCCATGATGGGATATGCATAGCCAATCAGGTCTGTGGAAACTTGGTCAGTTTATTTACTTGAAACAAGTGGCGTAACAAGGGCCCAATGGGCAGGGGGACACATGGGGGTGCTGCTTTTTCTGGAGGGGGCATTTTTAACAATAATATTTAATTTATATCTTTTCTAAATGGGGCAATACGTGTCTCCCCCTCCATTGTCTACATGTCTCCCCCAGTCATGCCACTGCCCTAGTATTCGTGAAATGACTTAGATTCAGATTAGATGACTTGTGATTGACTTGTTTATGAAAAGACTAAAATTCTGGTTTAAGTGTAATCATTTTGGCTGTTTCAGCAACCTGCCGAAACAGCCTTTGTGTTTATCAAAATTGTTTTCTTTTTTTTTTTTCCTTTTTTTTCAGGCTCCCGTCCATAGCATTTGTACACATTCTATAGTGGAAGGCACTTTGGGCACTAAATTAATCAATCCAATTGCCTTTATACTCAGCACACACTTAGACCAGCATCTGAAGATGTGTGCTGAACATTGACGTCATCATGACATCATCACGTGACCTGTGACGTCACATTTAATGTGCACATTTTGAAGGCCTATATCTACAGAACTACGAGGCCAATTGGGTTGAAAGTTAGTATGAATCTAGACCGGGATGTGTTATAGATGAAAATTGAGGTGACGTCACGATGGCGTCATCACATGACATGTGACGTCATATTAAAAGTGCATATTTTGAAGGCTTATGTCTACAGAACGACAGGTCGGATTGGGTTGAAAATTGGTACATTTTGTACTTAGACCGGGATGTGTTATAGATGAAAATTGAAGTGACATCACGATGACGTCATCACATGACATGTGACGTCATCACATGACATGTGACGTCATATTAAAATTGCATATTTTGAAGGCTTATATCTACAGAATTACGTGTCCGATCGGGTTGAAAGTTGATATGTACATTGTAGATGGAAATTAAAGTGACGTCACGATGATGTAATCACATGAAATATGATGTCATTTTAAATGTGCATTTATATAAAGCCTATATCTACGGAACCATTGGCCTTGATCACTCTGCAACTTTCTACTGCACATCTCTGGCCTATTAGTCTATAACATGACATAAAAATACAACAAATTACCAAAACAGCCATGTCTTGTCCACAAACACCTAGTTTTAGTTTTGTTTTTCTGTGTCCAGTTGTTTGAAGGTGTTGAGAGCGTAGCTAATGTGATGCTTGCCAATGGCTTGGTAGAGACGCTGTGTAATGTACTGTCTGCAATCTGCAGCATGGCCTCAGTGCTTGACAACCAGAGGAATTCCGCGTCAACGGATGCCAATTTGAGGTATTCATTTTTATTATTAATATTGTTTTTCAATTTGTGGGGCAGACCCAATACAGCTTTGGCGTGTCTGGTGCTATTATTCTAACTTTCGATTATTTGCAATTTTTACTGCTTTTCTAATACCATCGAATCAACTTAAAACTTGAAAGTTGGTTTTAAAGATATACTCTAGATGCTCTGCGACAAATTTGATTTTTTTTTTGGTGGGGGGAGGGAAATTGGCATGTTATATTTTAACACAAAATGTAAATCACTTCTTTTTTTTTTAAGTTGGGTGTCAGAAACCCTCAGAAATGTTTTTTTTATTTGGTTTGTTTTTGCACCTCCCACACACAAAGGTAGAGCACAAAAATTATTGCCAGACCGTAAATAATTCGAAATTTGGATAAACTCTTGCATAATGAAATGATTGCGTTTATAAGTGACTTACGTTGGTAGAAAATCAGCAATTAAAAAAAAGAAGTTTTTAGGGATTAAAAATAAAAATTGAAAATAGTAGGGACAATACGTCTGTAAGCTATTTCTTGTTGTTTTTACTCTTGATTTTCTGTGGATGCACTGCACACTTTTTTACGGCTTTCCCTCAGAGACTTTGCTTTTTTGTTAATTAGCCTCCAGACTATTTGTCAGTTTTTCACGCTCATTGTAATTTTTGTTATTTGATGTCAACGTCCTTAAGGTGCAGTGTGTGATAAAAAATGTTTTCTTTCATTGAATTTGAAATTGAGGTCAAGCGACAACCAAGAGGAGGATACCATGAGCGAGAAATCAAGAACATTGCCAAACGATGCAGACACAGCAAATGGCGGGATGCAAGAAACTCCTCCTAGCGTCGTCAAGGCCAGACTCACGGGATCCTCTGACGAAGACGAGACGCACGATCCAGAAGAAAACAGAGAATTAGATCAGCAGCTACTTGGGAAGATGGGCCCTGGCACCGTAAGGCCAGCAACGGTTAATGGATTTATTGACAGAGAACCCGGGGAACCGGACATTGGAAATGGACCAATCGGCACTGCCCAGATCTTGTCTCCACAGTTACCAGATGGGGAGTCCAGAATACCAGAGACAATACAAATTCTCATCAAGGATATACAGCATTTCATGTCGTGCATTGCCAATCATGTTTTCAGGTACTTTGTTCTAGTTTTCCCCCTCCATTGTCACTTGGGTCTTTTTGTTTCATTTATATCCAGTGACGATTTTAAAGTTTGAAAATGTTTAGCACCATTATAAACCACTATCTTAACAGGATGAACATTTTTCTTATTTTAAATCTTAAAAAAAAATATGTTAAATGTCTCTTAATCGGAAAACCGACTTTTTGACTTTTCCTACAAAAGTAAAGTTCAGATTTTTACGATTTATCCCACTAAATTTGATTTTTTAATGATTTTTCCACAATATGTAATTTTATTTTAATTATAACTTTGAAGAAAAGTCCATCAAACAGTTGATGAAAACGGCACCTAAAAATTATCGTGAGCGTAGTTTTAATCTGTTTCACCAGACCTAAATGTAGTAGCACAAAAAGTGTTTGAAAATTTGTGTCCAAATGGTGTTACTTCTACTGTATTTTTCATTGTCGAGTTTAGATTGACTGTGTTTTTTTGATATCCATATTTAGTTCTGGCAGTCAGTTTGACTATTTTGAAAGCATGATGCTGCTCCTGGGAGGAATGGAAGAAAAACACCGAAAGAGGCACGGTGAGTTTCTGGATGAGTCTCCATTTTGTAGGATAAAAATGCCAAGTATACATTCTGTACAAGCGAAGTTCTAAAAAATTTGATGCAGGGATATTAAGTGATCAAGAAGGTATAGGTACATGACCTGATCTGTGTGGCCTTTGGTTCATTTGAAGACACTCAGTGCATGTATATTTTTAGCATGAAGCACCCACAGCTGTTTTTATTCTAAAGGAGCACAGACCCATACGAGGTGTGAACATGTGAACATCAGGACCCAATTTCACAGCGCTGCTAAGCAAATAAATTTGATTAGCACAAAAAGCCTGGCTTATAAAAGCAGGTTACCAGCCAAAACTCCGCGTGATTTTCATGCTGTAGCAAACAACAGCTGAATACTAATCAGGAGCAATATACATCACATGGAGTTTTGGCTGGTAACCTGCTTTTATAATCCAGACTTTCTTTGCTAAGCACATTTTTGTGCTTAGCAGCGCCGTGAAATTGGCCCAGGCGTCATCAGCAGTGCATCCAAATCCCCCAATTGGTCTCCCCCAACACTACTTTTTTGTTGTGATAAACGCCATGCTGTGTCAATGTCAAGGTGTCATGATGAATGCCATTTTGTATTGACAGGGTCCGGTTCTGTGATCCCAGAGATCGTGTACGAGACCCAGTGTTATATCGTCAAGGAGGTCCTGGACCACTTCAGGGCCACCGCCATGGCCGTGGACTCGGCCGTCACTAAAGGCAGGAAATCTATGAGCTTACAGAGGAGCGTCAGTTACTCGGGTAAGACACTGAGAATGTCAGTTGGGACTTCAAAAATGGTAAAAGAGAAAATTTATGGCACTGCAGAGCAAAGAGATGTTTTGCTAAAATTGACTCGGATTTAACTCAAGTGACTTGACGACGACACTGTTAGTTGTTATGTACTCTACTTAAGATCTGAGTAATTTTGTTGCTTTAAACAAAAACGTACGTGTACCTTTATTAAGACAAGATTAATTGTTTTTATGTTTAAGTCAATTTTCTTTTGTACAGTTACTGTCTGAGTGCTGTCTTGGCTTGTCTTCTGAAGGCTTTCCTCAAAAATGTTATTCTGCCTTGTTTAATTTTGAGTAATATTGATTTTTTTTTTTTTTCAGAACGTAAATATGAGGAATACAAATGGATGCGACGTAATTCTGCCGATTCTGAACCCAAAGGTAAGGTTGACAGTGTAGGCCTGCTTTATTTCATAATCCTTTCCAAAAAAAATGACAAGCATTGGTCTCAATTCGGTTTACACGGGTGTTTTCTAAGATGTGCCTTTGAAATAAGAGACATTATTTTGCATTTTATGGAAAACGTAGAAATTTGAAAGTGGCCAAGCAGGCAACTTTTTCTCGGATCTGCTGATTTCCTCGTTTTTCACCTCACACTTGAGAAATGCTGTACAAAGTCTTGTAAATCTTGGAATTTCCTCAACTTTTTTTACTTCCCAGTTGCATGCCTGGGACAAAGTTCTGCACACTGACCATTTAACCATAACATATTTGAGTTACACAATGGATTCCAAATCTTCGTTTCTCTTGCAGACACTAGAGGGCGCTTGACATCAACCAGCAGCATAGGGTCCAGCGAGTTTGGCATGTCCCTGATATCGGAGTCCAATTTCGAAGACACGATGTCGCTGAGCTCTGAACACGAGCGCCTCTCAGATTTTGGGCAGCTAGCAGAAGGTATGGAGAAAATTTGGAATGATGGTTATTTTTATTCATATTTATAAACAGAATTCTAACTGTTCAATGAACAGAACATAGGGCTTTTCTGCATTATATTTTTTATGAGTTTATGTTTTGTGTTCGTCCATATGCGGTCAGGAAAATTATATGCAAGAACAGAGTTCCGTGACTTATTTTGTTGTCACTCACAGATCGCCGGTACTCGTCACAGTTGGACACCATCCTCAGGATGCAGAGAGTGCACGCAGCGTCCTCCTCCAGCCGGCCGGCCAGCCGAAAGAAAACACCAGAAATGGCCGGCGAGCAGCTCCTGGCCAAACGCTTCCAGAGAATCTGCCTGCTGACCGTCAACCTGGTGGTGCAGAGAGGTCAGTTGTTAGACTTTAATTGAAAGATGTACAATCCTTGCTGTTTTCAAGTTTCAACACGACAAATAGATATTTCTTTAAATTGCTGTATTTCTAACAACTCAACAGATTTCCACTTCTGCATGAGATATTTAATGGAAAAATCGGCCTGTTTTTGGTAATGGTATATATACCATAAATTTGGCATTATTTGGAAGCAGACAATAGTTAAGTTCTAGCTTCAAATTAGGTTTTGCCCTTCACCAACGTATAAATACTGTATAATCAGTGTGTTACCTCCCGAGTGAAAGTTGGGAAAAAAGCCTTAAGTTCTAGCTTGGCAAACTGGGGTCTATCACCCTTTCAGAAATTGATAATGTTTGGACTGGGAGCAAGTCTACTTGCTGGGCAGATCATTTTGTGTGTAAAAGGAAACCAAAATAACAGCATTTTTGTTCAGGTCGCAGATGCCCACAATATATATTATGCAGGTACATACAGGTGTGGTAGGTAGTATAATAATTACAGAAATCGGTCATTTGGAAGACATTCCCATAGACTTGTGCACACTTAATGTCACCTAACCCCAATTTTACCTTATCCTACCCCACAAATTTTGGTATATTTATGTTTTGGCCATGAGCAATCGATCTTGCCTATTTGCGACATAACATTTTGCCTCTAAACAGGAGCTGTGACATTAGGGAGACATTGAAATGTGTCCCTAATGTCTGGTGTCTCCCTTTAAGGTGTAATTACTGACGACAACATGTCTCCCAAAGGTACCATAGAATTTGCACTTAATAAATACTATCATTATTATTATTATTATTGTTATTACCACTAACAGGTATAACTATATTATATAGTGCTGAATCTGTCAAAATGACATTCAAGGCACTTAACAATCGTTACAAAATTAACTAAAAACCTTAAAAACCTTCTTTTTTATTAAACCTGAATTGTTGCAATAATAATTTAAGCATATTACATTAAAAAGTGATGTGAACACAATTTAAAAAAGAATGTTCAGCCCATTTGCAGAACTTTTATGTACACTAAATATCCGACATTGCAACTACCACGAATTTTCACCATTTCTGGGAGACGTCCATTTCTGACTGCCCATCCCACGTGCCTGAACACGTCATTTGACTGCATTGTGTTATATACCCAAGCGAGCTTTGGAGCGTCCCATTAATGGAGGGAAGCTGCCTCCAGTAAGCATAACAAGTAGGCTACTTGGATACAGACACTAAGACAAAGGAAGAGCAGTCATAAATTGGACAGGAACAAAGACAATATCAAGCAGCATGATGCTGATCGAAAAACTGGATTTACAGGGAAACGGCTGTAAAAACCTTGATCAAACTTGCTTCATGCAAAATGAGGTTTTTCGAAAGACTAAACCATGTACTTGTCTTGTTTAGATGAAGAAGGCAATAAAGTCAATCAAACCAATCAGCCTTCCGTTTTTCTTTCTATCTTCCGGTCGTATGAATCTCGTCAACTCCTCAGCTTCTACTCATTTAGACGATAGCGTCATCCAGCCAGTCGATCCAACACTGACTCAACTGGCTAAGCGTCTGTTCCATCTCCTCACCGATGCTCTGACGGCAACCATGGTAAGCTTCTTGAGAGAAGGGTCATTGCACATGCGCTGCTCCGTTGCGGTGGCCATGCTAGCGCAATACACGATACCCTAGTGCAGTTTGCGTTGTAAGTATGGTGCGTTGCGATCTTTTGTAATAATAATAATAATATCAGCATCTTATATAGAGCACGTATCTACCAACAATAAGGTGCTCTAGGTGCTAATTAATATGAATTTATTTTAAAGACGGGTAAATCAAGTATTTGAAATGTTTATTATAAGGGTTTACAAGGTGCTGCGGCGCAGCGAACAGCTGCTTCCAGAAATATCGGGGGAAAAACCCCTTCTCTTAGTGATAAGTGTTCTTTTACCTGCATTACACAACGCACGGGACCTGCGGCTTTACGTCCCATCCAAAGGACGAAGCAATAATGGTTGAGTGTCTTGCTTAAGGACACAAGTGTCAAGACAGGGACTCCAACCCACACTCTGCTGATCAGAAACATCAGATCTTGAGTCCGGTGCTCTTAATTGCTCGGCCATGACACTCCACGTGTACAGCGTTGATGGAACCGTACGACGTGTTAAACTTTCAGGCCCTAGAGCAAAACCTACTGGCTGCTTGACCTGGACCATTACATCAAGGGCTTTTGGAATGCTGCCTGTTCTCTGTGGAGCAATGGAATGTACCAGTTCGAGAACACACCATTCCAACTTAAATGTTTTGGAGATACGAACCGGCCAGCTGGCCCAGGCAAGCTGGGAGGGAGGTGGTGGGTTCCAATCCCACCCAGGCATGTTTGTGAAAATATATTCCCACAATCTCCCAGGCAGCACCAAGTATACATTGACAGGGTTCGCCCTCAACGTTTTTTTTTGTCACGAGCCAGCCGGACTAGTGAAACAGACTCTTATCTAGTCCGCAGACCTTTTCACTAGTCCGTAATAGAATTTTTTTAATGTTTTCCCCAGAATGTCATAAACGATATGTTATTTACAATAATTTTGACTCACCAGGTGGACTACTTCGGAAATAGTTTTGACTAATCCGTCATTTTTCTTACTCGCGTTTGGCGAGCGAGCTACCGCTAAAGTCGAACCCTGATTGCTTATGAAAACTACATTGATGAATGGCAGAAGCCAAGAATGAAAGAAAATGTTTTGATTGTTCCAACATGCCCCAGTCTTCTTGTCTTAAGTGGCCTGCCAGTTTAATCTGAGTCACTTTTATTCCCTCTATTTAGGAGAGAAAGCTGGGCCAGCGTAAGCAGTGGGAGAGCATCCTATGGTCATCGCGGGATACGCTACGACTACAGCTGCACCGCCTCCTGGTTCACATGATGGCGCCATGGCAAGCCACACCCATCAGGGTCTACATGCTGCAGGTGGCGTGCATCCCCAGGGCTAACCATATCCTCCAGGCAGTACTCAACACAAATCTACAGGTGGGTTTCAAGCCAAGAGTGATGGGCTCTGTGCACAAGTACCCCCTCAATGGTTACAAAGAGAGAGTTGGGAGAGACCATAGACATCACAATTGGAGAAAAACGCATTGTCGCTGTTTGGTTGACGCCGCCTGCCCCTCGAAGCGAGCGAGGTGAAGCCTCGCCCAAAATGAATAGACAGCTAAACTGCTGTTGAGGTCAAAGATCAAGAGTCTGTTTCCAAGACGACCTGTTTCCAAGCATAAATTCTGAAACTGTTGCCAAATCAACTTGTGCAGCGCAGTTTTATTATTTAAAATGGGCTCAGTGAGGCATTTGTATTTGTTAACACATCTTTTTTTCTCACGGCGGTGTTAAACACGCCGTGGGCTTGCGCTGCTTATGTTGGCTGGTTAGTGGGTTGGTTGGTGGACACTTTACTCGGCCATATATTGTATGCATGCAGCTCGAGTATTTGCATTTGAAAACTGGTTTTGCAAACACTGCTGCGCATGCGTCTAATTTGAGTATTTTTGCATATTAGATCACGCCCCATTCGTTTTTGTTTTCTGTACTCTTGAGGTACCGGTACGGCCCAGTTGCATGGACGGTGCCGTAAGCCGTCTTCACACGTTACCCGGCCGCTGTGGGTTGTACCACTTGGTACTTGTTGGTTTTTTACTGTCTAACATTGCAAAAAAGCTCACCGCAGTCACTAATGAGATTGCATTCATGTGCACCAATCATGCACATTCATTCAAATGCCTGTGTCTGACGCTATCCTATATGAAGGAAAGTATTCTTTGTAAGGAGTTAGCACACTTGTAGTTTCCATGTTGTCATCTACTGTTCCTCACCCCCCCCCCCCCCCCATTGCAGCAACACCTGGGCAAGTTTGAGCTGTTCCTGTTTGACCTGCTGCGCAATCACACCCAGCTGACAGAAGCCAACTTGGTGCTGTGCCAACAGTTGATGGACCTGCTGGAGAAAGGCGGCTTCCATCCGCTGTATGAGGAAGACATGGACTCCACCACGCAGGACAGAGTCAAAATAGTAAGTACTGGGCCTAAGGAATTACGTAGTAAATGCTTTTGCTAAGCAGAAGTCAGCCGAGTACCAGTCAAAGCAATATACATTGTGTTGATCGTTAGCTGGTAACCTGGATTGTGCTAAGCAGATATTTTTTTGAGCTGAGTAAAATTCTATTAATCCTCCTATGTAAACATACATTCTGTGCCAAGTTGTTGTTTATTTCAAAATCAATCAAGTGACTGTTTTTCACAGTTGAGAGCTCCCAGCCTACTTAAGGCAGGCTTGACTGGCTGTGACTGTTTACCTAGTTTGATACGGCTATGCTTTGACTGTAGGTGATTGAAAAGCCAGCTGTGTCTACCACTTGCCTGCTTTTGTCTGTTAACTGAATTTGACCAGTCACAGTGCTTGCTTGAAATGTGATCTGACTGTTGGTGACTAGCCTGTGTAAAAGGCATGGCAGGGGAAGAGGATTGATATTTTGACTGTCTGTCACTGCTCAGATAGGAGGGTTAACATAGCCAGACAAGAGATTACAAGGTGCCGTTTGTTCAAGCTCAAGTCACAATCTGGAAGTGAACTGGGCATCAAGTTTGAGTAATTGAGCGTCTTCCAGAATAATACCTGGGGGTGGAGTAGGGCGAGCAAAAGGAAGGGCGTATCTGGCCCCGTTCCCAGTTTCTAATTGGAGTTTTAGCCTTGTTGCTCTGCAACCCAAGTACAAATGTGTTTGTTGTACACAGGAACTTGAGAAGATGGTGGCAGAGGAGGGATCGCTGCAAGAAGCGTACATCAAGCAGCGGTTAGATGGGGCTGCTGTCGCATGGTCCAAACTGGACCCGTTTTCCAAAGAGGTGGCCAACTCGGCCATGGAGGTCACACAGGTCAGTTTAAGGTCACTCAAGGGTCAGTTAAAGGTCACTCAAGGGTCAGTTTGATTCCTGCAGAAAGGCAGACAACACACACAAAGGGGAAGTGTGAATGGGTCATTCAGTGAATTGAGGGTCCAAAGTATGACATTTTTTCTGTCCCTGTTACCTTTGTACTTTGCCATTCCAGTTTCATTTAAAATGACTTTCAACAAATTTTTATTGCTGGGTAGGTCATTTGCTTCACTTAATCTCTCTTGGTGAAGAATACATTATGGAGTGCATCCAGAATATAACTGGAAAAAATGTAGAACCCTCATTTATAGAATGACCCAAAGTGCCAGAGCTTTTCAAAATAAATTTCAAATTTTAAGTCAGGTTTTAATCTTTAAAATCCTTTAAACACAGTTCATAGTTACTTAAAATCCTTTTAAAACAGTTCATAGAACTGACTTATATATCGGAATCCGGAGGCCAGAACTGGAAGCTTTTACTGCGGTGGCGTCACGCTCACGTGCATGCTGCACGCATTTTAAAAGAAGAGACACACGCGCATTTTGATATTCCTATTGGTCGAAGGAGCCGAAGCATGTGCGTACTACCTGAGCGCAACTCGTGCAATCCTGGTTTTACCGCAGAAAATGGCCGCCGGAAAGGTTACAACCAAAAGGCGAAAGTAAAAAGTTAAACAGGTAAAACCAAACCTTTTGAATGATCTGCAGCACTCATGTTTTCCTGCCGATTCAGGGCCTGTTAGATTTACAAGCCTCCAATCCATCCTAAATCAGTTTCCTGAAAATCTCTGCGCATGACCATCTCTTGTCCACCAAGCATCGGTACAACTCTCTCAATTCCTATTTGGGTTTCTTCTGAATGACTTTTTGTATTCAGTTGGTGACTGCCTACCAGAACGGCCAGCGAATTCGTTTCCTGGAGTTTTTGAAGAGCACCATCGCTAGTTCCTTGGACGTCAGGTCTGCTTGGCAGGACCTGATTGAGAGCCTGACACATGAAAGGTAGCAAGCAGTTCTTTTTTCCTTTGGTTTTCAAATAGTTTTAAATGAAAGGAGGAGATCACTGGGAGGGGTGGGGGGGGGGAGGGAGTGGTGTCACTCTTGAATGTATTACCACAGCCACCTGGGCCAAATTTCATGGCACTGCTAAGCACACAATTTTCTGCTAACAGAGCCTCCTTCTGTGCCATGGGAACCCATAAGCATGAGCACAGCAAAAGGCATGCTTACCTCAGAGGAAAAAGTTGCTTAAATTAAAGACGGAACAATAGAAACCTCCATGCGCGTGCAACCATTAGCACATCCACGCCGTGAAATAGTGCGTAAGGTTAGCTAAGGTAAGCAAAATTTTCGTAAGCAGAACTTTTCTGCTAACTGTTAAGCAGCACCATTGCCACAGGTTTGTGCACATTAAGGATGTGACGTTTACACGTTTAAATGAAAAGAATTCTTTATCTGTTTACAAATTTTCCAAAAACATTTAAACGAAAACCGAATTATAAAAAGGGGACCTACGTTCACGCAGTCTTCCTTTGGGTTAAACCTACGTAGCACAAATAATGAACAATGTTTTCAAACCTATTTAATTTACAAAACCTTTGAAGCACTTCAATACTTGATTACATTCAGGGCACACCTACATGTGTAGTATATGTAGTTAACTTTTTACTTTATCAATGACTGCCATTGTTGATTTATCATGTCATTGACATTGTCAATCATGCAGGTGTACTGACTGTCTGCAGACATAATGATCGTGCGTCAGCCTTTGCGAATTTCTAAATGTTTTAAACGTTTAAACGGTTCTTAGAATATTTGCTAAATGTTTACAAAATTAAACGCAAAGTGACATCCTTAGTGCACAAAACTTTGTCTAACCCCACAGAGCTCCCACAATGGTAACGAAGCGCCATCATGGGTTATCATTGAGTCCGTTGTGTGAAATGAAAGTTAATGTATTTGAGAAAGGAAGGGTAGTGAAGGGAAATGATCAGAAAATGTTCACCTTTCCCCCCCCCTTTTTTGTTTTGTTTCACCGTTCAGGGCAGTGTGGTATGACCCCAAGACCTACCCCTCCTCCTGGCAGCTTGATCCCACCGAAGGCCCCGGCCGTGTCCGCCGTCGCCTCCAACGCTGTCACCTCCACATCCCGGCCAAGTTTCTCCTCCCTAGGCCCCAGGCCAACGACGATGGCAGACCCACCGTGCCCCTGGCTTATCTCTTTGAGGACGGTGTGCAGTCTTCCAACTCATCCGAGTTCAAGAGGAGGCTACAGAAGAATGAGAAGATCAGGTACACAGAAAAAAAAATCCCATCAGCCACAAGACAGTGGCAGGGGTAGTCCCTGTACCGTCCCAGACCACCCTGTACCGCCTGAGAGGGCACAAGCACTCTATGGGTTCTTCATGGACTAAATACAATGTTACAAAAATGTATACAATGTAATACATTTGCTGTTGGGTTAAGTACACTGTCAACCAATGTCTGATTCAGGTAAACACAAGTTACTAAAGGAATATTTTGTAAGAAAATCCACAAAGTTTTATGCAAAATCTCAATGTCTAGTTATTCCAATAAATATTCACGAGAAGGCATGTTATTTGTGGCCTTGTTTTTTTCAAGAGTGACACTTATTCCTGTGTGGATTACAAAAAAAAGGCTTTTTGCAATTCCTCTTTTATAAGATGTCAGATTGTAATTGAGAATATTGGAGGTAACAAATATTAGGCCAAAAAAAAGTCTTCGGTTTCTGGTATGGAGCTTGCCCCAAAATTTGTGCGGCATGCGCCTTTTAAAAAAAAAAATTTTACCTTTTGTTTTTCGTCAAATGTCAGCTGATGACTGCAAATGGTGCTTGACTAAATTTAGTGCAAAATATATGGGAGCCCAGAGAGGCCACATAAAGCTTATACTCGATTATTACCCCATCTAAAACACTTTAAAATTGTGCAGCAGCAGGATGCCAGTCAAACCAGTGAGTTTGGCGGTTTTGAGACATCATCTCACATGGCTACGGCGACGCGTACTCATTCCAGACACCGGAGCCTTTTTTGTTGTTGGCCTAAGTAGGTTTATTGTTGTTGCACTAGTTTCTTTTGTTATTGATCTTATTGATCTTGACAACGTTGTAGCCGCGTCCTTTGCAATTCAGCTTCTCAGCTGAAATAAGGATGATTAGCCCCCATATTATTATTATTATTTTTTAATTATTGCCCAATGTGTGGACCGGATACATGCAAAGGCTTCCAGTGAATAGCCATTCTGAATCCATTGAATAGAATTTGTGCACTCTGACTTATAGTGATCTGAACCAGCTTTGTTAGGCTTGGCTTGTCTTCATTTGTTATTTGAGATTTATTTTTTTTTGCCGTGGTTTTCCTACAAACTAGTATTTCACTGAGAGATATAAAGAAGATTCCTTTGATTGCCCAACTAGTCCGAAATTGAAACAAGATAAATATCTGCTGACCTGTGTTTTGAATAAATGTGTCTTTTCTAGCGACGCTTTCTTCTGCAAGCTAGTGATGCCAGCTTCGGTGAACATGGGTGATCTCCTACAAGGTAATAAATGAGTGTTTGTTATTGCATTGGAGAAGTTTTCTCATTTGGTGCTGATCCATAGTGAATGTTGTTGTTTTTCTTTTTTTGGGGGGGGGTGAGTTTGTTTCTGCATTCAATAGGGGACGTTGAACAATATAGCACAATAGGGTCCCCGATTCCCAAGAGGTCCCCAATTTGGATTTGTGTACAAAACATATGGGAGGTCTTCCTAAAAAGTTGAAGTACAAACAAAATAGGGACAAAAAGGGGTCCCTGATTGCAGGCAACTGCACACTTGTCTGTGTGTGTGGAGGTGAAGGCTAATCACTTTTTTTGGCCAAATTCAGTATCTCTTCGACTGGAAAAAAGAAATTAATAATTTGAATTTAAAACTGTTGAGATTGTTTTGTTTGTTACAGGCGTCAACAGCATGTATTTTGTGAGCGAGGAAGTTTTGGACAGCGGCCACGCCCAGGTATGCCCCAATCACTGAGCTTCTTGCAATTCTTGAGCTGATTAGTCAATAAATCATTAAAGTAGACAGTTTTTGAAATATCTTTTATTATTTATTTCCTTTTCTATTGTGCATATATGCTGATACTTGATAATTTCTTTAAGAAGGGATATTTTACCCCTTTGCTTTCATGCTTGTACATGCTTTCAAAACATTTAACCAGTTCGCGCCGGGATTATTTTGACATGACCAGATGCAGGCGCGGGATGCCTGACGGGTTTAGGCTGTCATCTGCGGGTAGCACACCCTGATATTTTTGGCCTCGCTCGTTGCGTGTTTATCCGTCGCCCCTTCCAAACACCGCAAAACCTTTGCGTGTATACACGTCATTCGACATGAACTGGTTAAATGTTATAAAATTGTTCCGCAGATATTATGTGGGCTTTGGCCTTTTTCTGGGCTTTGTGAAATTACCCTCTTATTGCCGAGTCCCATGAAAGGGCCATTTCAAAGTTATTTTAACGGAATCCTTCAATCCACCTGTGTCCTATTTACCGTTATTTTCATTCTTTATATTGCCGCTGTTCTCAAGGGTGTTTCTCTGCCATTGGGATTTCAGTGAAGTAAAGTCTGTCACGAGCCAATATGCATAGCCCATCAGGCCGGCGTTTATCTCCGATTTCCAGGGCATGAAACGACAGAATATTTCTATTCACCCTGGATGGAATGCCAGTCCATCACAAATAAAATGTATTTTACAAAATCAACTTACTGAATAAGGGAGTTTCAAAAGTTTTTACATATTTCAAAGGAATGGAAATTTGCACACAAAATGCTCCAGGATAAAATTCATATTGGGGTCCCTTTAACCTCTCATTTTTTCCCGTCTTGATAGGTCAACCCCTTTGACCGTGACATGATGACCATCTCTTGGCTGTACGAGGACATCAAGGAGCTGCATCTGCGTTGGTACCAGCTTCGAGACAATGCCTTGGAGATCTTCCTCATCAACGGCCAGACACTGCTGCTGGCGTTTGAGAACACCAAGGTAAGACATTAAGAGGCCCTCTTCACAGCATCCAAAGTCTCAGGTTTGTAGTTTGTTAACCCTACCCCACTGGGCCCTTTTGACTAGGAACCATCCTCAATCCTACAAAATCCTCCAATTGCCACCATGTAAAAATTGGCTCAATTCTCCAAAATCATCCGTTATTTCTTGAATTCAATCAGTGGAGGGTAGACCACTGCCTCAATCCTTAAAAATCCTCTGACACGTTGGAGCAGTGCGGATGATATCCAGAAGCAGTGTAAATGATATCTAGTATAATCTAGGCATAATTTATGAATGGCTAAGCATAAACAATACAAGGTATAGCTTAAAACCTTGACACAATGCATTCTCCAAAATCAACAGGCACTAAAATGGAATACAGCCTCAATCCTCCAAAATCCTCCAAAACTGCCTGGTTGATTTTGGAGAATTAAGGAGGTTTGAGGCCGATTTACACATACACAACTTTGTCGCACGACAGTGTCATGCGTTTTTATAAATGCACACAAATCAATGAGTGCGTTTACATTTACGCGACAAAATCATGCGTCTTGTCACTCATGCACTCATTCGTATTAATAAAAACATACGTCATTGCCGCGCGACAGTGTCGCGTATTTGTAAATTGGATTTCAGGGTTAACATTTGACCCAAGATTGTTTCTTGTACATTGTTTTCTTTTAAATTAAGAGCATTTGTCAAATGGAATGTTTGTTCTTGCTAAAACCCACCCTCTTCAGGAGCGAGATACCTTGTACCAGCAGATCAAATCCTGCGACCTGCCCAACCTTGTGGAAGTTGACGACATCTCAGACGTTACCCAGGCCTGGCGGCTGGGTCAGATGACCAACTTTGAGTATCTGACCCAGCTCAACAAGCTGGCTGGACGCTCCTTCAATGACCTCATGCAGTATCCAGTCTTCCCCTTCGTACTGAGCGACTACACCAGTAAACTCTTGGATCTTGAAGACCCCAATTCATACAGGTATTTAAAAAAAAGAGAGAGTGCCATGGTCCAGTGGTTACTGTGTCTGACTTGTTTGTGAAGGTGTATTGGTTTGGACCCTGGTGGGTTTCAAAATGCTTGTGTTCTTGGGCAAGACACTTTACTATGATTGGCTCCCTCCACCCAGGAGTATAAATGGGGTTCTGTGATTGGACTGGTTTCAACTTTCAAGGTTATACATGAAGCTTTGTGTTAAATAATCAGTGGCTGGGCAATACCTTCCTGAATCTGTCAAAATCCACCTGAACCTGTTTAGATTTTGTAGAATCTGAGAGGATTAGGGTTAAATTCAACCCAAAACTACCTTGTATCTGGAGAAAAAGAAGCAAACATTTTACAGTGTACAAAAATACACATCGTTAACCCTAACTCCCAAGGCATTTTTGCTAGGATGTAACCTCAATCCTGCAAAATCCTCCAACTGCCTCCATGTAAAAATAGGATATAGCCTCAATTCTGCATGTGGTCCGTGGAGGGGTGACCACTGCCGCAATACTGCAAAATGCTCCAGCAATTACTGTCAATATGTTGAGGCAGAGCCAGTGACATCCTGGAGTGCAGTGGATTTCAAGTGTAATATAGGCCTCAATTTATGCATGGCTGAGCATAAATGTTGCGGCCCAAAACCTTGACACAGTGCATCCTCCGAAATCGGCGTTACAATTTTGCCATCTAGCCTCAATCCAGCAAAATCCTCCATTTTGCAAAGAGGATTTTGGAGGATTTGGGCAGGTTAGGGTTAAATCCTGCTTTGGGGCCACTAGTAGCAAAACGGATGTCAGTTTCTTCAATGAACAAACTAAATAATCAGTGTACTTTGTTGATACTTAAATAAAAGACAACAGACAAAGATAACACATTCGATGTGCCATAATAAATCTTTGTTATCCAGGCATTTTTGTTTACGTTATCGCAGAGACCTGACTAAGCCAGTGGCAGTCCAGTCCCTGGCCATGGAAAATCGCTACAAGGAAAACTACAAGGCAAGTTTACATTATTAATCCCTCCTACTGTTTGATCATTTTAAGGCAGTCGGAAATTCAATCTGTTTCCCCTCACATAAGTTATACACAGGCTGGTCACCAACAGTCAGATCATGTTCCCTGTAGACACCCCAACTAGTAATTTCTATCAACAGACAAAAGCAACTAACTCGCATATCAATCTCCTACAGTCAAAGCATAGCTGTATATCAAGTCACAGTCGGTCAATCCTGCTTTATGTAGGCAGGGAGCACTCAACAGGCACAACTTTTTCATTTTTGCACATTATGACCTTGATTTTTACATCACATAAAAGAGTAACGTTCGATAAGCAACACCTTTGATTAAAATCACTCCATGGCAGTGAAAATCTGGGTTGAAAAAAGTGAGTTTTCAACTTGTCCATTTTTCATGCTCTAGTGATTTCCGCGTGACTGAGCAATCAATTTGGTCTTGGGGAGAACCAAGTCAACAATGTGATAAGAAAAGGGTTAAGCCATGCTCTGATCAATTCCTTTATATAATTTTTTTTTATAATTTTTTTGTTCTCTGAAGATAATATGCAAAATGGCACACGCTAATTCTTTGTTGCTGAATGTTTGTCCATTAGTACAAGTGGAGTATCACTTTTTTTTTCTGTGAACAGTTCCTAAAGGAAGAATACCAGAAGTTCAAGGGACTACGCATGGGACAGACCATGTTCTGGACCAAGCCCTACCACTATGGCTCCCACTATTCCAACAGCGGCACGGTGCTGCAGTACCTGGTTCGCTTGCCTCCTTTCACCAAGATGTTCCTTCACTATCAGGGTAAGAATTCTCTTCAAAAAGTTCAAAGTTGCATTTTGCAGGCTCTTCAACAAGTTTGATTTTCTTTTTCTTAATAAATTATCAACTTGCATGTTTCAACTCTTTTTTGTTGTTGCTTTTTTGGACGGCTGCTATCCTCTGAAAAAAGGGTTTTTGTCTTGGGCAGAAACAGATCCACTTTGTGAGCAGACTGGTTCCTGGTCTGAACATTATCAATACATATGATTGTGGAACGGGAATAAGACTACCCCAGGATAAATTTGTAACGTAATAATTCAATAACTAAACATGGGCCATTTTTTTTTCAGGTGATGTTCATTCAAGAGTGCAAAACTTTGGTATTGCTAGACAAATAAGAATATAGATACAACTTAAAAAATAGCACAGGGAATGCAACTTTAACCGTAAACAGGAACATGTCTGGTATTCCAGGATATGTATGTTTCTCCTGATCTCTACTTTTTTTGGAGTCTGAGAGGGTCAAATGATACTTTCAGGACAAGCTTTTCATCTCATGTGTACAGTTTCTCTGTGAAATACCGGAGAATTCAGTTCCAGAAATTCTCACTTCGAAATAAAGTCATTCTGATTTAGGGCAGGCTTCAAAATTGAGCCCTCACGAAGTTCGCGAACTAATTTTGATTCCAAGTTAGGAGTAAACTTCGAGCTGTGCATGTTCATTTGCATCGCATGACAATGCGCCTTTGTTATGCTAAAACTATGCTAATATGCTACAGCTGCTGGGTTCGCGAAGTGCGCGAAACTGGCGTACGCGGAGTTCGCGTAAGCTACCGGTCAGTGCTCCGGTAATATTCAGGCTTAGTTGCGTCGGCGGTATTTGTTAAACCAGGAGCTAGCAAGGCGCTGTGTTCCCGAATATTTTTTGATAAGTGGCAAATTTCCGTCACATCGTTTGATAATGTTGACAACTTGAAATCAACTTCCTGAAATCGGAATGAAAATTCCTTGCCGCAAGTTTCTTGGCCCTTGGGCAATATTTTAACTTCACACCTGCGGTATTCATCAAGCACAAAGACTGCCAAAATGTATTTTCAGAAAGCGTTTCGCCTCAAAATACGATCTATATTATTTGTATATGAACTGCACTTTTTTTATATAATTAAGCACCGATTGTCGTGATACGGAAAAGTGTACTATCCATGGCTTCCGATTTCCGCATTCTGTAGAACTTATTTACTGGTGATGTTGTCTGCATGTAGCCCTTTCTATTTTTCCTCCGTAAGGTAGAATTGAAGAGGAGTATATCAGGCCTAATACGTTTATCAATAAAACAACTTCAAGTTGCTGCGGATCTCCCCGGCCATGCTCAGAGTTTCACTCCGAAAATAAATACTTCCGTCTTTTTTTAAATGCCTTAGCAATACATAACAAATTTTCTTTTGAAGGAGGTAATGCACCCAAACGCAAATATTTTAGCCGAACAATTATTAATCTTTATGCTTAATGACCGTAAAAGCAATTAAAAAATCAACTGTAATTTTAGAGGGATAATAAAAAGCGTCCAATTAGGATAGAATAAATCATTTCCCGTTTCTTCAAAACATACATGTATATGAAAATTTCGTTACAGAATTGGAAAGAAATTATTATAGTAAGACACTGAAGAGAACGGTTAAATCAACTTTGACTATGCAGTTTAGAAACTGTTTTATGAATATTTACGAAGCCGACACACGTCACTAGATATCCTTGACAATAATGTTACTATGGAAATGCCTTGCACTAGTTAACCTATATATGGGATGTTTGGGCGGGTCTTATTGCCTATCAGTGAACTCCAGTTTGGCGGGAACGTTTACACAGCTCATCGCATTGGTAGTGACATGCCGTCGTCATGACGATCTACCTGTCTGTCTTGCGCTTCACAAGTTCCCACGCTCTTATTTGGGCAAGGAGCCAAACCAGCCAGACCAGTTTTGCGCCAGGCATCGTGTGGAGTTGCCGATGGCTGTTTAATGTGCAGGCTGTTGGGCTGAAACGCGGAGTTCGCGAACCTCATGCTCAGCTAGCTAGCTAGCTGTGCTGCCGTCGTGATCCCTGTATCAATGGATGGGCGAACATGTAAAAGGTCGCATGGGAGCTGACTTCAAGCGCAATTGTAATGTTTTCGGATTGTACAGTACAACGTGTGCATGCACATGTATGTGTTCTATATCATGTATGATTGCATTTTTACTCCCCATGGAATTCTGAAGCCTTTTACTTCTATGGGCGGATAAATTGTGATTCAGTTTTTGTTTTCTTTATTGTGTTCGGGTGAACTCATGAGTCTGAAATAAAGCAATTTTGAGGAGGGGGGTGGATTTTGCATGCTTGTACATTATTATTATTTTTTTTTTTTTAAATTTTTACAATTTTCTTCTCGTCAAAGATCTCCATTAGGATCTGTACATTTCTAATATGATTGTTCTTTTACACTGAAGTTCAATGAGTAAATAAATATGAAATTAGTAAGTTACTTTATTATTGCATCATCGAACTCAAAGTTCACCAAGATATTATGTTGAATATGAGCTAGACGGCAGGGTTTTGATTTATGAACGGGAATCAAAAACTATAATTATTATAATATACACGATTACCTTAAATTGTATGATAATTGATACACATCGAAGTGAATTGGGCATAATAATAATGGGAATGTAGACACTACACGTATCATGGGCGGCTGCAGAGTTGGTCTGCTACTGCTACAGTACTATAGGCAAGATGATTAGTACATCAACAACATGTAGACTCATCTGATCTACGATGTGAAGACTCAGTCGGCCAAGGAAGGCAAAATTCTGCACCTCGTTCGTGTCATTTCTCACTGGATACGGGTGCTTCTTTGCATTTGGTGATAGACTCTGCAATGTTCGCGGGAGCCCTATCACATGTGCATGTGTTCCCATAACCTCGGTGCATTGTTCGGCCTGGAGCTGACTACGGTTATTGCGTGCTCATGCATTGCGTGCTCATGCATTGCGTGCTCAAAATGGGAAAGTCCCGAGTTATTTACATGGCTGTTCATGTACATGAATTTTTGTCATTCAGGCCGACAGCGTAAACGAAATAAACTAATAAAAAGCTGCGAATATTTTCCACAATAAATATACTGTACTGAATATGGGTAAGTTCAGTTGAACAGCTACTTTTACGAAACTATTACTGTGGTGAATTTCACGAGTGAGCTTTTTTTCTCAACGCCATCCATCATCTACGAGAAACGTGAGGGTATTTTTTTTCTCGAAATTGTCTGAGTGTGTCCGGCCGCCCACAAACATTTTGGCACATTTCCCGGGGTTGGATTGGAGGGTGGAACGACTGCTTCTCGCTCACGGGAGTTATTATAAATGTGTCTAGTGTGCACGGTTGCTGGGGTGGCGGTGGGGCGAAAACCTCCCGCGGGAATTTCCCATGAGTTTATTTACCGGGAATTGGTCTGTATAGTTTGGAAAGGATGATCAGAACTTATTATTCTTCAAAGATGTTGGATTAGGGCGTCCGACGAATATCATTTTTAGCGAAAAATAAAATTATCCTATTTTGTATCACCATGATGAAAATTACACAACAAAATCAATGGAGCTTGAATCAGCTAGCTTCATAGGTGTTTGCATTTTGGAGATACAACAATTTAAATGGCCGAATTTGGAGTTTCAATTCAGTGAGATTTACATTATACTTGTATACTTTAAGCATGTTTTAAAAATCTTAATTCTGTTCCGGGAAAAAAAAATTCCAAATGGTCACAATTTATGGCCAACTGTCCGTTTTTTCCCCCTAAATTCACACTGCACCAGACCAGCCGTCCCTTCGGAATGCCTTGATATCGGCGCCCAATATACGCAGTCAGTAGTTCGACCCAAAGGAATGGGCATTATTAATCTGAGCACACATTGCGCTGGAAGTCAGGTCCCATGCAACCTTTATACGTTGGTCGATGTATAATGGCACGGGGAACACGACGGCAGCACAGCTGAGGTTCGCGAACTCCGCGTAGCTACTACGTAGCCTGATACAACCTCTACAGTAAACAGCCGTCGGCAGCTCCAAACGACGCCCGCATGCTTTGTCATGTCTGGCGCAAAAGGATTCTGGTCAGTTTGGCTACTCGCCAAAATATAAGGGCGTGGGAACTTGAAATTGTCACCGGCGCTGCGCAAGACAGACAGGTTTATCGTCATGACGACATTTCACCACCAATGAGATGAGCTGGGAAACGTTCGCGCCAAACTGATTTGATTGATAGACAATAAGACCCGCCCACACATCCCATATATAGGTTGTCTTGCGCAAGGCATATCTATAGTAACAATGTTGCCAAGGATATTTTAGTGACGTGTGGGTTTCGTAAAAATTCATGAGTGACAGTTTCTGTACTTCCCGATGGAGAGTTTATCAACAGTTGTCTTCAGTTTATTCGCATTTCTTTCCAAACCCGTTCGGTTCATTTTTAAACCGAAGGTAATAAAAATAATTACATGTACAATGTATTTCAATCATTTAATGTTTCATTTACTTGAACCGTGTTAAGCATAATACCGTAATTTAGGTTCCCGGGTAGTATTGTAAAAAAGTAATCAAAATAATTATTACACTTAATGGAGAGAAAAGTTTTTGAAACGATCTTTTAAAACGATCTTTCGTGTTTTTACGTTAATTTGTTTTTGGACAATTGGTGTTTCCTTCAACTTTATTTTTGACAATTGAGTGATTGCATTATATAATACCGAAACATCTATATAATACCAAAACAGAAAGTTGTCCAAATATCCGTTCGGTTGTTTGACTAATTCCTGCAATAAAAAAATCGACATTTCACATGCTACTTCTGGACACTGATTGCGAACAGTCTCTGGAAAATACATCGGCACGCATGTTCGCTGACTTCGCATTATGATAATAAGACGTGCAAGTGCTGTGAATTATTCAGTACGACCATTAACATAACAAAGGCGCAAGTTTCGCGCTACCTCATTAACTTGACCACGGATGGATGAGTAGCTCCACGAAGTTTGCAAACTGGCTAGCTCTGGAAATATTCGCGAAGTTCGCGAACAGTTCGCGTAGTCAATTTTGAAGGCTGCCCTTAGTGGAGTTTATTGGACTGCATGCAGTGCAACGGAAGGCATGATGAGGCCTGCTCACAATGGAAGCAGTGCGCAAGACTGGCCTTGCACGTACTTGTTTGCAGGTCGATGTCATGAAGTTGCTTAGTTTTCATCTGATTGTGCTCAGGTGGCACGGGCGGCGTAATGCGTAAAGCGCTCGCCTCTCACCGCTGTGTCCTGGGTTCGATTCCTGGCCGGCTCATATGTGTTCGTTTATTCTCTCCTGAGCCACGAGGGTTTTTCTCCGGGGTGTCAGGTTTTCCTCCCTTCACAAAAATCAACACTTTCAATCTCAGGCTGTGCTCCGTGGTCAGACATGGGTTGTATGGCAGCTGCCTAAGGCGCCTTTACTTTAGCTTCTGCTCGATCGCGTTGTAGCTGCGTCCTTCACAATTCAGCTTTTTAGCATCCCAAATTGATTGATTTTATTTATTTACTTGAAACCTACATTGCCTTTACATGGGTGTTGGGTGTACAGCAGCAACAATACTGTTCAAGCGTCTCTCACATCTCTCTCCCTCACGGTTGAGTGATAACTTGTGCTGAAGTTGCATATAATAATACAGCGATATGTTTCAAACACCTTCCTTGTTTTTCAAGTATAGACAAATCCGGCGGCAGCCATTTTCTGCGGTGGGGCAAGGCTCGTGCAAGTCGCGCGCAGGTAGTACGCACGCACTTCCCGGGCTCCTTCGACCAATAGGAATACCGAAATGCGTGCGCGCCTTGTCTTTAAGAACTCGTGCAGCGTGAGCGTGACGCCACCTTAGTAACAGCTTCTAATTCTGGTCGCCGGATTCCACTATAAGACTAAATTATATTCTCTGTTGTTTTTTAATTTGTCTACAGATAACCATTTTGACTTGCCTGATCGTACATTCCATTGCGTGGATACCTCCTGGAGGCTTTCCTCGTTCCAGTCCAGCACCGATGTCAAGGAGCTCATCCCAGAATTCTTCTTCCTGCCAGAGTTTCTTGTCAACAACGAAGGTACCCTGACTCTCATTCAGTGTTTCTCTAGTTGCCGTTTGCTGTGTCGTTTCAGGTGGCTTGTTATGTAATTTGTGGGGGTAATTCTTGATCCTAATTTTACATAATTTGTGAATCATTATTTTTTTTACTGAATTTGGAGTCGTTTTCTCAGAGTGTCTGTGTTTAGTGGGATAATTCCAAATAAGCTACAGCAGAATTACAACTTTTTAACAACGCATGTATTAACGAAAATGTCCTGGCAGTATGTATCGGGATGAACAATTCACAGTTCTTCAAAATCATAGAGGGTACCAACAAAACGGTATAAAAAGTTCTTGATTCAAAGAAAGTACAAATTTCTGAAACTCTTGACCTCAAAATGTTATATAGTATTTGCTACCCCACTGAAGTGCCCAAGAAAATTTCTATCATATTGTTAATTGCATGAAAACTTGCAGATTGCAGAGTGTGTTACCTCTGCACCCAGTAGTGTTTTGTAGTTGAGATGAATCACAAGACATCACAGATCTATCACAACTCACTTCACAAGTCCAGTCTCAGTTTATAGGAAGAGATGAACAATGCCAAAGGAACAGCTTTTCCAACAGTGTATTCGAATTGCTTATGAGTTGACTCATGAAGGGATGACTAGTCATGGACTTAATGGACTTGTAATGATTCATGATCCATCTCAAGCACCTTGCATTTTGAATTCTCCGAATACCCAACATTTTTTCTCCAGGCTTCAACTTTGGCGTTCGTCAGTCCGGTGCCCGTGTCCACGACGTCCTTCTACCTCCCTGGGCCAACGGCAGTGCCAGGCTGTTCACCCTGATCCATCGGCAGGCCTTGGAGTCTGTCTATACCTCACAGTACTTACATGCTTGGGTGGACCTGGTGTTTGGCGTCAAGCAACAGGGATCGTTGGCCGTGGACTCCATCAATGTCTTCCATCCTGCAGTGAGTTGGGTTTTTGGCCAGATCACAATCAAATCGAAGATCAGTCCCAAACCAATGACAAGTCAATTGGAAATCAATTACAAAGTCGACCCATGTCAATTACAAGTCAATTACACTCCTTCATTGAACTGTGATGAACTATTGTCACTTGTTCATCCCTTTTAGCTTGTAATCAGGCTTGGAATTTGACTTGTGCCAGACTTGTGATTTACATAACCACTTCGCGCGAGGATTAATTTTGCCGAAAAGTTCGATTTTTTTGTGAAAGGCAAAATTGTCCAACCAATTTCTGATATACAGCACAAATACTGATTCACAAGGGTCATTTCAACGGTAATTGTACGATATTTAAAAAAAAAAGTAAAAAAAAGCCGTACTGTCTAGTTTACAGTGCACGATGTGGTTGCTAACCAAACATGTGCCAACTGCAATGGTGGCCAATCACAGGGTAACCGAATGGTCACATGGTACTTTGATGTCACATGATTAGAACTTACTAAGAGAATCATTACATTGCTCTGGAAGTTGGTGCTAGCAGAATCAATGCGATATTGAAAAAATGTCCATCCCAAACCGCAGACATACTTCGGCATCGACACGACGACCATCAAGGATCCAGTCAGGCAGCGAGCTGTGGAGACCATGATCAAGACCTATGGCCAGACACCCAAGCAGCTGTTTGTCAACTACCACCCGTCCCGTCTGGAGCATGACATCTACCCTGACAGCTTCGGCGTGGGGTCTGTGGGAATACTGGCCGGCCTGGCCCAATGGCAGACGACGAAGGCTAACATGGGCCCCGAGGCCAGTAACATATCGGTAGGTCCCAAAGACAAATAAGACTGTACAAATGTAAGTCCCTCAAATTGAATATTCTTCTGCAGCGTCTACAAATGGATATCGACTTTTTCAAATGAAATGCTGCTTATAAAGCAGGATATGAGTTGCCAAAGTCATGTCTCTTCCAGTTTGAATTGCAGTATTAGGTCACGTCCAAATCCCTTGTCTGTAGCTATTAGGCCTGGGCGAGTAGTGGATTTTTCTACTTGAGTACTCACAAAGAAATTACTCATGAGTAGTCAAGTACTCGCGAGTAGTTAACCAAATTCCCATAAAAGCAGAACAATGACATGCGTTTGTATGACGTGAAGTAACTTACAAGCACATAGCGTGAAAGTCACATCACATTCTTCAGCACTGAGACATCCTTACTGTGCGAGGTTTTGGTTCATTTACTTGAGTTTTTCTTGATGAATGGAATCCTAGGGAGAGAGAGGTGGAGGGAGTGATTCCCTGTTTGCAGGGGATGTCTGAAGCCGTGGACCCTAAACCCTAAATTGCTACTCACGAGTACCTGTTTCTACTCGCGCCAGGACAAGTATTCGTGCCAGGACGAGTACTCGCGCCAGGACGAGTACTCGAATAGATGAAAAACCACGAGTAGAACAACGAGTAATATAAACTACTCGCGAGTAATCGAGTTACTGGCCTAGCAGTAGTAGCTTTTGTCTAGATCTTTGCCCATTAAAACTCGTTGGAACAAGCTGACAATAAACGTAGCCGTAGCTTAGGAAACCTGTCTCGGACATGGCCTTATGATGCTGTTTGAATGTGTTACTCCAATCAGGCGCCGGTGAGCTCTGTTAAGGGCATGAGGTGGGGCAACTACCTGGGCTCAGCGTCGGGACCGGACCCCGTCATCCGATACAAGAAGCACTACCCGGTACCCTTGACCTCCCTGATCCCGTTACCCACGGGTGACGTCTGCGGGGTGGCCCAGCACCTGTGCTTGCTCCTGATGTACAGCAAAGAGAGAGGTAAGAATACATAGAACCTGGGGAACCAGACCTGTCGCTGTAGATGATTTGCAATGATATGCATTAGTGGACTGGGTTGTGATGAAAAGCAGAAAATGCAAATGCTTACCAATTCAGATATGTGTCATGACAAATCGAAAATCAGGTTTTGATATTAGTGCTTAAAAGGTGGGACATTGCGATCAAAATCTTTGAGTTTTAATTGAAGGTTTTGGCCTTCGTCAACACACAGTTAAATGCAAGCGAATTCTGACTATGAACCTTTTGAGAGAAAAATCACAGGCCTAGTTGGACTCAAGCCCACTACCTTTGGGGGATATTTGGGAGGTTGAGCTTAAAAGAGTTTAAAGACTGAAGTCTCGCTGAATCTGGTTCAGTTAAATAAAAAACAGATGTAGGGTTTTACCAAAATGTTAAGTTTTTGACGCAGGGTACCAAAAAAATCTGTTGGTTTTTATTCACCATTTGTAGAAGAACCCACTCATTCACTCATGAACGGACAGAAGTTTGGAATATAATATAATTACACAATGCTTTGTGTGGTTGAGCTGAATGTTTGCATAATGTACTAATTATGAATAATTTCTAAACAAGCTTAGCAAATTTCATAATCACCAGAAGCCAATTTCACGGCGCTGCTAAGCACACAAATTTTGCTTCACACAAAAAAAGTTGGGCTTATAAGAGCCGGTTACCAGCCAAAATTCCATGATTGATTAGTATTCAGCTTGGCATGAAATTCACATGGAAGTTTAGGCTGGCAACCTGTTTTTATGTGCTCAGCAAATCTTTGTGCTTAGCAGCGCAGTGAAATTGGGCCCTGGAGTAACCATTGACCACTAAAGCTGGTTTGCATATGGGGTTTGTAAGTTGTTTAGGGACAAATAAGTTGCTGTCTTGGTAACTTTTATTGAACTACTTCTATGACTCTTGTCTCTGCAGGCGTCAGCAGCATGAATGCCGTCGACATCAAATGGTCCGGTATCATCAGTTGGGGCCACCCAGACGCCATCCTAAGGGTGCAGATCAGACGCAAATCCCTCCCTATCAACCTGCTGCATGCCACGCCCACAGATAAGGTAACCCACATAGTGTGTGTTGTGTATTGTTGTTTCACCCGATATGGATTATTAAACAAGAGTTGACTCGATGACTAAGTCATGGTAAAAGTTGGAGAAATGATAGAAATACTATTCTAATCATTGTAAATAAATCGATCTTGGAATATGGGGCCGTTTTATTTTCATGCCCTTTTAACTTCTAATGCAACTTCGCGTCTTCTAATCAGTCAATTGAATTCAGCAAGCATTGCCTCTTTCTATTCATGAACAATATTAATTCTGTTACTGCCAAAAAGTGAGGAGCGTTTGTCCAAGTTAGAACAGTTTATATTGCCTGGTAACAAGATTGTTGCATATTCCACTATAGAACCGAAGCAGGAGACCAGCTATATGACTCAACTTGTCAGTCAATTTTAATTCCAATATTGAATACTCGGGGGGTGGGGGGGAAATAAGTGGAAAACAAATTTCAAGCTCTAGCATCTTGCCAGTTTTAAATTATTTCTTGCCCTAAGATTGCCGTTATAGGAAATTTAAAGCGCTATATGTAGATTGGATCCTGTGTAAGAGAACCCAGTATTTTTGTCATGCATTGTTTATTTCTCCCTGTTACAGATCACATGTTGCAGTTCAGTGTCCGACTGCAGACTTCTGTTCATTGGGACAGTATCTGGTGAAGTCACAGCATACCCAACCCGCTATAACCCAGAAAAGGTAACTCCAATTGCTGTCTGTCTCACCCACCCCCCCCCCCCCCCGAAAAAAGGGAAACCAACTTTTCATATTAAATGGTAGAAGGTAAAGGAACTAAGGTTATGGCTAAGGGAGTGGGGGATGTTCAGTGTAATTACCAAGATGCTTCTAGTTATGCTCATATCGGATTCCAACCAGAACCAGTATCCAGGAAGCCAAGTTACATCAAGCCCAAATTAGAACCGGATTTTGAGCCAAAACCTAGACACGGAACTTGAACCAGCTGCAGAACTGGACCTGTTTACCAGGTCCCAAACAAATTTCAAAGTCTTTTTTATTATAAGATGGAAAAATATTTTTTTTGATCAAGTAGCAGAATCCAATGTCAGACCACAAGTCATATTGAATCCGACATGAAATTAGAATTTGAACCTGGACTGGATATCAAACCAAGAACTCGACGCTAACCTATATCCAAACCAAGTCTGAAACCTCGACCGATACTGAAACCTTTACCAGAAGCATATCCTGAACCCAAACAAGTACAGTAGAACGCTGCTGTAGCAAACACCATAATACTGAATATTTGGCAGTACTGAACATTGTTTTGGGGTCCCGAGTTATGTGGAGTTAAACCAATATTTTCAAATTTCTGAAAAGCGTGGAAAAAAAACAAGAATCAGACACATGAAAATATAAGTATAAATCTTTTCAGAAATTGTCCTGGCATAACATTCAACCCCAATTTGTCCATCTTTTGTCCATGTCTAGCAATGCAACATTGAGGTTGTCGGTCCGGCAGTTCGTCTGTTTGGCCACACAGCCCATATCAACAGCCTGTGTGTCAATCGAGCCTACAGTATCATGGTCAGTGCTAGTCGGGATGGGACGTGCATCATATGGGATCTCAACAGGTGAATTTGTAATAGTTGAATTGTCATCACAAATTTAGCACCGGAAGCCGATTTCATGAAACTTTACGCAATGGCACAACTCCACTTGCGCCACACTTTATAGCACAAGTTGCACAACATTTCACGCTGCGCAACATTTCACGAAAGTTTCATAGTGCGTAAGTCCGCGACTTGCGCAACAAATTATGGCGTAACTTGTGCAATCATGACAATTTCATAAAAGTTTCGTAGTGCATTAGTGTGCGACTTGCGCAACAAATTATGGCGTAACTTGTGCAATCATATTAGGTGGCGTAAGTTGTGGCGTGGCGACTGAAAATTAACTAGTTTACCAGCAAATCGTGATCGTCATGGAGCCTGTTATTGCGCAACTTATCAAGGTTGATACAAGACACTGACAGCTTTGTGTTTGATGTAAAAGAATTGCTATTTTACTTGCAACAGAGTTCTTGGAGTTGCCGCACGATTCCAAAGAAAGTCAAACAAAAATATTTTCAAAATGGTGGGCGGAGGTGATTCCATGACTGTTTCGTGACAAACAAAATCATACACAAACAGCCGCCGTAAATGCTGTTATTATCCTCGTCCAAGATGTTTTGATTATTTAAAATGTTGAGCAGCTATGCCAAGTTTCATGAAATCGATCATAAGTTTAGTTGCTTAAGTCTTACGCATAGCGAAAGTTACACACTGTTTCGTGAAATCGGCTGCTGTACTACATTGTGCTACATTGTGCTACATTGTGCTACATTGTACTACATTGTGCTACATTGTATTACATTGTACTACATTGTGCTACATGGTACTACATTGTACTACATTGTATTACATTGTACTACATTGTGCTACATGGTACTACATTGTACTACATTGTGCTACATTGTGCTACATTGTATTACATTGTACTACATTGTGCTACATGGTACTACATTGTACTACATGGTACTACATTGTACTACATTGTGCTACATTGTGCTACATTGTACTACATGGTACTACATTGTACTACATTATACTACACTGTATGTATTCCCCGATGAATCCATAAAAACCACTGATTACTGCAGCAGTATTGGACAGAATATGAAGTAACAGATGGGCGGTACTCATTCCTTAACCGCCTTAAAATCAGTCTGATTATCTTTTTAAAAAAAACCAAAATTGTTCATTTGAAGAAATAATGGGGTTGTGAATACCAGTGTTGTAGTCTGAATTCTAATAAAATGTCTAAATTTCTGGCCAAGGATTGTACATTTTTTTCTGTTTACAAAACATTGTATAAGATCTAACTCCTGCTTTTTCCCTTTGCTTTGGACTCAGACTGTGTTACATACGGTCCCTCTGTGACAGCGACGCCAATATTGACGTCACCGGCGTGACAGCGGTGACAGTCAGTGATGTATCTGGTGACATCGCAATCACCACAGCAGTCGGTAGGTCCAACAGGCAATGCACAAGACATCGCCGGTGTCTTCATGACAGATTCTCATCAGTTACATTCTCAAGTATATCTTGCAAAGAGAATCATCACTAACTTATTATTGAAAAAAGGGAAACAAGAATGTAACTGCTGCATCAATTATTCCATGTACAGTCACAGTGCCTTTCTTCTACAATACAGGTTTTTCAAAACGTTTTGAAAATCAAAATCTAGGTTTTAAAGGCTTCCCAAGCACCGAAATGTAGGCATTTATAGGTTTTTGATGCAAAACCGTGAACTTTTTTCAGCATGAGGTAGCAGAAATATAGAGAATTGCTTACCTCAAGTTCTCCACACCGGATAAAGTTATCAATTTTGTGCAAAGTGCCCAATTCTGAAACGCTTGTATAAAGATCAATAGAGGGGTAGGCCTTCATGTATATTGACAACGTGGTTATGGAGAATTTTGGAGGATTGAGGAAGAATGGTGTTTGAAAAGGAGGAGGATTGAGGAGGATTGAGGATGAATGCATTTTTTTGAGGCAGGACTGTCTGACAATTTTGAAGGATTGAGGTGCTGGGTATCCTTCATTTGAACATAAGTGCAAAATTGTGGATGATTTTGGAGGATTGAGGATGGTTCCTAGCAAAAAGGATCTAGGGGGTTAGGGTAAAAAAAAAAAAAAAATTAAATTACAGTGCTCAACCTCAGAAGCATTTCCAGAGAGCTTTTCATAATTATCGAATCAGCCATCAACATAAATTCAACACAAATAGATATTTTATACAAATGTCCATTCCTCTGAGTTGTATTCAGTACCCTAATTCGATAAATTTTGTTTAAAAACTGCTCTCATAACTGTTTGCAATTGGCTGTGCTATTTCCCAACAACTGAGGGCGCTGTTGTGATAATGCCATTGTAGGCACAATATTCTGCACTTTAGGATTTTTCTGTACAAAATTATAAACTTAAATTAAAAGGTTGCTGACTGAGAGAGTTGGTGCATTAAATTTGCTCATTGACTGGCTGTCATGTCCTCAATCAACAAAGAAACACTACATAGAGCTGTTCAAGAGCTTTTAAAGCGTTTGATGAAGTTTGCTCATAAATATGAGAATTGTCCTGGGCACACAACTAAAAAAAAGGGTCTTTTAACACCTATTCAAATTACAGTAGAAAGATTTTAATTGAAGGAAAACAGTACACAAACATGCATACCAAGGATGTCATCGAAACAATTTTATATAAAGGTTCCTTTTATCCTTTAATCATTGGCTTTTTAACATCAACTTATTTGTTATATTTTGTTCTCTCCAGTTGACGGGGGCAGCAGTGTCAGTATATGGTCCATCAACGCTAGTCTTGTCTCCAGGCGTCTTTGTGACAGCGAGGTCCACTGCCTGGCATTCTCCAATGCCCCTGAGGGCATTGCGGTCAATGCGCTTGTGGCTGGCTGTGAAGACGGTGTCATAAGGTGGGTAACCTTGTCAATGGTGGATGTAAAATTTGGGGCAGCACCTATTTCAGGGCTAAATTCGGTGGGTGGGTGGGTGAGGCTTGGTCCAACTGAAATTTGTTCAACGTTTGTTATTCACGCACGTACATGAACGCACACGTTTGTTTATGGTGTAAGTCGAGGATTTTTTTATTGTTCCTCTTCCCTTTTCCTTTGTACTGTAACTTTTCAACAGCTCTCATTGGTTTTGTACACGTTTTCTATTCGAGGTCGTCCTCGATTTGGTTCCTGTCCTCAATTCATCGATGATGTTGCACGTGTGTGTCCTCACTTTACACCATAAACAAATGCATAAACACACACACGCTGTGATTGCATCTGAAAGGGGAACTCCCAAGTTACACGCCAATATGACTATAGAGGTCACTGTTCATATGGGTCTGTATGACAAAAAGAGCACTGGTTTCGGGTGCCAAAAGATCGCAGTAGGGGGACAACTTCTCATGGTAAACAATCGCTACATCCAGCAACTCTATGCATCCTACAACCGCCAAAGCTGGGTAACTGCCTAGTTTAATATATTATATCCCAACAAGTTTTGTTTACTTGTTTGTTTTTTAATACTCTTCTGTATACTTGTTTTCATTGCAATGTGAGTTTCTTTGTCTATGCTATCCAGATTCTGGAGTACCATTGATCTTACCCCAATCCGAGTCCTCGTTGCCAATGCACACAGTCCTATTATCAGGTAAGCAAGTTCAACACTCCCTTGTTTTTTTTGGTTGTTGACAAAGCTTTGTTTAATATTCAGGTTTAAATTAAGGGACATATTATGAAGACTCAATTTTAAGATGTAGTCTCAGTTCGAATTATATTGGTAAAGCAAGAGGCAATTCTAATTTCACTGGAATTTTTTGAAAAATTTCTTTGAAACTTTTTATCACTGAACTAGGAACGATAATAAACCATCTTTATCTGTTTTTTTTTTGTATTGAAGCCTTGCCTTCACCAATGATTCCCAGTACCTGGTGGCCAGTAACAAGGACGGCCAGGTCATGACATGGGGGAACAAAGAGAGCAACCGCAAAGTGCCCAAGATTGAGGCCTTCCTAGACATCAGGAAAATCCGTAACCCAAGCAGCAACAGAATCGGCTCGGTGGGGAGTCAGTAAAACCTTGTGCATCTCAGGCGAAGGAACTCGTACGTCAAATGACGGGTTTCGTTCTGGTTCCAGTTCTTCCTAGCACTGGTTCTATCCAGTGTCGATTGTAAACTATTTTGGTAAAGGTCTAGTAAAGTTACAGATCTAGTTCCTGGGCCGATTTCACAAAACTTGTCTTATCTTGCGACTCATCTTAGGACTTAAGACAAGGCCCCGCTGTAAGATCGCTCTTAGCTAAGACACGTCCTAAGACCAATTCACTAAACACGTCCTAAGACCAATTTCACTAAATACATAATAGACAAGACGCATCCAAACTACCAATTTGATGGCTGTTTCATGTTTGTTTTTACTGCTTGACGAAACAGTTGTTGAAAAGAAACGCACAAATCCAATTTCCCCTGTGAGTGAATAGAACACTTCCTAAGATACGTCTGAGCATTTTGGTGAAATCAGCCCCTGGTTCTTGGTTCTGATAACAGTTTAAGTTCTGGTTCCAGTTCTGTCTTTGTTTTTAGCACTGAACAGATCTAGTTTATGGTTCCTATAACTGGTTCCACAGTTCTTTTTTATGCCCTTTTTTCCTTGTTTGAGTCCTTTGATTTTATGTTAGCTGTCTGCATCTATTTCAGAATTTCTGTTGTAGTACTTGGATTTATTCTCAAGCTGGACCAGTTCCTCTGCGCTGCATGTTCATGCATTATTTCTGAAAGCCTTTCTACTGTTTTCATATAAAATTGTGCTCCAAGGTTAAGAAACTGTATAGAATTTGTACACAACGCAGATTTTGACTTGAAAAAAATGGATAGAAGTTTATAGACAAAACACTGCCATTCCCCCCCCCCCTCTAATTTCCAATAAAATTAAGTAATATCTACTGATATTGGTGCTAGCTACGTTTAATTTGGACATTAATTTGGAGGCTGTTGTGTGGTAATTTTAACCATTAATTTCCAGTGGAAGCATTCCTTTCTACAGCATTAAAATTTGAAATGTTTAAAGAAACGTGACATTTTTTTCTATTTGACACATACAAATGTAATCAGCATTTCCCCAGTTGAACTCAGTAAAACATTTGTTGTATATTAGATCGATCTATGCAGCCTTGCCCACTGCACGAGGGTAACAACACGTGCACTGCTCCAATACCACACTGCGTTTTCCAACTGTGAGCATCATACATAGAGTACTTAAAATTTGAAAAATGTTTTTTATTGCAATTTTTTTGATATCTCACAGATTTTAAAGTATGTTAGCATGTTAGATTGCCAAGTAGTTGTGAAGCAGCTTCATTGATGTGTACAGTCTACTCTCGTTAGTACAAACTCTGTTAAAACAATATTCTGGTTATAACAAACATAAGGCCTTGGTCCCGACTGTGGATTTATGTGTACAATGAATGGGACTGACGTTCCTCTTAATACAAAATTCTGATATAACAAACAATTTGGCTAAGTTAGGTCCGAACAAGTTTGTATTAACGAGACTCGACTGTATAATCAGACATCCAATTTCTAAGTGCTTGGGGTTTAAAGGGGCACTGTGTCCTGAAATCCACAAAATTTTCATGTTTTGGATTGCTTACTTATTCTATTTCAAACATCTGGTTGAAAGGAAACCAACCTAATGTCTTACCGTTCCCGAGAAAAGACGAAAAAAAAATAACCCAGGTTGTTTACATCGGACACGACGGAGTATGCATATGTTTTTCCTGTCGTTTCAGTCAATGTACAATACACGTTGTGTGTGTCGCATAAAATTACACACAGCACCAGTGCACAAATGTGGTTTCTTACGTCCGCAAAAGGTGAACACTTTATGGCTGGAATCACAACTAACATGAACAGCCCGACTTTTTGGGGTTGCAAAAGTGGACCCCGAAAGTTGTTCTCGCACGAATAACACAAGAATAACACAAAAACGCCAAGTTTTTAAAGGATGGTTGTGTGGATGTTTATATCCTACTTTTAAATGTTCTTTCCGATTAACAGCATTCCGTTCAAAGCGCGTTTTGTAGCCCCAGTGAGCTCATTCTAGGATGCAGTGTCACTTTCATTTTTTCATATCATTTGTCATTTGTGCATCGTTTTCATTTGAAGCAACAAAAGTACGCAAAATCTAAAGAAGGGTGCTTAACAATTAACCTGAAGAAGTTTTAGCTCAGTGAATGCTGATATTCCGAGAAAACAATATTCTAGGATTTCGATTTCAATTCAAAAGTTGCCGAGTCATGTTTTGAATTGCGCCCGAAATCAGCGTCCGGGACACGTTCTCATTCTGCTGATTGCAGCTATGCAATGTCATGCACTAAACCTACGAATAATAGCAACCGCACTAGCGGGTACGTCGGGTAAACGCTTGCGTACATTCATTCACGGCTTCGCCGAATTAAAAACGAACTACCTTCTTTTGTTGTTTCCTTCAAAATGACAGCATGCCAGAAAGAATAATTTTGCAGGGAGTTCAGTTAATACCATTTAATACCATTCTTTAAACCAAATATGCTTTTCAACAATAATTTTGTCAGTTACTTTTTTGGATAGCTGTAAATGATATACTCTGCCTTTATAAGTTTAAATGTCGTTATTGTATGGAACCCAATTTCCCAAATGATAACTATATTGCCAGAGAATTATATGGAAAAAGACACTTATCAGAGGAAAAATTCCACAAAGATGTTGAGTCATCCATGATCCCAATGAATTCATAATTCATGTTATCTACACTAGCATCGCTGTTACTCGCCAAATTGAAGCTTTCTAAGATGAAATGGAGAAGCCTCTTGTAACGTTTTTCATTATCATGTTACCCACACCATTATATGTGAAATTTGTTGTTGTTTTTTTATTCATAATACATAGTATAGAACATCAGTGTACTGTAGTTTTTTTTCTAAAGTTAAGATATATAATTTGTTTTCTGCAGGGCCAGAACCTCCTCTACTCTTCTGAGATAAGCCTTTTCATTTCAAGTCCTTATAATATTAGTAATATTTATCTATAAAGGGAACATAACCGCCAAACAGGTCCACATGGTGCAGTGCATCAACGTTATTGCACCTGTTTTCTTTTGTTTTGTCTTTTGGAACATTTGAATGTGTTCATTAAGGCATAGACTATATAGGGCGATGTAGGCTAGGGTATGGCTTTCTGTAGCCGGTACGTATCTTCAGTAACGTGTATTGACTTAAAATGGAGTCACCATGTCTGAAATCAAATTCAACAATTTTGTTTTGGTCGGAGAAGCATATTATTTGCCTTATTATGCAAACATGAACCAAAAATGCCTTTAAGTTGTCCTGCCTTTAGTCTTTTTTTTATCTGTTGCTTGTACTAGCCTATAAATCTATGATGCCTAAATACACAACTGACACAGATCAGAGACTTTTGATGTTGTAGCTTTAAACTCAAAAGCAACAGATGTATAAATTGCAAAATGATCAGTGTGCAGTTAAAAGAGAAATGTAGTATTGTAATTAATGCAAAAAAGATATATTTTTGTGTGGATGATTTTTTTTTTATTGGATGATACTAGAATACTAGATCTATGCAGCTTGTGAGAATTTTCATTGCAATGTGAGTCACAGATGTGTAATTTAAAATCTAGGATGTGAAAGCCCAATTCATAAGGATTCTTTTAGTACAAGAATCATTCAAATCACTCGCATACTTTTCAAGTTACGGAATTTTAAACACAACCACCGTGTTAAGGTTCTGTCCATGGATCACAAACAAGTTCAGTGTTCTTTCAGCAAAACGAAAAGAAATCACAGGAATGTGTGTGAATTGTTTTCGTTTTGCTGAAAGAACGCACACCTTTTTTTGTGATCCATGGACAGAACCTTAAAACGGTGGTTGTGTTTAGAATTCTGCAACTTGAAAAGCACATAAGTAATTTGAATGATTCTTGTACTAAAAGAAAGCTTATGGATTGGGCTTTCATATCCTAGATTTCGAAAGTGCTACATGCAGAACTTCAATAAAACAATAGTCCCAGTTATTTCAATTTTTGTTTCCGCTATTAAAAGCATATGAAGAAACCTGGGAATCATATTTCTAATGCTGACTATAGAAGAGATGTAAAAACAAAATGCACAATTTGATGTAATTAATGTGGAGATATGAAACTAAACAATAATTATGGCAACTGCCTTTTTTCCACTTTTGATATGTATATATTGAGTGGCAAGGACCTCCAGTTATAGAAATGTTGTGTAGATATGTCTAAGTAAAATTTGTTATATACAAAAATTTATTTAAAAGTGGGAAAAATGACCCTAACATTGAATTTTTTCAATATTACAACTTGTGTACCATGGCAACAACATTTTTGCAGTATTAATTTAGCAGTAATAACTTCAAGAGCTGATTTTTGATCATTCAAATATGAAAAATTTTGTATTGCTTGAACAATTACAATTTAACATATGAAATCTAATTTTCCAGGTTGAAACTCAAAAATAGCACGGACAGTACATTTTAAAAATTGTATATTTTTTACGCGACTGAAGTGCCTTATGTTGCAAGATTTATTTTGCTTGTGTATTAATTGTGCTGAAGTGAAGTTTTGTGTTTGGAAGAATAACAAAAATCAGTTGTATGTACTAAAATGTTTGTAATAAATGTTAACTTTATGATGTTTACAGCATTGAAAAAATATTTTGTTTAGATTTTTTTTTACAAATTGATCAGACAATAAAATTACTTTTGTATCAATTTTTTTTATTCAGTTATTAATACATTATTTGGTAGTGCTTAATATTTATTTAAATTCAGATTTCAATTGTTCCATCCTAAGTTAGCTAGGTCATTCTCCTTATGTCTCTTCAAAAAAAAATGTTGGATGGGGCAATATTAGTTTCTTTTGGAGGGGTTCCATAAACTCATTTAAAACATACATTTGCCAATTACATTTGTCAATTACATTACTACACTTGTAGTCCAAAATAAAAAGAACTCAATTTTGTTACTTTTTGCTGGTTCTGAAGGGGCCAGCCTATATTGACTGGTTCCCTGTCCCTCCATTGCCCTTCGGACTTCAAATGTAGGGACAGGTAGCTAGCAATTAATCCGGAATACATTAGGAGGGTTTCTTCCTAATGTATGCAAATAATATGCAGGACTTGCACAGGTCTGATTCCCGCCCCTGAATTCAAAATCACAATGATAATGTTTGATAGAGTTGTGAGCTTCGATTTTCGCTGAATTCAAAAGTGTCTCGTTTAGAAGCTATGCAGTTGAAATACTTGAATGTTGCCGTTGTGGAGACACTGGCGATTTTGCCTACTGGTTGTGATAACACTATGAGTCGGGTTTTTTTTTGAAAACCATATGTTCAAATGTCATCCATGCAAAAAGCTGTAACGTTTCAAAAACAAACAATTTCGCCGCATGCGCAGAGTTGATCTAATCAAGGGCTTTACATGGGAGCTAGTTTCTGCATTCAATAGAGGACGTTGAACAATAGAGGACAATAGGGTCCCTAATTCCACAATTTTGGCGATCGTGTACAAAACATATGGGAGGTCTTCCTAAAAAGTTAGTACAAACAAGAGGGACAAAAGGGGGTCCCCGATTGCAGGCAAATACACACTTTGGTGTGGGGGGGGGGGGGGGGGGGAACCCAGTGGACAACCTATAGCACTCTTGGTACCGGACTGACCAACCTTGTCCCCATGGCATCTAGCAGTACGCTCCCACAAGCTGCTCTCACTGCTGTACTGGACATTTGCATATGTTCCAAAATCTTGCACATTATAATTAGGTATGGAATAGTCTGGTGCCTGGCTATGCTTTAAGTCAGTGGTTTTTCTTTTAACGCTATGTCCTGGGTACAGATAACAATTCATTGTGGCATGCGATCAGAAATTTTTTTCCAAGTTGCAATGTTCATCTAACGTGCAGTATTACACTAAATACAATGTGTGATTATAATTAGTAAAATGAAAAAGGGATGATTGTTTTTTAGCTAGGATTGGACGAAATAATTCACACTGATAGTGTACACTTCATGTACATTTGAAATAAATCACCACGTCACTTGCTATTGCGGGATCGAATCAGAATGCAGGAAGCAAGTTTACCTTCCCGGGTCTACTACTGTCTGGAGGTTGATAGTAGAACCTTGGGAATGAGGTTGCGACTGACTGATGGTTGCTTGTGAATTAGACTGGTTACCTATCTCACTGACTGACTGTCACTTGTGAATTAGACTGGTTTCCTATCTCAATGACTCACTATTATTTCTGACGTATTTCCTGTGTCTTTACGGATGCGGAACCTGGAGAACCAATAAGCTAGAGCTGATTTGCATGTTCCCTCTTTTTTTTCCTAACTAATAGCCATTTGGAGTCTCCTTTGTTGTATGTATTTCGTTTCTCAAAATAAGGGGAGAGTAAGGCCAAAAAAAAAAAGTCTCCGGTTTCTGGTATGGAGCTTGCCCAAAAAGTGGTGCGGTGACGCGGCTTTTTTTTTTTTTTACCTGATTTTTTTGGCCTCAAATGTCGGCTGATGACTGCAAATGGTGCCCGACTAAACTTAGTGCAAATATATGGGAGTCCAGAGAGGCAACATAAAGCTTATTCATCCAAAAACACGTTAAAATTGTGCAGCAGCAGGATTCCAGTCAAACCAGTGAGTTTGGCGGTTTTGAGACATCATCTTTCATTGAAAAAAAAACTTTTTCATTTTGCCGACGCGCATGGCTACGGCGACGCGCGCGCATACCAGAAACCGGAGACTTTTTTTTTTGGCCTAAAAGACTGTTATTTTTTCCTGTTTTAATAGCGGTGCTCTTTAATAAGATCATTCTGTATAACTTGCATCCAGTGGTTGTCCAGTGGATTGAGACCCAAGTACACGTCACAAAATTCATACAACACCAGTCATATTTTGATTACTTCAAAACAAATTTAATTGGTAATTTTCTCATATTCTACATGGGGAAAAAAATATCTGAACCATTCGTTAACCCAAATACAGTTGGGCCAGTCCCAACAACAGTTGGGGTGGTCCCCACTACAGTTGGGGCGGTCCCAACTACAGTTGGGGCGGTCCCAAATACAGTTGGGCCAGTCCCAACTACAGTTGGGGCGGTTCCAACTACAGTTGGGCAGTCCCAAATACAGTTGGGGTGGTCCCCACTACAGTTGGGGCGGTCCCAACTACAGTTGGGGCGGTCCCAAATACAGTTGGGCCAGTCCCAACTACAGTTGGGGTGGTTCCAACTACAGTTGTGGTGGTTCCAACTACAGCTGGGACAGTCCCAACTACATTTGGGCAGTCCCAACTGTACTTTCCCAAATTAAGTTGGGACGATGGTCTAGTTTGGGTGTAACTATTCCATGTAGAATTCTTGAAATCTGCTTCCCAAATATTGTAAATTATACCCAAGAATGATTGTAGTACCGATTTTTAATAATTGTCTCAGGTATGACACATTCATACCCTTCACACTGATTATATTTGTCAATTTCGTATGAAAGAAACTGGTGTCTATAGGATTAATAGAGTTTCCTCTTGTCCGAGTATTCCTTTCAACTCACAAGAAATAATACAAAAAAAAAGATATGTATTTCTAATCTATGTTTGCCTCACAGAGACTAACGCTGGTCTGGAATCCTAATACGTCACAAGTGAAATAGCAGTTAATGAAATTAGTCTGGTTACACTAGAAGTGTTTTGAATATTATCCCAGAGCTAGCAAAAAGGGAAAATACAAAATAATAAAAATACACTTTCCCAATTTCCCAATCCCGTTAAGTGACACTTTGTCACAATTCAACACAGTTAAGGGAAACAACAATTAATTAACAATTTTCTGATTTAAAAATCAGACTGTAATATTTGATAATACTTTGGTCAAACTCATGTCTCAAAGGGATCGTTTATAATCAGTTACAGTCATACTGATATCACACTATTTCTTGAGGTTTGACCGTGTTTTACATATTAGGACGTGATGGGTTGGACACACATAGCAGACTGCAACGCCGCTGTCAGCGTATCGCGATCAGACCAGCCTGTACAAGAACATCCAGCTTGGCCGCAATGTCTGGATTCTGCAAATGTCTGTTGATGAGAGGCAAAGGAGAACAAAAATCTGAAATCAACGATGGTGTGGACTTACTGGATGCACACCCTGGTTAGCGCATGTATGGCACGGACTACGCATGACCAGTTTTCATCAGTATGGGCACAAATGCAGAGCAGAGGGACACTTCCTTAAATTTCCATCAACTCTTCGCCTCTATTGAGTACTCTGAATAGGGCTGTTCATTTTCGAATAATTTAGTATTCGATATTCGAAACTACGTTTGACCGAATATTCGAATATTCGAAACTTGCCAATCATGGGCTTTAACTCGCTCAAAGGAAGGGAACAATGAACTTCCAATGACAAAAAAATGCCACTGACAAAAAGTGGCATCTGGTAGTGCAGTATTACCGTATAGTCACGGTTGTTGGTTTTTTAATTGAACAGTTCCCTCGAACTCGGTATAGAATTCACTTTTTTTGTGGGGGGGGGGGGGTGAGTATACTAGTAGTAGGTGAGTTTTTATGGTTTTTCTTTTTAAAATGTTATTTGTTCAGAGTGGAACCATCGGCAAGAGAGGCGGAGATAGAGATCAATTGCTTATTAGCACTATAGCAGGCGACGTGAATCCCAAACACGACGGGTGTCGTCAATCAATGTGACTCTCCGACCCTCATACCACCATGGACCATGCATGAAGGAAGGAACAGACGTCACATATTATTTTGATGACATCATACCTCTCCTCTAAAAGAATAAGGAACATGTAGTTCCCGGTACCGCGGTCATGGTACACCAAGAAAGTAGCGCGGCAACTTCCTTTTTTTTTTATTGAATACTCGAACCGGCAAAATGCTATTCAAATAATCGTTTGATGATCGAATATTTAGTATATTTGGGACAGCCTTAACTCTGAATGCGTAGGAGTACGTGTGTTGGGAAATAAGCCATGACAGTCTGCCACAACTATGCCGGCAATGTGCAAGTACCGCAACGAACGTGGTTTAAAACTTGACATTTTCTCAAAATCTGAGTCCTCTTGAACTTTTGTTTTTGTTGCAACTTCTTCGTCGAGATACTCAGGTTTCTACCCATAATCGCCACTGCACAATGTGCTCCAAATATGATGGCAAGTTTCTCAGGCTTAACAGGCTGATCCATTAAGCCCCACTTCATGGTGTTTTAAAGGGAATGTACAACATTTGCTTTTGCTGTCATTTTCAGAAATGGATGGATTTGGGGGGGGGGGTTCAGTATTTTATAGCAAATATTGTTACACTGACTTGTCTGAAGTTTTGGCTATTCAGAGCATACTGCGCGCGCATTTCGAAGACAGCACGCCGGCGTGCCCATAATGCGCTCGCGTGCTTTGCATGTCACGTCACGTACACAATTTTTTGTTATTCAAAACTCGCGATGCCTGTACGATATGGATTATGGCAGCCTCGTTTTTCGCTAAAAAAAATCCCTGTATCTTCGGTTGTAAAGGGATGAAAGGGGTACATACATTTAAAACAAAATCTTTGCTAAATAACGCAACGTCCAAACCTTATGTTTGAAAGGATTGATTCTTCAAAATATGGCATCGGCATGTAAAACAGATAAACTGCAGCCTAATTATAATGTGCCATATTTTGACACATTTAAATTACACAAATCCAGGGGTTGAGATCGCGCAAGGCATGATGGGAAACAACATGGCGCAGCAAGATCCCGTACCCATGGGAATGAGGTTGACGTCAGGGAATTGTAAGATCAGGGAACCAATCTATAAGTCTGTAATCGATTGCAACTAAATATGGTAAATTTGGGGCAGTATTTGAAAAAAAATCTAGTTTTTTCCCCAACGCTGGTCGGCCAACCAGCGTTGGAAATTTGATACAAAACTACCACTTTTCTTGAAAATGACAGCACACTAGGTGCCATGATTTTACAGGATGCTTTAGACTGTCATTCTCTAACAGTCCAGTAAGGTACTATATAATTATTTAGTAGTTTTGTTTTTTGATGTTTGCAAATGTTGTACATTCCCTTTGACCAATTACAGACATGAATAATATCCGACATGCGTGCACCTAAGTCCCACATGCCTGCATGTGTGTTTGATGTGCATGGTTGGAACATTGTTTGTTGCATTCGAGAAGGGCACGGTTGTAGTGCACATGCGCAGTGGGCAGTCTCATGGATTGTTCACTTCCTACTTGTATCATGTATATTTCGTTAGGACTCAATCGCAAGACTGGTATCAGGGGCCGATTTCACGAAACTCGTCTTAGCTTACGACTTTTCTCAGGACTTAAGACGAGTCCCAACTCTAAGATGGAAATCTGATAGCTAAGATTTGTCCTCAGACCAATTTCACTAAACACATCTTAAGCAAGAAGCATCAAAACTACCAATTTGATGGCTGTTTCGTGTTTGTTTTTACCGTTTGACAAAACAGTCGATGAAAAGGAACATGCAAAACCAACTTCCCGCAAGCGTGCAAAGAACATGAACTCTTGCCAGAAAAATTACTCTACTCGATCTATTTCGCACACAAGGTAGTTCTACACAAGATACGATAAAGTCAGTCTTGCTCCCCTATTCATCACTCTATTTTAAAAAGTCAACTAGGTGTTGGGCGTATAATCAAATTTTGTATATAAGCTATTTTTCATAAAACCTACTCACGTATCAGAAATCTTTTCAAATCTGTTTCGACAGCCGTTTTCTTTCTCGAAACTATAACTCTAGGCCGACACTCGTCTTTAACGGCAATGTTTCCAGACGACATACAAATTAACGCATGCCTTAATGAGATAAGACATCTCAGGCCAATCTTAAATTAAGACGAGTTCAGCTGTATATTGCTAAGGAAGTTAGGACTTGAAGACGTCTTAAGTTTGGTGAAATCGATCCTAGGACGAGTCGTGAGTTAAGATGAGTTACCCTTCCTAAGACGCGTCTTAGTATTTTGTGAATTCGGCCCAAGGTTTCAACGAGACTTACTCTCGTACGGCACCGGGGTTGCTCTGCATTTGCTCCAGGATGAGTCTCATGGCCGGATCCCCCAAGACTTTCTGGACCTCAGGATTGGCCATGGCTCTCTTCTTGATGTCCTCGGGGTCATCATTGTTGACCTGTGACCTGGCGGCCATGATGGACTTGGTGACCTGCTGCTGTGCCTCCTGCAAATGAATCACAGTATTTGCGAGTTAGAATTTCAATCATGACATCAAAAACTATTATTACGATGCATCGCAAAGTCTATCAAGTGTCAACACAAAGAGCAGTCCACAGAAAGTCAATGGCAAGTCTTCAGAAAGACAACCAAGTCCACACAAAGTCAGTAAGTCCTAACAAAGTCAATAAGTCATAACAACAAAAAGTGCCAGTCATGTACTCATATCTAGTCATTTACAGGTCATCTCAAGTCAATCACAAGTCAATGACAAATGTGTTTCAAACAGTCACTCACAAGTCATTACAAAGATGAATCGTAAAGTATATCATAAAGCCACTATTAACCCTAACCCCTTGAGCACTTTTACTAGAAAGTATCCTGAATCCGCCAAAATCCACCTATTGTGTCATGCACAAACATGTTGGTGTCGGTGACTGCTCAGTATGGAAGTACCCTGAATCCATCAAAATCCTGCAGTACCGCTAAAGCCGGCCTCAGGTCAACCCACAATTTTCTTGCGCCACGACGGAACCGTCGGGCATCAAGCAGAAAAATAATGCTCAGGTCACAAAACTGAGAAATTGTGTGATGGTCCCGGAACACGTCGCAGAAGTTGAAATTTTTCTACTCTTACGACTGGTGATTTTTTTCAGCGCCAACTGATGCCGATCGTTTTAATATCGTTGCAGTAACACTCAGGTCGCACTAAATCGGCATCTGAGTTGAGCCCGACGGTCGTAGCTCAGACGCGGCTTGATCCTAAAAAGTCAGTCACCGACTGATCTGTGTCGTCGCAAGATCGACCTGAGGGCGACTTACGCTTACAATCCTGAATCCATCAAAATCCCCCTGTTTTCAATATGGAGGTATCCTGAATCCGCCGAAATGCTCCAAAACAGGGATATGGATTTTGATGGATTCAGGTATGCCAAGGTTAAAGAAGGATTACCCGTCATCCTGTCCCAAGTCAACTGATGAATGATTCAGATGGACTTGGTTTCTCACTGTTCATTCCCCGGTGCTAGTGATTTGACTTGCGACTGAGTTGTGATTTGCGTGATTGACTTGTGGGCGACTTGTGATTTGGCTTGTGATTGAATTGATGACATCCCCGACTTTTGGCAAGCAAGTTAAGTTTTCCTGAAGTTTCTTTGACACTAACTCATCTACTTACCGCATGGCTTGGGTCAATGTCTAACACCTTCTGAAACGCTGTTCTGGCTTCACTGTATCTATGCATCCCGTACAAAATATAGCCTCTCCGTAGATAACCCTTCACTGTGATATAAAGGAAAAACAAGTCTCGTTTCAAAACCCACGCTCAGAAGAAACTTCTGGAATTATTGCAACTGCTACACTTTTCTGCAAAAGCTCTTGAGTTCTGGGACGGCTGATTTTTTTGCCGTCCTACTACTTTTGCCCTGACATTGCATAAAAATTAACAGCACAAACAAAACACATCCAAAACAAAACAGAATAATTCCTCCAACACCAAACAACTTCAACTTTCAGTGGCCAACAAGCCCCACTTAAAGTAATAGTATCTGGGCACTACAGGGTGAGTAAAAAAAAACAAGGGAAACCAAATAGCAAGACCATTTTTGTAATGAAGTTCTGCATGTAGCACTTTCAAAATCTAGGATATGAAAGTCCCATTCATAAGCTTTCTTTAAGTACATGAATCATTCCAATCACCTACGTACTTTTCAAGTTACGGAACTATAAACACAAACACCGTTTTTAAGTTCTGTCACGGATCACAAAAAAGTGAGTGTTGTTCAAGCAAAATGAACACATTTCATGTACATCCCTATGTGATTTGTTTTCGTTTGACAGTCGATATTAGCTCCTCTTGATATCAAAAATAAAGCCCCGGGAACTAGTTTGTCAACTTCCAATACCTCGGGGAGCTAATATCGACAGTCCACCCTCAAACCATGTTGTATCTGTATTAACATAATGCTTATGTTTTGGTACTTACAGAACGTAGGTTCCATCTTGATACAGTGATCACAGTCTGCCAAGCCTAACCTGAACTCAGCTAGCTTGGTGTACGCTGCCGCCCGATTGCTAAACAGCTTAGCATCATCTGGACTGCGCTTGATGGCCTCTGAGTAATGCTTGACGGCCGTGGCATAGTCCCCTGTGGAGGCAATATATAAGTGAACACCTGGTCTAGCAAAATGCTAAGCAGGGCAGCTAAGCAGGGTGGTTAGGCAAAGTCATCTGAAGTTGCACTACCCATGCTCCTCAAAGAGAGGTGGGCTGCATTTATTGAGTAATGGGACAAACTTTGATGCACATTTTCCTGTTTTTGAGGTTTCTCCCTTGTTAGATACAACATAATGTTGTGCAGTGAAGTGGGGTGCTGTGGTCCAATGGTTAGGGTGTTCGAATTGTGTGCCATGGTACATGGGTTCAAACCCTGAGGGGGAACATGGTGCTTGTGCTCTCGGGCAAGGCACTTTACTTCGATTGCCTCTCTCCACCCAGGGGTATAAATGGGTACCTGTGAAGGTATATAAAGACCAAATTGCACTGATCTTGAGCTGCTGGGCAATTCCACGGTTACTCACGTTATATTTTTGATGTACTTTTGAGTTTCCTTGGGCTGTAATTACCTTACTGAAAAGGTTTAATGACTGCTATCCCCATGGTACATAGAGTAGACCTAGACCTACTGAAAATGTAACGTGAGTAACCGATTTTGTGCGTCTTGTTTATCATACATAACACATTTTTCTGGATGTCATCTTTGGTGCTTAGGTAGGTCTAGGTCTACTCTATCTACCATGGGGATAATGGTTATTAAACCTTTTCAGTAAGGTAATTACAGCCCAAGGAAACTCATAAGTACATCAAAAATGTAACGTGAGTAACCGTGGAATTGCCCTGCTGCAGAAAAAAATGGTCTCATTCCTGATTAACAGGGATAATGATCGTGATGCTCAATTGATCATATTCATATGGAATTTGTGCAATATAGATGCATAAATAATTATTGTTATTATCACCACCAGTCGCTTGACTAGTGGTCACTTCTATTGACCACTAGTGACCACTTCTAGTGACCACTACCCAAACTCAACTATCAGCCTGGACACTTTGAATTAAGCAGAGGATTTACCACTGGACATTCCACACATTCTCAAATTTGCATCCTTGTGGAGACATTTCTTTGTTCTCGTGTAGTAAAGTGTTCAATTTTGAAAGTGAAGTTTCAAAATGCTCTTATTTTAACCAGAATTAGTTTCCTTGGCTGAAATTTGGACTTAATATCCCTTTTCTAAAACTCTTCCATTTGCGACTGATCAACCCACCTTGGAAATTCCTAGTTTTTGAGTAAAACCCATATATCTATTTCGTGAAAACCTTGTGGAGACCTATTCATCTATAGAAATTGCCCTGTGGAGACCTTTACAATGTTTTGTTCCCTATTGTGTGTGAGTCTCCACAAGGATACGAATTTGTGGTCAAATACCAGCCATTAACCACATTAGTCCCAATAAAGTCCGTACAGTAAGTGCATCCTTAGCGTATTTGACAGCATCAAATTCGTCACCGACACCACGAACTGGCACTCACACGCAAGTGGGTGTCAGTTCGTGAAAACCACGTAATAAACAATTTTGGTTTAACAAACTGACACCGGGTAGTGCAAACATAGAACACTGACGCAAATTAGAATGACGTTCGTTTTCACGAACTGCCACCCAAGCATGTTGCAACAATACAGTACGGAGAAAAACGCTTTGAAAGGTTTGACATGAATTTAATCCTTCCGTTTTACGTTTTAACCGGTAAAATTAAGATCAGTGTCAGTTCATGAAAATGAAAACGTAAGGAGTGCGCGCTAGAAATGCCGCACTGTGCCGGGTGTCACTTCGTGAAAACAAAAATAACCCGGTTCTGTAAATATGCACGTGTGCCGCGCACTCACGCGCAATCGAGTGTCAGTTTCTGGTATTGGTGAATTGCTTGTGCAGGTTGACTTTTTGTCCTAGGAAGTATTGCGTCTAGCTTCATAAGCTACTGAGCATGCCGACTAATCCTAGGAAGTGGGGCCATCTTACCTTTCTGGAAGCAGGCGTTGCCCAGTTCCTTCTCCTCAGCTGACTTGGCTGGATCAATGTAAGCCAACTTCTCCTCTTCTTTCTTAGATTTTATGACCTACAGGAATGCACAACAAATGATGACATCATGAGCAAGGAGAACAAACAAAGTAAACCAAAATGTCTTGTGTTATTTTTTAAAGTGACAGCCTGTGAAAATTTGCTGTGCCTGTATTTTTTGGGTACTTGTTCATTCATTCTGATGATAAACAGGAGGAATGTGGACTAATGTACGTCAATAATATACAAATATTGAGTGGCTCAGCGTGGAATGGGAGGAATATTATCGCAAGGTAAAATCTGGACTTTTCCATTTCACGAGGCGAAGCTGAGTGAACTGGAAAAGTCCAGATTTTACCTCCCATTTCACAATTTAAAGCCTCTCAATATTTGTTTTATATAACTGACATATAGATCCTTGTCATTTGATATATTTGAACTTTTATTTTAATACAAAATTGGTGAAAGATGTATTTTTCTCTTCCAAACCACCCCTTCACGGAAATGTTCGAACCCAATGCTGTAGCGCTGGCTCTTTGGAACAACACGCGCTACGCGCAACGCTGAACGCGCACACCAGCATGCATTTGCACACAAATACCGCGTCATGGAACAAGAATGATCCTAACCGTTCAATAGTATTTCCCATTCCCCACGTGCGGATAGTACCTTTTGAGCCCCGGTGTGAATGGCAGTAATAACGAATGACACGTGATGTGAGTTCCACCAATCAAATGACAAGGATCTGTATGTCGGTTATATAATTGTAACTGACAATTTAACAGTCAAAACACAACTGCAACACTAAGTCTATTTGGCATGCGCACCTCGGTGCCCTGCCTCGTCCCTACACAAGGCTGCATTTCTCTCATGCAAATACAAGAAAGACTGGTCAAGCAGAAAATACACAGTGACACAACTGATCTCCATGTCAAAAATCTGCATAGCTCTTTGGCCATAGAGTACTGAAGTGCGCCGCGTATTCTGTTCCACGCGCCTTTGCAAAATCCTCCATTTTGCCAAGAGGATGTTGGAGGATTTGGGAAGGTTAGGGTTAATGCAACAGTGAGGTCCGTAGAGGACACATACGATAATCCACAAGGGGTGTAAGCAGTAACAAGGAAAATTGGCATTTTTTCAATTTGTAGTTTTTAGTTTGAAATAGTCTGCCTACAAAGGGCTGCATGGTTCAGTTGGTCAAGCGTTGGTATGGCAGCCATCTCGTGGTTGCAAGTTCAAATCCCTCTTCAGTCAATTTTTTTAATTTTAGTTTTGTTCAACCAATCCTACTGATTCAAAGTGTGATTCTTCAATGTTATTTTCAAAATTAAAAAAAGAAACCCTTAATAATACCTCTTGCTTCTTTTTAAGTGTCTCCGGGGTCCGATGTTCAGCCAGGGATCTGTCAAAGTTTTCCAGGGCATGCTCGTAATCTTTCTCCTTGGCGTAAGACGTCGCAATGCGACAGTAGGCCCTGCAAATGAAAGGTGGAAACAAATTGCAATTTTTTCCTAAACTGAGAGACTAAAAAAAAAAAACTTGTTTTGCCAAATACTTTAACATATTGCAGGTTTAGTTCTGAGCTATGCACCTTAGTCTCCCTGCAAGTGTTGTGCGAGTTTACAATCTGTAAAGTGGGATGGAACTTGAGGAAAACTTCACAGTACCATTTCTTAAATACAGCATGCAATTTTGTTCCTAAGCAATTCCATCTAATTTCTGCAGTTGAGGGAATCTCTAAGAATTTTTTAGATTAGATTAAGCCCGGCCCTCCCTGATCCATCAAAATCCATCCCGAGGAAGATGGCAGAACCCAGCCACTGTTCCTACACATGGGGCTTAATGTCCCTTCAAGGTTTCACTGAAAAAAAAAAAATTGGCGTAGGGTGAAAGCCCAATTTACAATTTACCGGCTGCTACATGAGACTCGAACCTGCCAGCTGACCCTGCCAAGCTCAGTGGTCGAGTGGTAAGACAGTACAGCGAGTACGCTCTCTGATAATTTAATATAGCTCTGTGGGTTAATTGCAGAGACCATTGATGTGTGACTTACTTTGCGATGATTTTGTAATTGCCTCTGTTCTCTCTGCCCACATCCACCGCCTTCAAGCAGTCAGCTCGGCAGGCCTCTTGGTCTCCCTTCTCGTAGTGCGCCGCTGTCAAACGCAAACAAACACATCACAAAAACTCAACACTGTACTTCTGAATAGTTATCATTATTTATTTCTGGTAATGAAACCAAGGATTCCTTAAAAACTCACTTAGCACTGTAGCTCGCAAGCCTGAAAAAAAAAAACTTGTCAAGGGAAGACAACAACGAAATGACAGTTTTAGAGTTGGGAAGAAAACTCCAGAAGAATATTCTGGCGGAAACCTACTGATCAGGTGGGGACTGAAAACCCAAACCACGTCAGACCAGGGCATGAATGGAACCCGGGCCATATTGGTGGAAGGCGAGGAAAGAATCACTGCATCAACCTGTACGTGGGCCCTGACATTTTAGCAGAAAACAAAAGGCAAACAAAAAAAGCTGTTTGCAATTCAAAATGAGGAAAGAAATGATGCGTCAAGGAGGACCATTGGAAAACCAAGAATGATATCCCTTGTACATCCCATGGAGAGGGACGTACAGCACCACAGAAAAGAAGGTTTCAGGGAAAACTACCTGTCTAAGTAAAAATATACATAATGAGTGTCGCATGTTGAGTGGATATGCGGTAGCTTGCTTGCTATTACAACTCCGGCACTTACCTGCCCTGTTAGTGAGGAATGCAATGTTGATGGGATCCATCTCAATGGCCTGTGTGTACAACTCAATGGCTTTGTCGAGGTCCTTCTTCTTGTAGGCTTCGTTCCCGGCTTCCTTTAACTCAACGGCCTGGGTTGAAATCAAGACAGTATTTCAATCACAAATCCTGAACAGTGAGGCATTTTTTTGGCAATAGTTTACAAATCTACCGTCTGAAAATAAGTACTTCTGAGCCATTGAAAATGTCAGACACAATAAAATACCAGTCAATATATCGTTACTGACAACGTCAAATGCTCCTTTTGAAGATCTAATTCACGGTCACTTTCATGAACTTATAGCTTTATTAAATGGTTTCTTTGTGTTTCACAATTTAAAAATAAATAAAAATTAACCCTAACTCCCTAGGCCCTTTTTGCTAGGAACCACCCTCAATCCTCCAAAATCCTCCAAAATTTTGCACAAGTGTTCAAATGAAGGATACCAACTGCCTCAATCCTTCAAAATTCTCCAACAACCCTGCTTTTCAAAATGCATTCCTCCTCAATCCTCCAAAATCTTTCTCTTCTTGAAACACTAGTCAGCCTCAATCCTCCAAAATCAACTGGTACTGAATGTGCATTCATCCTCAATCCTCCAACATCCTCCAAAACTGCCTGGAGAACTTTGAAGGATTGAGGAGGGTTAGGGTTAATGAAACATTCCTTGACAACTTTTGACTGAAACATTCTTAATGAACACCTTGTTATATTTCAAACTGAAAAGGTGTGTTGTTCTTATTTTGGCATCGGTCTTGAAAAAAATATACTTGCAATGAGATAGCAGCCCTGAAAGTCCTTTTCACTCAGAAAACTCAAGACACCAAAAAGGGAGACAAACCTTGGCTTTAATGGGGTCCACCTCCATAGGTTCTTCTTTGGGTTCCTCCTTGGATGCTGCCGCTGCTTGACTGGCCTTCTTGGCTGCTGCACCAGCCTGCCGGGCCGCTGCTGGCGTGTCCTCCCCAGCCATATGCAGATCAACACCCATCAAAACACTCAAGGTGGTCAGCATACGCGGGTCATTCAGAGAGCTAAAAGAGGGGCAAAGAAAAGTATAAAAATCAGAATCTTTGGGAGTTTTCAAAACCTCAGGTTCATCTTCTAATCTGGTCTTCCAATTTATTCAATGAAAAAAAAGGGAAAATAAACCACATTCCCACATTCCTGATTTGTTTGAGACAATTTTTTATTAACATTAAATTCAAGGATGCTGCCATGATGTTGTTCAACAAATATGACACAAAGAGCAGTTGAAAATCAACCAATGATGTGCAAGGTTTGTGTAGTGCCTCAAAAGATCCAGTAAAATTGTATGTTTTAGACCGTTCACAAGAGTCCAACATGGCGACATGATAAATTCTGCATCCAAGACTGACGTTCTAAGTGCTCCAAAAAAACTTGAGTGTGTTAAATGCATTTTTGCGTTTTGTTTTGATGTGTTTCTTTTTTTGGGGGGGGGGGGGTAGGGGTATCAATAATACTTCAGTAAAAGCTGTGATTTTAATGGGATTATACAAACCCACAACTCAAACAAAACTAGCAAAAATACATTCAAAACCAGAGCAAAGTGACAAAGTTTGTAACATTTCAGCATCAACACCAAAGGGAATCTGACCTGCCGAGAGCATTCGAGTCTGTCTGGAGCTTCTTGAGTAGAGCCATGTAGGAAGGGTCCTTCATGAAGTCTCTAGTCCGAGGATCCGTCTTTAACTTCTCCATCACCCCAGGGCCTGAAAATGGGTTGTTCAAGGGCTGGCTACCGGCTGGCCCTAGTCAGGGGAACAAACAAAAAAAGGTAAGTGAGAATAGGACCAATTTCAAGTTAGTACTGATACAGAGAGCCCACATGCTCCCTATTGGGTGATGAGGATTACCAAAAATGGCTTAGCATCCAGAGCATTCACTTGAAAATCCTCTACAAGCAAAACAAATGTGGCTGTTTTTTCTCTCTTTTTGGAGGATCCTTTTCATGAAATTTGATAGGAAAATAAAGAGTGGTTTCTACCTCGTGTGCAGCAGCACAGTTACATGTACCTGCAAAAAATTGTGCATCTTCTTAGGGAACCCCAAAAATTGATAAAAGTGACCCAAAAAATGTATGTTTACAAGGAATTCTCCACATCCTGAAAACTCCTTGAAGTCTAAACAAAATTTGCAATTTTTGCAAACCACAATTTGGCTCATGGTTTAAGCAGAACTTAGCATACGTTTCAAACAGTATATCCCTAAATAGAACATGTAGAACAGATCAAAGCAAGTGCAATATTTATGACTACTTTGAAAATGATTGCAATTCCTTTAATGTCATTTGTGTGTAAGTGTTCAACTCAGAACTAAGGGATTTAGGCATAGAGTGTTAGCGCAGAAATTTCTTTGTCGGCGCAGCGAGTCCTCAAAATGGCAGATAGTGTCATGAAATAGACGGATCCATTAGGCCATGCCCACGTCGTGCTCCTTTTCAATGCCACATTGCATGTTTCATGTGCATGCATGTCAGACTTTTGTACAGGTATGTCGAACATTGACCCTACTGCTGTCTGAACAGTCACAGACAGTCAAAAAAATCAATCCTCTCCCCTCACCTACAGTCAGATCATATGGCAAGCAAGCACTGTGACTAGTCAAATTCAGTCAACAGACAAAAGCAGGCAAGTGGTAAGTACAGCTGGCTTATCAATGGCCTACAGTCAAAACATAGCTGTATCACGTTACATAAACAGTCACAGCCAGTCAGTCCTGCTTTGTGTTGGCTGGGAGCTCTTAACTGTTGAAAACAGTCACTTGATTGATTTTGATTGCAAGGACAGCTTTGCTCAGAATGCATGTTTGCATAGGAGGGTTAATCAAGACTGTGATTGGTCAACACTTCCTGAGGAGGGGCTTAATGGATTGGTCTATTGGAAACAGGTGGCCCATAAAAAAATGCTTATAAACAACTAAGCTTCTGACAGGTGTACCTGTGAGGTGTTTCTTGCATTCTTCCAAGCCGTCTTTCAGCTGTTGGTTGTTGGCATCGTGATCCAATCCTTCTTTGTATGTGACCTCCGCTTCGGCATACCGATTCAAGAATGCCAGGGCTGCTGCTTTACGAGAGTAACCCTGATAACATCCAAAGAAAAAAAAACCCAATCAACACGCACATAAACAAGAGGTTGACTGCTTACTGCTACAGCAGCTTATTGCTCCTTACTTCTGCTCCTTACTTCAGTACAGAAATAGGTAGGGAACGTATCTGCGGGCATGCCTGAGTATGCATACCATAACCAAAACATAGTGCCTTTAGAATCTAACAAACCTAGGGGCCTAAAAACAAAAATGTTGCTTTTACGAATACTGAGTTTTTATTATACTGAATAATATTTTCTTAAAGACTCAAAACTAGTGGTGGGAGAAATCAGAGATTTCAAAATCCAGCTATCCAATTTTTTTTCAAACCGAACGTTATCCGATTTCACTGGAACTACCCATCCAACTCAAAGTCATGCCAACAAAAAGTGATGAGTGAGTGCTGAATGCATTGTTATCCAAATGAATGGCTATACTTTGCTGGATTCAATGACCACTGGGCATGAACAAAAACACTCCAGAGCTGTAATATTTGAAAAAAAGAAGGGTGGGAACTCTCTGATTTCGAATGGGAAGGCTATTCATAAACCAAGAAGACTATTGGCAAGTGAACGCGGTTATAATCAGAGACCTGCAGCAAATTGGGGATATTCCAGTTGTATTCATTAGCCTGGGTCACACAAAAGAAGGCTTACTCATTTTTTTAACCCTAACCTTCCCAAATCCTCCAAAAACCTCTTTGCAAAATGGAGGATTTTGCAGGATGACGCTACATGGCAAAAGTGTGTTGCTCAATTTGGAGGATGCACTTTGTCAAGGTCTTGGGCAGGACCTTGTGTTGTTTATGCTCAGCCGTGCATAACTTTAGGCCTATATTATACTTGAAATCCTCTGCACTACTCCAGGATGTCATTAGCTGTGCCTCAACATACTGACAATGACTGCCGTAGGATTTTGCACGATTGAAGCAGTGGTCACCTTTCCCAGGGCCACATTCAAGAAATAAAGGAGGATTTTGCAGGATTGAGGTTACATCCTAGCAAAAATGCCCGGGGAGTTAGGGTTAACACACTACTTTGATTACCTTTGGCCAATCAGGTTTGATCTCCACCGTCTGGCAGCCATCTTGAAGAGCCTGTTCATAGTTTCCCATCTTAGCGTAAGCAGCAGACCGGTTGCTGTACAGCACATGGTTGGCTGGATCCAACTTGATGGCCTGGGAGTAGAAGTCCACGGCCTTCTTGGCGTTCCCTGCCTGGAGGGCAGCATTGCCCTTTGCCTTCAAATCATCCACCTGAAATCACCCCCAAAATTGTGCGTTTTGAAAAGTCTTGTAAGTGAATCTAATTTTACAATGTTAATTAAATAACGTCCGTCTTGTTGGACGATAGGATGATAATATCGCCGCGATACGATTTTCGTGAAAAAAATATTCGGAAACGCATACCTTTTGATAAAAATCGGAATATCGCAATATCATACTGCGATCGTGAAGTGAAGGGCCCCTGTTTTGTTTTGATCAAATTAGAATCCAAAATTTTGTTATTGCTCAAAAATCACCTTTATAATCAAAAGCAGACTTTTCTCAATTCTAATGACACCCGTTTTGCAATTTTGAACAGATTCTTGGGGTAGAAATCACGATTTTCCTGCAAGGTTTGTGCCTTGCGATTCAGCGCACCGTGCGTGCTCAGGGTACATCGCGCGGTGATCGCCATCTTTATTTTCGGGTCGCGTGTTGTCGCCGCAATGTCATCATCATTTTTACCCCAAAATTTCTCTCAAAAAATCAAAACCCTGCCCTCTATCTATGACATACCTGTTTATTGAGAATGTCGCCAACTAGTTTGGTTGGTCCAATGATTTTAAAGTGGAGTTTGTTCCCTTATAGGAACTGGGCCCTACACTACACGATCGCCTAGAATACAACCATATACAATGGTATTTTAAAAAATTGTCAAAAAAGGGTGCGCCAGAGTTTGGACTAAACTCCTCAGTAGGTTGGGAAACCAGATGTGTGGCCAGCTGAACGTACAGCGCAGCAATACCGATGCCACACAAGTGGGGCTAGACTGTAGTCAGGTATAAAGCAACACCACAGAATGGAAGTGAGTTTTGGAGTGGCCGCTGTATATTTGTACCCCCAGACTATGCCCAGTACTTCTTGACATACTCACGTTCATTTCGCTAACAAGTATAAGGGTTGAATCGATCCCGATGGTGCAAAAAAATGATGAAAACAGTCCCCTTTCCTTACCGAAGCTACAGCTTGAGTTTTAACATTTTAACGTGCAACGTCAGAGTCTTTTGGTCTGAAAACAGACCACCGACACCGTCTTTGTAGTGCATATCGTGGGCGGCATCAGACGGGCCAATCAATCGTAGCTTCGGTACGGAAAGGGGACTGTTTTCATCATTTTTTTGCACCAATCGGGATCGATTCAACCCTTATACGTGTTAACTAAATGAACGTGATTATGTCAAGAAGTATTGGGGGAGTAACTATAGAATGCAGGGCCACGCCAGATGTACTTGGAGCCTTGGCTGGCAATGTGAGGATAGGAGAAATGCCGTCAGAGAGAACGATGTCAGGAGTTGATTATCTAGGTCCAAGAATGGAAACAGATGGGGTCAGTGGGCATAAAGTACAATAATATGCAGACGCGCAAAAAGTGCCAAGTACAGCGAATTTGTCTTCTCAAGGAAGGGAGGGCGCGCTTGTGACGCGTGGCGCTTGTGACGCGTGGCACTGGAGCCACGGAGCCGTGGCGGCGTGGAGGCACGGAGCCATGGAGGCGCGGAGCCGTGGATGGAGCCATATTATGATGATCCTAGGACAATTTTTTCCATATCCATATTAATTTCCTCGCAAAGGAAGGGAGGTTGCGCTTGTGACAGGGCACTGGAGCCGTGGGGGCACGGAGTCGCGTGCCGGTAGAGGGCGCAATTCTCGGCGGTAGGATATCCATATGAATGATCCTAGGACTACATTTTTTTTGAGAACAAAGCATCCATATCCATATTAATTTCCTCGCAAAGGAAGGGAGGGCGCGCTTGTAACGGGGCACTGGAGCCATGGAGGCACGGAGGCATGGAGGCACGGAGGCATGGAGCCACGCGCCGGTAGAGGGCGCAATTCTCGGCGGTAGGTCGACTGTGGCTCCACGGCTAGGACGGGAGGGCGCGCTTGTGACAGGGCAGTCATGGCAGTTGAGCCGTGGAGGCGCGGACCCTTGGAGCCTTGGAGTTGGGAAGTTGCGCTTACTCAACGACTGTTTTATGTACTGATATGTGTCCCGTGCCCAGTCGTTGAGTAAGCGCAACTTGTTTTTCTTCAATAGTGACGTCACACACGCGCGATAAATTATGTATCAGTCATGTCAGTGAAATGGAATGTGCAACTCGGCAGACGCAGACACATGTAATTGTGAGCGGTAAGTTCAGACTATTTTGTTCTTTTTTCAAAATTACCGGCTGTTTAGAACAATTTAAGGGGTCTTATGGAATGTCATGAATGTGTGGATCTATCATCTATCCAGGGTTAGGCCCCTACTGTCTTTCCATTTTGTATTCTCGACTTTACCAGTTTTTTAGGGGCCTTTTGTCCTTGTGCGGTCATGCACAAAAATGCATACCGTGTACATGTCACCAAAGTATGCCAAATCAGTGGAGCGTTTGTACGGAGGGTACCGTAGTTCAACGCACTCTGGAGTGCTCTGAAACGTGCAAAACTAAATCAGGCCCACTTTACTCACAGTTTAGCCAGCAAATTTCTCCAAAAATGCCACTGGGGCAAAGAAAATGTCCTCAGTATTTCACCAACAAAGTTTGCAGACTCAATTCAATTTTTAAAGGAGACTTTTCTTCAATATTTTGCACATGAGAGGGAAGTCAAGTGATTTCAAAATGGGGCTAAATACTAGACTCTAGTAGACTGATACATGTCCAACTATGGTCCAACTATTTTAAAGACTGACCTCTTCATTCAGTGTAAATAGTCTGGTGGCTTGACTATGGAGAAATGTGTAGTACATTGAGACTGTTGTGCCCATTCTTGAAAATCACGCATTCTTAAGAATGTGCATGCACATTCTTAAGAATGTGCAACTGGATCCTTGCGCAATCTTCGCAAAAAATAACTCTTCCAGATTGAGCGCACATTCTTAAGAATGCGCGACAAGATAACGGTCTTGTCGATGCCGAGCACCGGCTGCGCTTGGCAAGTCTAGCTGCATCCTCGTTCACTGATTCTCAATAATTATACTGTTGCAACGCAAGGCGCTGAAAAGTAGAGTGGATATGATAAGTATAGGCGTATTGATATGGGGGGGGGGGACCTAATAAGAGACATAATAATACTAGTGGAAAGAATTCTGATTTTTGGGATAATAAAAGCGGGGGGGGGGGGGGGGGGGGGGGAACGTAAGAATGAAGAATGTGAAGAATGAGAATGAATACTGCGACATCCCATAGTGCTAATGCTATTTCCCATTTAAATTGCCACCAATTTATTGTTCACACCCCACCATTACGTCACAGAGCTGGATTCTATCTAGTCAAAAGAGCAATTTTGGCAGCTTTTGACATCGTTTTTTTTTCGTGGCATGCATATGATACATACAGGGACTTGTAACTTGTCTAGCTTAAACAAAGCACTTCCCAGACTAGTTCCCAGTCCTCCGTTATTATTACAAAACTTCCCATAGTGGGCAGAAAAAAAAGCAATAATAACAGGTTTAATTTGATTCAAATTATCGTAGTTGTACGAGTACAGAAGCATAGAACATTTTCTTTCCTCTTTATATAAATTGTTTCCCTTTTAATCGCTATACATTTCATTTAACATAACTATGTCGTGCAATGTTTGTTAAGATCGGGCAAAATTCATAAATTGTGCACGTGATATTCCCACCCAATCTTAAGAATGAGCGCTCATTCTTAAGAACGCGTGCTCGTTCTTAAGAATGGGCGCTCATTCTTAAGGATGCGCGCACATTCTTAAGAATGCGCGCACATTCTTAAGATTGCGTGATTTTCAAGAATGGGCACAACAAGACCAGTTCCCGCTTCATGCCACATGTTTCTTAAATTCTTTTGGCATGGTTGATTGATGCAGTACTGAAGCTGTCTTGGACTGGTTGTTTTAGGTGCCAGTCTCTTTTCTTGTTTTGCATGTTTTCAATACCTTAAGTTTTGGGACTCTCATACACAGTATTGAGAGTCCCAAATTTTCGGACTACTGGCATAGCCCCATAAATGTGGCCTATTTACTGGACTGCCTCCGTAAACATAGGCCACACATCCACATGTACAAAAATCGTGTCGACGGAGCCAAATTTTGATTTTCACATTTAGGCTTAGTTTGTAGGGTTTTTTTGCTTTAGAAGCATACTCACCCTCTTTATAGGCTAATCAGAAAGTGCTGCCTTTTTCAGATGTATATTTTTCGTGAAATTTCCAGATTCATTTTTACACGTTTGCGTATCAAAATTTCAACATGAAATTTCACAAAAATTAGACATCTGAAAAAGGCAGCACTTTCTGATTAGCCTGTAAAGAGGTAGCGTCAGTATCACACTGGGAGGAAGGTACACTTATCATAATTTATGCTTACGTCACCATTTCGCCACGGAGGTCATTTAGCATCACTGGAAACATGAATTATGCAGTACGTAAGGACATGGATGTCCCGGATGATGGTAGTAGATGCATACCATAATGCATACCTTGTTGCGAACACGTGCATCGCATGCACGGCGCTATACTAGCGCCGCGTCGTGGACTGAGATCAAGCTTTATGTATGGCTCCTGAAACTGTGCACTGGCAGAAGCCTTGAGTATAAAACAGTTCTCGTTTCATTTATTTAAATTAAACAGCAGTGCAGGGTGAGTTTAAAAAAAAGCTGAACCCAAACCTCCAAAAATATATTTCATATTTTAAAAAAAATATGTAGCACCAAAATAAGTATAATGACTGGAAAACCTATTTCAGAAACTACTTTTAGATAAAAAAAAGAAATTACTGAAATTGCTCAATCCGTTCAAATAATATCACCATTAAAACGCAATGACCCTAGAAACCTGTTTGTTAAAAAAAAAGCAATTTATTGTGCATCATTCTGACTGCTTGGAACAAAGAAGAAATTGACACAGAATACTTGTTTCAACAACTGTCAACAACAAGCTCTAGTCATAAGCAATTCGCAAACAATATATGATTTATAAAATCCACTTTTTTTTTAAAGATGGGCCTTCAAAAGAACTTTGTTGAATATTTTTAACTTTTAAACTGAGGTTCAAGTTATTTCTCAGTGGTGATGTTTGACGAAGTTGCAATCAGGTTAGTTGTTCAATTAAGCACCGGCCGGCCAAGTTAGGATTTTTTAGCACTTTTGTTGCAAACGAAAAAGTTGATGAACATCACTGACATTGCTGTTTTTAAACTACTTTACAGGCACGTACAATTCCTTGTAAGTTTTCATGGACATGGATATCAAAACTGAAAGTTTCGTAAAAAAGGAATGGGAATAATATTGTATCAAGATCCTCTATCTACAAAAATGAATAAACTAGAAAGAAAAAAATGCATTGTCGATGTCGTTTTTGTTTTTATGCCGTTCAAACGTAATGTAATTTGATCAGGGCCGGTTACTGTGCTTGCCCGCCGCGTTGTCCTTTTTGAGAATCCCGAGGCAATCTCGTCAGTGTTTTAATAGACAGATCTATTTAACCATAAATTGATACAGCAACGGATTTGCTTTCTGAATGCAATGATTTATTTCTTCCTTTCTTTTCATCTTTGCCCGTAGCTGTACTAATAATGTTTGACTCGCCAAACGGGCTAGTTCGACCATGGGGTAATAAACCGCCGCTATGTTGACGGTCAGCTTTGCTAGGCTATCGTTTGCACACGTGCCAGCGCTTTCATCTGGCGCATGCTGCGCCTCGGCCGTTGGCACGGATCTGCATAATTCATGTTCTAGCAACGTCATACGACCTGCTCATCAACATGGTGACGTAGGCATATATTATGATAAGTGTACCTTCCTCCCAGTGTGATACTGACGCTACCCTGTAAAGAGGGTGAGTATGCTTCTAAAGCAAAAAAAACCTACAAACTAAGCCTAAATGTGAAAATCAAAATTTGGCTCCGTCGACACGATTTTTGTACATGTGGATGTGTGGCCTATGTTTACGGAGGCAGTCCAGTAAATAGGCCACATTTATGGGGCTACCACTGGCAGTGAACAGATCAAAACTCCAGCAGGGCACAAACACGACAAATATTTTTCAAATAACAAGTGCAATTAAACATAATTTCACCGTATGACAACATTCAAATACTTTGGTTGCTTCTTTTTCCAAATAAAAGTGGAAAGGCAAAATTTACCTGTGTTTTATCGCCCATTTTGCCGCTTAGTAGACGGGCAATTCAATCACGTTCAAGCTTCACGTGCGTCTCGAAGTTTCTAAATTATATTCCTCTCCAGTGTGCAGGGTGACCGTAAGAACATGGCCAAATTCTGCTAAATGCAATTTGAAAATCTGTCGGATTTATCAAAAATCGGCCAAATTCCCCAAAATTACTAAAAATACACTATAAACACGTAAAATCACACGCAAGTGTTGTAATATTGCCTTAATTACGGTTCAAATGACATTATAAACAATCTATAGTCCCATAAATGAAATTGCATAAATTTCAGGCAAAACGCGGTTGTGCCAAGACGAAGTCCGGTTCCCAGTGAACCTCAGCCAAGTGGCACACCCAGGATTTGGCTGGGGGAGGGGGGGGGGGGGACTATTTTGACGTTGGTGGAGCCACTTACACACCCTCATTATACTGCTCGAAAATAGGCCACTTACAAATCACAAAGGTCAAGTCGTGGAACTAAAAAAAATTACCTCCCCCCCCCAAAAAAAATGACAACCTCTTGGGGGTGGGGGTGGGGCTCAAGCCCCCGAGTCCCCCTCCCCCTCTTGGGTGCGCCACTGCCTCAGTACCTAGACCAGGCAACCTATCCTATTTTGCAAAGGTTTGTTTGAAAACACTGAAGCTTATTTATACAAATGTACCATTTTTTTAAAATTGGCCATGTTTTTCTGCCTAGTGTCAAACAACCATTTTTATACAATTCTGCCAGAAATCTGCTAAAAAAAATCCCATTCTGTCAAATTTTCTGTCAAACTCGTTTTTTAAACAAAATATCTGTCAAAGTTAGCCGAAAATCGGCTAAAACGGTCACTGTGAAAATCCTCTCCAGTTTCTGGAAATGGTAACCTTCTAACCAATTGTCTGACGTCACCATTCACATGCGGCCGGCCGCTAAAGTTTCACCGCTTGTTTGGGAAGCAAGCTTCGTACGGGAGCGCTCTTCAATAACATATGGGGGCGAGTTTAATAATGCCCGCAATGACTAGACTGCAATAGACTGGAAACCTAACTTTAAGAATGAGGACATTGACAGTCATGTCTTATTGGCCAAGCATAAATCACTATGTGAGCATAAGTCACTGTTAATTATGGAAATCAGTTGCATGATTACATAACCTAAACATTTGAATTTTGTTTTAGAGTTCATTTAGGAGGCGATGTTCAAAAGCTTGCGTTCCCCATGGAGGAACACAATCCGTTCTCTGATACCACATCCTTCAAAAGGTCAAAGGTAAATCATGGTCAGAACCCTGACTAAACTTAATCGAAGAGTAGGTAATTTTTCATAAGAGAAGTCAGGGTGTTTTTGACATACACAATAGTAATACAACTTGTGAAAATGGCATCTCTTCGGCCGGTGTTTTCTCGGCGGATTTTAAAGCTTGTATCTAGCTTTAATCAAACTTTAGCGCCATCATCGTCATTTCACAGATCTCTTTCACTTTCGGTAGATGCATTTAATGTCTTAGCTTGTTCAGATCATTTGAATAAATGCTAGCCCTAGTTTATTTAGTTAGGATGTAGCCACTTCCTAGCCCCATAAATGTGGCCTATTTACTGGACTGCCTCCGTAAACATAGGCCACACATCCACATGTACAAAAATCGTGTCGACGGAGCCAAATTTTGATTTTCACATTTAGGCTTAGTTTGTAGGATTTTTTTGCTTTAGAAGCATACTAACCCTCTACATAGGCTAATCAGAAAGTGCTGCCTTTTTCAGATGTCCATTTTTCGTGAAATTTCCAGATACATTTGCACACGTTTGCGTATCAAAATTTCAACATGAAATTTCACAAAAATTAGACATCTGAAAAAGGCAGCACTTTCTGATTAGCCTATGTAGAGGGTGAGAATGCTTCTAAAGCACAAAAACCTACAAAGTAAGCCTAAATGTGAAAATCAAAATTTGGCAAAATCGACACGTTTTTGTACATGTGGATGTGTGGCCTATGTTTACGGAGGCAGTCCAGTAAATAGGCCACATTTATGGGGCTAGCCACTTCCATGACTTCGGAAGTGATAGTGTTGGAAGATAAACATGATAAACAAAGCAGATAAATGCACACAAGTCTATGGGCATGATGGGGGACGTGGTAACTGAATCCACATCTGCAATTTTGTTCTAGTAAAAAGAAGATGGAATTGGAAACTTTTTGTTCGCACAAAATTAAAGTTGGAGCATACAAAACATCTTAAACTGTTAAACCATGGTCACATGATGGTGCCATTGAAAACAATCAACATTTTGCATCTACTTCAAAACAAGAAATTTTCTTTGATTTCGTTGCACGCACGCGAGTGGCAAACTATAATCCCCAGACCCTAATCGTTGTCATGGGATCATGTGCACATGCACTAGTAGTAGTACATTTTTGCAACTCCGAAGTGGCTTATCATTACGGCAGTTGACTCTCTGGTTCCCTGACCAATGACCTGGCAATGTTCAACGTCAGGATCTTTGGCACTTGATATCAGACTATCAATCAAATGGTTCTTGAAGTTAACTTCGAAATTTATTCCTGTAAAAAAATCCTCCATAGCCACTGATCACTAAGTGACACTAACATGACGAAGAGTAAGACAAAAATGAAATCTTATTCAATAAAAATGTAGCATTTTTCCATTTGTCTGTTTGTCGACAAGGAACTAGCCCCTGCTGCATGCTTACCATAGGTGACTTTAGTTGACCAGGAAAGCACACACAGAACACCCTCAACACAAAATTTATTCACTGCTTTTCAGAAAGGTGGCAGGAGCATGTATGGTTGTATCAGTGAAGCAGTCCCTATGCTTATGAAGGGTGGTTAAGCCCCAAAGGTGCTAGCATAAGATTAATTAAAGCTAGTCTTGGGAATGGCACCAGAGATATTTAGTGTATACATGAAGTATGTACAACTTGTGTGTGAGTGATTTGATATTACAATAGCTTGAAGTGTGCTTAATGCAGTACAACTACAAGTAAACAACTGCCTTAAGGAGAGAAATGGCAGGTAACTGCATAAAGGTGGTAAATTTGTTGCGCTGCACCTACAAATGTGAATGTTCAATGTAGCATATTTCCATTTGCCTTTTGGAATCAAAGAAGCTATTGTCACCATTTTTTTTCTCTCGAATTTGATGCTTTGTTTCTCAGCACAATGTTCGTCAAGAGATCACAGCAGTGGGCGAAGACAAGCCACTGTTCCCCGGAGCCAGCTCCAGCTACACTGAGAAGCTCAAGTTTCTCGGCGGAGACGTCTACGATCCCATTCCGGTCTACAGGGTGATGAACAAGATGGGTAGCATCATCGACCCCAGCCAGGACCCGGGGCTGGACCAGGCATTTGTGGAGAAGATGTACAAGAGCATGACAAAACTCAATGCCATGGACAAGATCATGTACGAGTCTCAGCGTCAGGTAGGTATTTGTGATGATGAAGTTTGTCATGTGCTTATACTGATTGCTTCAAGTGGTATTCAGATAAGATTAGCCTCTTTTTTTGGGTTGATGAGAAAAATGTGAGAAAAAAAACACAACTCTCATTGAACAGGGCTGTCCAGACGCATGAAACGACCTATAGTTCAAGTAACCCTGGAAAAGTGGCCAAAAAACGGCCTGTAATTTTTTACTGTGTGACACTTGCTTAGGCCAAAAAAACCAAAAAAAATTGTTCTGCTTCCGGTTTCCCTACCTACTCTATTCTGACAGCCCCTACCCTTATTATTTTATGGGAAAAGTGAGGAAAAGTGAGGAAAAAAACACCCAAAACTATCAATTTCTACCTTTAACCCTTGACAAATGTAATTAATATATATTTTTTCTACACATAATGGACTTCTCCACTTGACAAGCTTGCCTTTTGGAGAAGCCCACCGCTTAATCTTATTCGTTTATCTAAATTGTTGTCTAAACCTTTTCCCTTTTCCCTTTAAAATGATTAAGTGGAAATAAATATGAATGAATGAATGAATGACTACACGCAGACGCCTCCATATGATCATACACAAACAAATTGGCAAAAAAAAAGCAAATTCCCTACCTACCTACCCTATTTTTGAATGCCATGTAATCAGAAGCAGAACTATTTTTTTTTGGCCTTTGGGGCAGAATTGTTTTGTAGTTATTGAGTAGGAGATGGTCCCTACTGTAGTGCTTCTGAAATGGTCAAGAAGGGAAATACCCTAGCCTCCGTAAATAAGTGGCTAGATTTTTGCTTAGAAGTTTAAGACAGACATGAAGTCAGATGCCCCTTCAAATTATGAGCCCCCAATCATCTGGCATCATCAGCATTTCTTAAGATGTGGTTTACTGATGTTGGTGTTACGCGCCAACTATAGCATCGTCTCAAGTATAGTTGAGACTGTCTCAACTATGGTTAGAGCCATTGCTGTAGTCGGGTCATAACATCGGCATTTCCTTCTTTATTGTTGCCACTGATTAGGGGAGGATTTCCTTCTACATGACATCCTATGGAGAGGAAGGCACACACATTGGCAGTGCGGCAGCATTGGATGATAAGGATATCATCTATGGCCAGTACAGAGAGGGAGGTGAGCTCACAACTTCAATAAACCTAACCTAGCAGAAACACGCGTCAAATTGTAAATTTTTGAAATCAACATGTGCACAGTACAATTCCATAGTCATTCTATTATGTTTTTCGCAACATGTATTACGTGTTTAAACATTCATTGTGAAATATTAGGTAATCTCCTTTTTATTCTTTGTTATAATTTCCAACTGACCCTAATTAATTTTGAAGGGCAAAACCTAATTTGACCCTAATTAGGACCCCCAACCCACGAAAAAAACCTCTTTGGGTTTGTTTTTTGAAAAGGCAATAAAATCTTGGTGGTTTTTTTATTGTCTTTCCAGGGGTATTGCTGTGGCGTGATTTCCCACTGGAGAAGATGATGAATCAGTGCTATGGCAACAACGAGGACGCGGGCAAAGGGAGGCAAATGCCAGTGCATTATGGGTCGAAGGAGCACAGCTTTGCGGCCATATCGTCCCCTCTTGCCACCCAGATGCCCCACGGTAAGCTCAATCGCAGTATGGTGGGCCGGGCTCGCTGGGACGGGCTTGTGAGTTCAACAAGTGTTGTAGCCAAGGGATTTGTGATGGATCATGCATCATCCAGTCAAATATCAAATCACAAGCTATTCAAACGAACTGTGACAAAGGATTCCTTTGTTACTGTTAACCTGTTAATCCCCTAGTACATGTACTTGTGAATTGACATGTGATTTACTTGTGTCTGGACTTTGATTGACCTTGTGAGCTATCACCAGTACCTCAACAACGCCCCTAGGTTCAACCCCACCCCCTTCCCCTTCCTCACCCACCCACCCCCACCCCCTCCCCCAACCACCAACCCCAACTTTGGGGATTCAGATTTGAAGTTTACAGCAGAATAAGTCTGTATTTGGCCGTAAATTCGGCTGTAATTTTGTAGCATAAACAACTTCAGAAATGAAAATAGGATGTGCTGTGTAGTAGTCACATTAATAAGAAATGAGTGAAATACTGTATATTTCATGTTTCACTTCTGTTAAAGTGTACACTTAAACAACAATGCATTGAAATTTTCTCACCATAATAGTTCAATTTTTTACCATGGCGGGTGTGAAACACACTGTTGGCTTGAGCTGCTGCTTGGTGGGTGGGTGGGTGGGTTGGTGGACACTTTACTCGGCCATATATTGTATTCATGCAACTCGACTATTACAGCTTTGCATGTGAAGACGGTTTTTGCAAACACTTATGCGCATGCGTCTAAGTTGCATATTTTTGCATATTAGATCACGCCCATTTGAAGACCGGTTTTTGTAAACACTTACGCACATGCGTCTAAGTTGCATATTTTTGCATATTAGATCACGCCTCATTCTTTTTCGTTTTCTGTACTCTCGAGGTACAGGATGGCCTGGGTGCATGGACGGTGCCGTAAGCCATCTGCACACGTTACCCGGCCACCGTGGGTTGTACCACTTGCTACTTGTTTAAATTTCCTGTTTGTATTTCAATGCAAAACAATGTATTATGACCTTGTTGCTTTGAAATGATGATTTTCTTTTACTTTGCTGTAAAGTATTGTTCCCCAAACATGTTCTTGTGATTTTGATACTAGTAAATTGATAATTGATGAAACTGGTGAGGAGAAGAATTCCCTTTTTTACTTGCTCTGAAATAGCTGCTGGAGCTGCATTTGCGCTGAAGAGGGCGGGACTTGACATTTGTACTGTCTGCTATTTTGGGGATGGAGCAGCCAGTGAGGGCGACGCCCATGCAGCACTTAACTTTGCCGCCACCCTAGACGCACCTTGTATATTTTTCTGGTAAGTCTGAAGAGCCCAGATTATCTGAGTAAAAATTCACCAACTTGAATCAATCTCACTTTGATTGTTTGTCACAAGTCATGCAACACTAGAGAGAAATTAATTGGAGCGAAGTGTCTTGCTTAAGGAGACGCACATTGTGATGTTGTCATCTTTGATATGAGAAAGAGAAGTGTGTCTTGAGTCAATTTGACTCATTAGGCAGGTATTTATTGCCGGTTTCCTTGGCATGAAGCAGCTCGGTATATCCCTCAGATTGGATACCAGTCCATTGTAGGTTACTCCTCCGTTGAAAGCAAGTCAAGGTAAAGTGGCTTCCACAAGGACACAGCACATGGCCAGTACCTGGATCTATTCATGAGTGACAGACCCCAGCCATACTTCCCACTATTGTCTGTGATGGATGCATTTGAAATTCAGATCAATATTTTTGTAAACTTTTTTTTAAATAGTTTTTCTCAAATTGTTTCACAGCCGGAACAATGGTTATGCCATATCAACACCAACATCTGAGCAGTACAGAGGAGATGGAATTGGTGAGTAAAAAATGGATGACTTTTATTTTTAGTCAGAGTAAACCTGGACATTTTCTTTTCTTCCTTACTGAAAAAACTCAACACATCAATTAGGCCTGGGTGAGTAGTGGATTTTTCTTCTCGAGTACTCGCAAAGATTAATTCCCATAAAAGCAGAAAAATGACATATGACGGGAAATAACTACAAGCAAATAACGTGCAAGCCACAACACATTCTTCTATACAATACTATATTTTATTTCTCAGGAAACAACAAATACATGTACACAGATGACCAAAGTTACAAGGAACACACAAAACGAAACTTTAGATACAACCACAAACAAACAAAAACAAAATACCATTCAGCTCCCAAAGGATTGCCCAAAAGTAACATTGTTTCTGTCTAGGGGCTCTCCAAGCTATATGGCAAATATAAAATGAAATTTGAACTAAAGTAAAAAAGTTAAATAAAGCTTATGTAACGTTTAAAACAAATTATATAATTATTAAACAAACAAATCAAAAGCAAACAACCAAAAAAAACCTGAACAAACAAACAAACACCCCAACACAAAACAACCCGATAAAAAAAATAGAGTAGAACAACTAGTAGAACAACGAGTAGTATAAACTACTCGCGAGTATTCGAGTAATCAAGCAACTCGCCCAGCAGTACCATTGTGCATTTATCAATGTAGTACATGTACATGTATTCAACTTTTTTCCTGGAAAGTTCATTATTGGAGGTTTTTACAAACAATCAAACAAACAATGGGTTGGTATGTTAAAATATGAAACTTGTTATTTGTCAGTGTGTTTGCATCTTAGTGGGCGGCTTATCAGCTTTCCACAAACTTACCTGTACTTGTACAACTTGCAATTATGGATGACTGAGCACCATTGATTTTAAACACTTCTAATATCTTAATTAGAATGTTTCATAAGTAATTGCAAAACTACTGTTCGCTTGTTTTTCCCACGTTCACGTGTTCAGAGTTTGGTTATTAAGTGTTCTTTACACCTGGTTACTCATTACATTTGAAAAGTGATTGAAATTTAAAAGTTTGATCAAATTAAGATGTTGGCAAGTTTGTTTTGTTTAAGTTGTAATTAGCTTTAGTACTGAATTAATTACCTGTATTAAACTAAAATCAAACAATCCACGATCACAATGACGTATCTCCAGCAGATGCCATTTTGAGCCAATACGCTTGCCTACGTTACTGCTCACAGCTTTGTGTTTTAGAACATGTCTTATCCCTAACCCTGCCAGATGCAACACAATGCAAAAGTGCGTGGGAGCATGCTGCATTGGGCCATCAACATAAATGCTTAACCAGCAATATTTGAGACAATAGCAGCTAGTCCTGTTGAACAGTGCCACAGGGACTGTGAAGACTTTGAACTTGGGAATTTGACCTGATGATGGCTCTTGTTACACTGGGCAGGCCTGTCACTGTAACAACTGTTGCATGGTGCTGCATTGAGCAGGGCTTTTAGACAATTAATCTGGAGTGTAAGGGTCTAAATATAGATAACAAGATAAAGCAAGTCTAATACAGCTGGTTCCAGATCGATTTGGTCTGAGGAGTCCAGGTGGCCATCTGAGTCCAATGTTTGGGCCAAGAAGAGGCTTGACCACGACCGCTTTAGAAGTGACTGTCAGTGAGTCACTGAGATAGGTCTGTAGAGGCTGGCCCGCTGAGACCAGCACGAACGATTACATAGGAGCTCCTTCATGGTCCTTTATTGTGATTCTTCCATGCCCCAATCTTTAGCTTGTCGTGGTCCAGCTTATGGCATCACCAGCATACGAGTAGACGGTAATGATGTCTTCGCTGTCTACAACGCAACCAAATCTGCAAGGGAGATTGCAGTCACGGAGAGTAAGCCAGTTCTGATCGAGGCCATGACATACAGGTTGGTCTTTCTCACCCTCTTTTCTTCGGGTATTTTGACTTTAAACGTGTATTTCAAGTCTGCTAACTCTAACCCTGCCAGACGCTACACAGTGCATCAGGTGCACAAGGCTGTGAGACCGTGCTGCACTGAGCCACCAGCACCAGTGCATAAAACAACAATTCTGAAACATTAGAGATAGTCCCATTGAACAATGCCACAGTTGTATCCTGCTGCAGTTGGTGATCTGATGGATCTTGCTAAACTCAGCAGGCTTGCCATTTAGACAAGTGTTGCATGTTGCAGCATTCAGCAGGGTTTCTAGCCAAAACACCCTGGAGGGTTGGGCTAATATTCCATTTGTTGTCTTGAATCAAATGACCTTGTGTAAAGCCAGCTGGTAATTTTGAGCAAAAGCTTGCAGTTTCTCATCTCAAAACTCTTTCATTTAGTGATCAACCAATAAGGAGTTCCATATGATTTTTCTTGCCTGTATATTTTATCCACGTGGTTCAGGATTGGTCACCACAGCACCAGTGATGACTCCTCAGCCTATCGGTCAGTGGACGAGGTCAAATACTGGGACAAAGAGGACCATCCCATTGGCCGACTCCGCAACTACATGCTGAGCAAAGACTGGTGGGACGTGGACCGAGAGAAGGCATGGATGGTGGAGGTCAAGAAAGAGGTCAGCACTACTTTGTATAACTGAACTATTATTTTGTGGAATTTTTTTTTAGTTTTGCCTTTCAATTCGGGTGATTCACAATGCAGTGCGCCACGGAGAGTTTGCCACGGAGAGTTAATTTTTCCCAGTGCATTGTGGGAGATGGTCAACAAATTCGCAGTTTTGTATACGTATGATTTCTTTTATTTTTATCAATACGGTGTTTTTTTGTAAGGCGGCAGAACACTATGCCCCAATCTATAACACATTAGCTCAAATTGACTACTGACACTCATTCCAATGGGCTATGTTTTGTCGACCGTAAACTTGAAAAATTGACTCTTCGTGGCAAACTCTTGGTGGCGCACTGCATTGTGAATCGCCCGAATTGTAATTGAAGCACTGTATACTCAGTGTTTTCTGAGGACTTGCAAGACTTGAACCAACATGGGCCCAAATTCTTGGCTCTACTTACTGTTAGGGATAAATCCCTGCTTACTATAGCACAAAATTCTGTGCTTGCGGTAAGCGTATTTCACAGGTTAGCAAGGAATTTAGGCTTATATCGCATGCTTCATCTTATAACTAAGGATTCTGTGCTTACAGGGTTAGCACAGAATTTGTATACTAGAGTGGTTAGCACAAATTGGTGATCGTAAGCGCGGAATGCTGTGGTTAGCAGAGGCATGAAATTGGGCCATGGTCAGGCCCTGACATGTAGTAGCTGTTGGGTTTGAGTCGTCAATAGACACAGCATAACTGTAGTTTTGGAGTCCCAAGTAATGATCGAAGCGTCGTGCCAGCTAATGTTCAAAACCATAACTTTTTTTTTTTTGGTCTACAAAAGCTGACAAAATACACTGGAGCTTTATCAGGCATGGGGTCTGACAGTGATTTGGTGCCTAGATTTTAAGATGTAATGCACTTTTGAGATCATAAATATTTTTTTGAATTTTCTATTAGTTATGTTAAGCCGTGTCCGCACTGGATTTTTTTTTAAAGGTTTTAACGAGACGATGGTGAAATAAGAAATGGTCAAATGTGACCACTGTCCGCATTTGGACTTTCAATACGGGAAATTTTACCCCGCCGCGTGGGAGAAGTAACCGAGCTAGCTGTCAGTATAATGACTTACAGTACGCAGAGAACAAAATGCCGATCACATTTTCAGCCCCCGATACGCACAGTAATATTACACACGCCATTTGCATGCACAACATAATCGTTTACACGATATTATTTCAAAAAAGCCTATATTTCTGTCACATGTGTGATGCACGATATCGAAGCCATGCCGCTGTACGATGTTCCGTGCGGCAGCAGTGCCATCGGTATTCGTTGGTTCCCATCGCATGCTAACAGAATCAAAGCTATGATATAGGACCGGAACCAGTGACTACGGCCTACGTACGGTACCGGACCATGATGTACCATGCATGACTACAGTATAACAGGACGAATTTGGATCGTAGAAAATACCAAACAAACATCGGTGGAGAAAGAGAATTTCTGCAAATTAATTCCCAGAACATGATCACTCTTTTCTGTGTATGTATTTTTCTGTTTAAATATATTTATAACGAGATTTTACCGCTCGGACTTGATGATACACCGCAGCGTGTTTCTACAAAATGTTCGGCCACTGCACGTGCAGGTTCGTGGGGTCTCAGTATGCATGACCTCGCGCTCGGGCCAGATTTACACTTTCCTGAGCCGCTTTTACCGACTCGCACTGTCCGCACTGGACTTATCGTCTTGGGAAAAGTGACCTGATCAGTTTTCCTGGGCACCTGGTCAGTTTTCCTGGGCAGCAGTTGGCCAGTAGAAGTAACCACTGGACTCAGGAAAAGTAACTGAGAGGAAAATGTCCCAGGCTGTCCGCACTGGACTTAAAATGGGAAAAGTACCCATAGTCTCAGTAAGCTTTACCAAAAAAAGTCCAGTGCGGACAAGGGTTTAGTGGATGTAGCTTCTGTCCTTGGTATGCTGACCATAATAGATTTTCTCCTTTTTTTCAATTGATCAGGTCATGCAGAAGTTTCAGGCAGCCGAGAAGCTCAAGAAGCCGTCTCCGCAGTACATGCTGACAGACGTCTTTGACAAGCCCTCTAAGAGGCTCAGCCAACAGGCAGAAGAACTGAAGAAGCACGTGCAGCAGTACAAGGAGCACTACCCCACGGATAAGTTTGACGAACTGTGATGGAAAGGAAACTAAAGCCGAGTCCGAGTCACTTGCCTAGAGTTACTGACTATTTCCGTGACAACAAAGCAACCCGTTAAAGTCAAGTCCCACCCTGTAAAGGTCAAGATGCCATCATGGTTTATTTTAACCACCCACAAAAAAAGTATGCTACATGTATCTGCCTAAAAGGTTTTGCTAAACAAGAATCGGTTTTGTGTCCTTGTTGATATCCTGAGAGACTGAGCACAACATGGCAAAAGCACAAGAAACTAAAGTTCTTCCACTACAAAGCAAAACTGCTCATGAGCATGCAAATGGTGACAAATTTATCTCTAGGTAGACTTGATTATCTGCACGTAAACGCACACTTAGGACAAATTATCACTGCAGAGTCAAGTTTGCTTGAAGGTAATAATTGCGTCCATGCAATGGAAGTATTTTGGTTCGTGCTCAACTGAATTTGGCTGAGTAGTAATCGATCCCATGGAAGGGATGACTACGCTTGTGCTCGTGGAATAAAGCTCATTCCTTAGGGTATTGTGGGATCAGGGAACCAGTCTAGCTTGCTTGTAACCGTTCATAGGTGTGTAATCGATTGGAAACTACATGCGGACTAACTAAACATGGCAACTTGGGGACAGTATTTGAAAAATAAGCCAGTTTTTTCCAACACTGGTTGGCCGACCAGCGTTGGAAAATTGAAAAAAAAAAAAATAGCACTTTTCTTGAAAATTACAACACACCGGGTGCCATGATTTTACAGGATGCTTTAGACTTTCATTCACTTACAGTCCAGTAAGGTGTTTTTCATAATAATTTGGTAGTTTTGTTTTTTGATGTTTGCAAATGTTGTATATTCCCTTTAAAGTACAAAAGTTATTTGGCCATTGTGGTAAATGGTCGGTACAAGTAAATGTTTGACGCTGGACTGTAATTGTTCCCTGTGAATCATGCTGTAAATTCATATTGTAGAATCCATGAAAAGTTTTCCCCACAGATATTGAGAACTCAGTTACCAGAGTCCATTTGAAATGAATTATTCTTTGTTTGGTGTTGGATTTCTTGCGTTTGGAAGGCCGATTGTTTTCCTTTTATTTTAAAGTTGGTATTTGGAAGTTGCTAACTCCATGACTTCTTTTGGATGTGGTAACATTGGAGCATTTGATGAATTAATAGCTCACCAAATAGACATTGCACACACAAATTAAGCCAGTGATTGCGATTAGAATGATTTTCCTATTCCTGAGAGTGTTTATATGTAAATATTCAAGTGAAGCGTGCACTGCAGTGAATATTTATGGAAGAAAAAATTACATGTAGTGTAGTACATATTAGTCCGGGAGCTTATGACATGAAATTAAGTTCCATGGGCACCGAATGAGTAGAACATGCCACCTAGGTAGATACCCGAATTGGAACCTCAGGTTGGCAAAATATTAACTGTGGCAGAGGGCGGCCATCTTGGATTTCAAAATGGCCCCCATATAAAGCTTTATAATGCAAGAACTCTGGCTCTGAATGCAGTGCAAAGCTGATTTTGGTGGCAAAACCTACATTTACCACGACAAGGGAGTAGCACAACATGCATCTGACATGATTAGAGTAAGTTATATTTGGTTTTTCAGCAATATTTATTCCAAAATGGTCGCTAGTATGTCATATTTGAGCAGTGTATCCTAAGCGTATGTACGTGTGTGTTTAGACCTACATACTGATTTGTATTAAGAGTGTGAAGAGACAGGGTGTGATCCGAATCATCCGTTGCCATGACGTTATCTATATATAGTCCTCTTCGTCGTCACTGTACTCATCTCCATCAGTTCGAATTGTGTCTGCCGAATTGTCACAAGACTCCGACTCGTCAGAACAGCTGCAAATGTCGGTGAAGTTCAGAACCATTCTTCCTGCATCCCAACCAAAACCCTGTGGTTCTGGTTACGTTGGGTTTGGAATGATGTGACCGTTCCAGATTAAGGCTTGTAGTGAGCTCTTTAGAATGATAGGTTGCAGTGCAGCGAGGGTTGGGGGCAAACCGTTTGACTGGTCTTGCTTCTTTTTGAATACCCACCACCTACGCTTGATAGGTATGTATTAGGGAGATTTAACTTGCAGATGTAACCTGGAAAAACGACACACTTGGGGAACTTGCACTATAAACAGACTAGTCTATGGGGATTAACTCACAAAAACTTAACTAAACTCAGGATCTTTGAAAGGAACTGTCGTGAGGAAATTGAATTAATAGAGACATGGGACACAATTCTAGATTTCAAACCACTTGAAAGGACCAAATGAATTGATAACACATCACTTAATTTTCCCGTCAAAACACATATATTTACAACCAAAACACTTGACTCTGCAGTGCTAATTTTACAACAAAATGTTTTATTTAGGAATACGGACATGCAGCTAAAAGATGCTTCACAAACTGCGAAATATGTGTGCCCATTAATAAAAATGACTTCCCGATCAACTGCTGGTCCAGACGAAATTGAACGAACAACACGATACTTTTAATTTAAATGCATCTTTTACAGGGACGAGTGAAGCTAAAAGACTATATATAGAATGCTGGGATAGTAAAATTGAATGATTCGTTTTGATTGTCAAATTACGATCTGCGTGATATTTCTAAATTGAATGAGACTGGCGTTAAATAGAATGCAAACTTGGTGAAATTGGCCGGGAAAACCTATACATAATTAGCAATACATGTTATGCACTTCTCAGCATGGGCGCCGCGAGGGGGGGGGGGTGGCAAGGGGGGGCACTTGCCCCCCCCCCCGGAACAGCAAAAAAAAAAAAAAAAAAAAGGAAGAAAAAAAAGACAAGAAAAAAAAAAGAAAAAGAGGCGCGAAGACAAAGTGGTGTAAATTTATTGAGTTGGAGGTGGGGGGGGGGCAAAATGTCCCTGCCCCCCCTCTAAAACTGATAAATCGAGAATGTGTTGAGAAATACAAGCATTTTTTGGCAAAACAAATTTTTGCCCCCCTCTAGAAAAAATCCTGGCGACGCCCATGCATCTCAGGATGGTAAAAAACTAAGTGTGGATTTATTTTATAAAATAATTATACTGTGAAATCAGGCGTGACAAAGAAGTTCTTTCTCAAAGACAGCGCAGTGCTTCTTTAGTTATTTACAACGGGGATGTAACCGTCCAACTTTGCCATTATTTCATATAAAAAGCTGAATGTGTATTCCCAGATTACAACGCTCATGATCGAAATGTTTAGTTTCAAAATGAAATTAACTTTTGATAACACTTCACGTATATTTACACTGCTGTAAAAATCAGTTACAGCATGCATATATGAAAAATTACATGTAAAAAGAACATATTCTTTAATATAGGATTCTGTATTACTTGTGCTTTTTCTGGATCTAAGAATTAGTTCATTCTTTTAATAAAAAAGTAACAATATGTTAATGATCATACGGTTTATATCGTTCTTTCAATAAAGTAGTTTGAAGATTAATCTTAAAATTTCAAAATTAACGCAATAACATGCACTTTATATACGCACGGACATGTTATTGTTTTTGTAATTAACACTATCGTCCACAATCATCAGATTGCAACGAAAGGGTGCATGATGCATTCTATATCATGTCTTTTTTCGTTTCACGCGTCAGCATTCTTATGGTTTAATTAGGGATACTTCAAGCCGTCTGCTTGGGCTTGCATCTCGCTTGGACCCATTCCATCAACAGCGCCGTCAACGATAGAGCTGAAATGCATCCTATGATGAAAAAGGCCCAGTCAAAACTGCCAGTCTGGTCGTACATCCAACCTGCAAAACAACAATTGAAGTAGTTCCAACCAGTTAACGTATTGTTGGCTCCGTCAATGCCAACATATTTGTTAATTCCTGTATTTTTAATCAGATACATGTTGACAGTTTTATGCCGCTATTCAGCTCGTTATTTCTTAATGATAAATTTTAAATTTCTGCCTAGTACATGTATAGTGCAATAACCTACCGGTTGTCATACTGTGCATTTTTATTAATCTATTTTATGAAAAATACACAGAAATAATTCTCAGGAAAAAATTTCCATCAGGAAATGACTGCTTTTCAGATTACGCAATAGGCATTTTTTTTCCTGAAGGGCGGAGGAAGGGAAGGCAATAAAGTTGGATAAAGAAACTTTTTAACATGGTCACAATATACGCAGCTACCCTAAACGTATGTATGTATAACCCTTATATGGTGTTCTATAGACGCCAAATCTTGTAGGGCCTACGTCGTGTTCATCTTTTCAAACCGTGGACGCCAAATACCAGAGAACAAAAGAGAACAATATCGACCACGATTCCCAGCATGCGGCCGCGATTGGGGTCGTGTACAAAACCTATGGTAGTCTTCCTAAAAAGGTAAGAGTACAAACAAAAGAGGGATAATAGGACGTCCACGATCGACGGTGAACACACGTTGGGGTGCGTGTTTCCGTCGTGTGTGTGAGTTTGAAACGTCATGTGCGTGAGTTTGAAACGTCATGTGCGTCGCATTGTAACCCAAGAGGCAGTGATATACGCAGCAGAAATGAACACATTACAATTTATTGTACAGTGAACATGGGGTCAACTTAACGGGCTAATTAGGCACTAATTAGTGTTCGGCTGAAGCCAATACCAAAATTAAGTGTGCCCAGTACATGATGCCGTAGATTATGAAATACAATAGCGAGTTTTTGACAGCATGTGCGGTACACTTTGTTTTAAATGGACGGTGATATACGCAGTTTAAAAGAATGTATTTTAATAGTGCAGTAAAAAAAAAATAGGTCACTTTAACAGGCTAATCAGGCACTATAGTATTCGGCGGTACACCTTGTTTCAAATGATGCATTTACTTGCCAACAAATAACACGAAATGTGTTGATTCCCATTATGCAGTATATAGTATTGCATCAAAAGTTCAAAAACGGTTAATGAAACGGTTGCTAATGTTGTGTATGTTGATATGGCGTGAAAACAATTGTTATTTGTTTATTATGGAAAATAAGTTATCTTTCTGTAAAATAGATAACCTTTTGCCGCATGTATTACAGATTTGTTTTAAAAACGTTTGGTTGAAATCGCGACTAGCGGAAAACACGGTCAGAAATCCGGCCGAATCCGTTTGAAAGCTCACACACACGACGTTTCACACAGTTTCACGCAGTTTGAAACTCACACATGCGCGCACAAGCAGGACGCTCACACGCACGACGTCTTAACTCACGCACGGCGACGTTTCAAACTCACGCACACGACGTTTGCCTGTCCGTTTTAGAACACCATACTTAAGTGGTGACCATCAAAATTCGAATGGCACCACCACTTGTATGGGTACATGTGAGGGTATAGAATATGTTTATATGGCATGTATTGGTCGACGAACCTAAGAAGTAAGAACTGTATTGAGACTATTTCACTACCCTTCCATGCAATATACTGATATACTCGCCAAAGTCATGACAGGGGATGTGATATGCCTTACCTGGAAAGAATCCAAGGCTGAAACTTAAAATGGCCGACGCCAGATCCATCCAAGCGAAAGCGCACGTCAATAGATCAGGTCCAAGCAGCTCCCTGGTGTACAGATCATTCAGTAAGGCAAGAGTACCTTGACTGCTAAAATAGACAACTGTTGTGACCATCATCAACCAATAAGAGTTTATCCAGGGAGTTATCAGGATAGCAGAGGAACTCAGTGTGATCATCAGTGCGATCACCGGTCTCAATTTTAACAAACCTTTATCGACGATAACACCAAGCAAAATCTTGGTAACGACGTTGCCGACCCCTCCAGCTGTGGTGAATGTCACAGCGTCGTACGGAGAAAAGTCTTTTACTCCGGCCTGGGAAATGAAATAAATCATCCACTGATCAACCACAAAGCGGCGGCAAATGAAGATGACTGCTGTGATCCAAAATGAGAACTTGAAACAAACCGAGAATCCGAAATGTTTCATCTGCGCACTGAGGGCGTCTTTGAAGGCGCTAAGTCGTGATGACTTCTTCAAGTTGCCTGTCTCCTCAGCACTTGATAAGCCGACTTGTGGTTCCTCATTGGCGTCGGTACTCACCAGCTGATAGCTGTCATTTGTTTCATCACTGGACGCTGAACGCAAGAGGGCGCCACACACCCCAAGATGCATGAACAGCCCTCCAAGAATGAGCAAAGCCCCTCTCCAGCCGTACGTATCCAGCAACAGTTGGGTAAAAGGCCCAACGGTTATCATGCCGACTGCACCTCCTGCTGTCCCTATTCCTACCGCAGTGCCATAATTTGTCGTAAAACGGCGTCCGAGTAGCGCCCTTATCAGAATAGGGACGACACTTAGAGCAGTTCCTGTGGATACGATGTAAGATAATCGGTGAGTGATCTACTCCACGTTGGTTGACAAATTATCAAAAGGCGGGGTCCCTGCGCGTTTTGGGTGCGACACCCTAAAACTAAATTTTAAAAGGGAATTATTTTGCTAGCACTACGAAAGTCATAAATTTCCTAATGAGGTGCGGGAAAAAAATCGTTTCTTAAATTCAGCTTTTGAATTAAAACAACAGAATTGACTCAAGCCGAACTTAAGTCGACATCCACAACATTTACTGCCAGCACAAGTGCACAACCAATTCGTATAATCGTAAATTAAGATTTCGTTGCTAGCACTACGAAAGTCATAAATTTCCTATTGAGGTGGGGGAAAAAATCGTTTCTTAAATTCAGCTTTTGAATTAAAACAACAGAATTGACTCAAGCCGAACTTAAGTCGACATCCACAACATTTACTGCCAGCACAAGTGCACAACCAATTCGTATAATCGTAAATTAAGATTTCAAACTGGCATTGAATGGCATGATCTCTTAAAAGATTTACCAGCTGTCAGTGCTAGTATTGATGTCAACATGACAATACTAGTGGAGAAAGAAGCGATGATCACAGAGACACCAAGCATGAAACCGCTGACCGTCACTGCCATGCGAGTACCAAACATGACTTCCAGTGGCCTAGCAAGGAGACCTATTCACACAAAATGATAATTGGTAAAGAGTACCCGGTATGTATCTACATGTGAAAATGTGCTATATCAATTCGGGCCCATGTTCGCTTTTTTCTGAACAAACTCTGTAGTCCAGCGGATTTGTGGAACAATTGTCAATTTTTCCCTCATAGAAAATAAAATTTCACACAAACATTTATATTCACGAGACAATATTTTCAGATGTAGAGCCATCACCCTTTTAGAGGCGTGGCAACCATGTTGAAAAATGGAGGGGTATTCATTGTTGCCACCGTTGTAATTTTTCTATTCTGTGGCCGAACTCTTACAATGTCGGCTGGCCTCATTCGGTAGCACTACGACTTCCACACAAGGGCACTTTACCAATATTTTGACCATTTTTGGTCAAAAGCTATTTGGGGATAATTTGTTCCTTTTTTTTTTTTTTTTATAGCCAGAGGCATCTTAACAAAAACCTATACCCGCCTATGATGTTAACGTGTGTGTTTTTGAAGCGCCCACAATATGCGTTCAGAATCGTCAGACAATTTAGGCACTTATCAAGACGGGGGTTTTTTACGATGCCTTTTTTACACCAAGAAGAAATGTCTTGGAACAGATAGTCTTTGTGTCATTCCACATAAAATAAAACTACATTTGCCATTCAAGTTCACCACTGGGGCACTTATTTTTGTGTTGCTCTAATACTACCAAGCATTACATGAAGTGACTAAGATGCGATGATTACAAACCTTACCGGTGAAACATATGACTGCAGTGATAATCGATAGCATCCAGCCGACCCGCCAAGTTTGGGTCGCAAATTGCTCTTGTAGTGTTGGTAACATCACTCCCAGTCCCTTGATGAGCCAAACCCAAGACAAATAGCTGACAAACAGACAGAGAACTGCGTACCAATCCTGGTGGGAACGACCAGTTTGAATCCTGCCCATGATGAAGTACCGTCTGTTATACATGTACTATGAACGAATCTGTGTATGTATGGGGTTTTTCTCCCTTGACAATAGGAGTGGGAATGGCAATTGTAGTTTTACGTAATCATGCAAAGTAGACACGCATACTCGGGTCTATGTGTTTTACAGAAAAGCAATGAAGCATAAATCTCCTGGTTATGTGACCATGAGCAATGACCCAAGGAGTCAGAACTCTTGGGCGATTTACATTTTGACCATTAACATACCAATCCCTCGGGAATGTCTATAGCTACAGCACTGTGACCGCAAGCCTCGACCATTCAAAGTGTGAATGCCAGCGGCCTTTGAACACAATGATCGTCGCCGCCTTTTTAGTTGGTAACCAACAACCTCCCTATATGCTGCATAATTAGTCATGTCACGTCGCTGCTCTTTTTTGAAAAATATATTTTACGACAAGATAGGTTTTTACAACTGCGCAGTTGTTAGATGTGAGTTATGAACTCAAGTTAGCAATGTGCAGTTGTTGGTGCTTAAAAGCGTTATCTGTCCCTGTAATTTGGAGATAAATTGGATTTCTTTCAGATAAGTTTTCATGTATTTTCAGACATTTTAATTGGCAATATTTCATTGATGAAATGTGTTTTTTTGGAAAATTTCACAAGTTTTCACACAAAAGGTACAGAGCATTTTGTTCTTCATTAAATGATTGTTCCAGTGATGTTGACCACATTTATATACAGTATCATCCAACTGCGAACAAACACTTCAAAATCATTCATTTTTAGCGATGTATGACAACTGCGCATGCGTATTTACCATGGTACTGTCTACGAAGCCATGCAAACTCCTTTTTTGGCATTAGTGAGCGCGGATCTCTATTGTGTCGAGATTAGCGTAGTGAGCAACTGAGCAAGCTGGCGCCAGGAGCTTTCTATTGTAGCTTTCGAGCGCGGCGACCATCATTTTACTTTTGAAGTCTTGGAGTACGAACTCCTTGGGTCCTTGCTCTATGATGTGACACACCCGTATATGCCACTTCAGGTTAGCTCACTGCCGAGTACACAACTGTTCTACTTATAGTCCTTGCTTATACGTTGCTGTAGAATGTCTACCAAAGAAACATAGAACACCGAAGCTCTGTTCAAAAAATTTCAATCGTACTTTGATCAGAAATTCGAATCGATCTCCAACCATAGCAAAAATGACAATGCTTCTATACTAGAGTTAAGAAACAAGTTAGAGGCTCAAGATCTCAAAAGATCCGGAAACTCCGCCCCATACGAATTCTGCGGGAAAATTCAAATCCTGACCAACAAAATCAAGTTGTCTCTCTTAGCCAAGGACGACCTCACATCAGCAATAGAAACCATACAAGAACTTGAGGAGATCACCGCCGATCGAAAACAAAAAATTCAGATCGCAGATTCTAGCAAAGCAGGCTGGATCACGGTACAGCATATGGAGAAAGGAACTGGCAAGAATCAATCCCCCGAAAAACAAAAGAGGATACTAGCAGCAGAAGAATCGGCCCTCAAGGAGCTGGAGAACAGAAAGCGACAGAAGAAAACAACAACTGATCGACAACATGAGGGTTTACTTAGCTCGGCTAATCATAGCCTTTTTCGAGGTATAATATCAGAACAGTTGTTAATGATTTCAATGATACTGCTTCTACCCCAAAAAGATTTTTCTTTGTTTGGTTCACTCTGAGACTAACCCCAATCCCATGCTAATAAATTAAATAGAAATGAAATTCTGTATTTCTCTGTTCCGTTTGTTCAAGGGTGTGAAACTGTTTTTCATGCGGATGAGCGCAGCGAAGTAGCATGAAAATGGGGTTTTTCTCCCTTGACAATAGGAGTGGGAATGGCAATTGTAGTTTTACGTAATTATGCAAAGTAGACACTCATACTCGGGTCTATGTGTTTTACAGAAAAGCAATGAAGCATAAATCTCCTGGTTATGTGACACACCCGTATATGCCACTTCAGGTTAGCTCACTGCCGAGTACACAACTGTTCTTCTTATATAGTCCTTGCTTCCCACCCACCCACCCTTGTACATGAGACGTTTTGCTTGTTGTATTTTATTTGCCTTCACCCAGGCTTGCCAAATGATTTCTGCTACATCTGCAAGGCACCAGGACATTGGGCACGAGAATGTCCTCTGCATAGACGACAGCACATCCCTTTCGGGAGTAGAGCAAGAGCAAATCCACTCAGTTCCACATACACCAACTACTACTCCAGCGTACCATGGCAAATCCCTCCCATCCACCAGTCACTTCCACTCATTTCACCCGCAGCACATACAGCAGTCATCCCAGCAAAACCAAGCTCCGGTACAAGCACTTCAATTTGAGCATTCAGCTCGTGTCACACAGATACAAGACAAATTCGACGACGTATTACAGGTAGCTTGCAAATTTGATCAGAATGGCCTTTGTGATCTACCTTCAGATCTTATTCCAGTCAAAGGAAGAATTAAAGAGCATAAACAGTTTTGGGAAAATATCGGTACTTCCAACTTTATCCTTTCAGTAATAGATCACGGTTATAGAATCCCATTTTTAGAACGACCTCCCAGAATGTTCCACAAAAATAACAGATCAGCTTTGCAAGAACATGTATTTGTAACCGAAGCTATCCTAGAATTGCTGAATTCGGGTAGAATTACAGAAAGAGAAGAACCGTCGTACATTGTCAGCCCTTTGTCAGTATCCATTCAAGCATCAAAAAAGAAAAGGTTAATTCTAGATCTAAGTAGATTGAATTTGTTTGTGGAAAAGACACGCTTCAAACTTGACGAATGGAAAGTAGGTCTTCAGTTTATGTCCCAAAATGCACACCTAATTAATTTTGATCTAAAGTCGGGATACCACCACATTGACATCGCGAATGAATCGCAACCTTACCTTGGGTTTTCATGGAAATTTGACGGTGAGATAAGGTTCTTTGAGTTAAATGTACTCCCCTTTGGGCTCTCTAGCGCTCCGCTAATTTTCACCAAGTTCTTGAAACCACTTGTAACCCATTGGAGGATGAACGGCATATTAATTGCCGTTTATTTGGATGACGGGTTTTGTGTAGTACCCAACATTTGCACTGACCAGTCAACTAATCTAAAACATGCCAAGGACATAGCTTACCACGTCAAATCAGATTTGATTAAAGCTGGTTTTGTATACAATATACAGAAAAGTAATTGGGAACCATCTACAAGTTGCGAATGGTTATGTATGAAATGGGATACCGTACCTGGAACAATACAGGTACTAAATAGACGTATACAGAAGATAATTACTACTGTGTCAGAGTTAGCACCAATACTCCCTATACGGAAATTACATTATTTTGTTGGTCAAATCATATCGTTGGGTCCAGTGGCAGGCAACATTACTAGGCTTATGACTCGTCACTGCCAAATGGCTATTGCAAGTGGGATGCATGAAGACGAAGAGATTGCATTAGGCGAATTTTGTAAGTCAGAAATCAACTTTTGGAAAACCCATGTCGCAAACTTAAATGTTTGCTATATTTTCCAGAATTCGACAGTCAATAAGATCATGTGCTGTGATGCCAGTGCTATGGGAGCAGGTTCCATAATGTGTAACGATATCCACGTAGCTCACAAGCATTGGACAGAAATCGAATCTCTTCAAAGTTCCACTTGGCGGGAATTAAGCACCATCTATTTCGCCCTCATGTCATTTTTACATCTGATATCAAATTCCAAAGTCAAAGTGTTTACAGATAGCCAATCAGCAGCTCACATTGTAGAGGTCGGGTAGTATGAAGCTCGAATTACATAAGATATCGTTGGATATATTCACCATATGCATTCACAATAACATCATACTAGAGGTACAGTGGATTCCTAGAGCAGCAAACGAGCAAGCTGATTTCATCAGTAAATTAATTGATTTGGATGACTGGGCGATTTCTGAAGAATTCTTTGTCTCTATTAGCAAGCTATGGGGTCCATTTACAGTAGATTGTTTTGCCAATCACTATAACACAAAATTGCCCAAGTTCTTTTCAAGATTTTGGAATCCTGGATGTTCAGAAGTAGATGCCTTTTCACAAAATTGGGCAACAGAAAATTGCCTCTTAGTGCCACCAGTCTCACTTATCCCTAGCGTTCTTCGTCACTTATTTTTATGTAAAGGCAAAGGAGTACTTGTGTTCCCTTGGTGGCCCTCCTCCCCCTTTTGGCCTTTACTATGGTCATCATATAAGCCGGGTATCAAACAGTTCATTTCTGTTCCTGGACAGGATAATCTTAAATTAGGACGCAATAAGAATTCCCTCATAGGATCTTATTTATTTAAAAGCAAAGTGGGAGCCGCATACATTGATTTCACTAAAGCTAATGCATATGATTGAATTACTAATAAATATTTTATATTTGTTTTTTGTGTATTAGATAGTTTTACGACATAGTTTTTGGTCGGAATTTCCTCAGCAAATTCAAGGTTTCAAGATGCGCACCTTTCGAGACATGCTGACGGCTAAGGCAGACGGTACTATTACCTGTTACCTTTACAAATGTCGAGAATTCTTCTCGTGGCTTAAAAAGCTGAATCTTCCAGTGAAGTTGCCAGTCAGAGAGGAATTCATTGCCACTTTCATTGTTGATAAGGCATCTGTCTCTACATCAGACAGCACCATCATTACATTGGCCTCAGCTATTAAATGGCTACATTCACTAGTCAACTGCAATCCAAATCCTGTAGACACTTCAATAGTGCAAAACGTTGTTGTTAGTCAGAAGCGTAACCTTCACAAACCACCTCAGCAAAAAGAACCGATTTCTTTTGAGATAGTTCAGTCCATCGCACACTTCTTTGGTAACCCTAATTGTAATTTGATGCAGCTTTGAACGGCATGTTATGTTGTCCTGAAATTTACTCTCCTTTTTCGACATGATGAGATGGCTCAAATTAAGGCAAGTCACATACAAATGCTACCTAATGACGCGGGTTTAAGTATCTTCATTCTTCGATCTAAAACGGATATCTTTAGGGAAGGCAACAGGGCTTACATTTCAGATACGAAAGAATTTTACACTCCTGTTCAAATCCTAAAAAGATACCTAGAGATGTGTAAAATTTATATTGGACAAGACGTTTACATCTTCACTCCGCTATCCTTTCATTCAAAATCGAACTCCTACACTCCAGTAGGGGATAGACCTCTGAGTTACACACGATGTAGAGAGATATTTTTAGACGCTTTGAAACAAATTGGAATAACAAATCCCAACAGATTCGGTCTTCACAGTATGCGTTCGGGGGGTGCTTCACACTTAGCTAATCATGATGTGTCTGTACAACAACATGGAAGGTGGAAAACTACAGAGGCTAAGAATAGGTACATACATAGAAACATCGAAAAACGTCTCCATGTCTCAATGGTTCTACAGAATATGTAAGCGCTTCTATCCACATGTAAATACTGCATTATCTAATTCAATTAATTTATTTATCATGAAGATGTATCATGTATTATCATTGTTCACGTATAATCAGTAAATAAGAAACAAAACTGCCAGATTTCATATCAGAATTCTATGGATGAAGGGCCAAGGAGGACAAAGATTTGTGAAAGCTAATAATGTGTTACTTTGTATTTAAAATATATCTAATTAGAAATTATTGTTATATGCATGAACGTATTCCTATTAATAATCAATGATGGTCTTCGGACTGGGACCAAAGGGCCAAGAAGGCCATGCTCCATGATTGAACAGGTACCGGATATAATGCAAAGAACTGTGCAGTGAATTTGTATATGTAAAAGAGATCCGGACAGAGTCCGAAGGGCCGAGAGGGCCATGTTCCAGGTACAACGAGAGTATAATATAATTCAAGAAATTGTTTTGCAGTTTGTACTAATTTAATGGAGATCCGGACAGAGTCCGAAGGGCCGAGAGGGCCATGTTCCCAGGTGGAACGAGTGTAAATTATAATTCAAGAAATTATTTTACAGTTTGTACTAATTTAATGGAGATTCGGACAGAGTCCGAAGGGCCGAGAGGGCCATGTTACAAGGTGGAATAAATTCTGTCAATTTAATAATTAACAAGTAATTAACTAATTAAAATCTAATTGCACAGTAAAAAATTTGTAATCTTACAGACAAACACAAGTGTACTCGTCACTCTGAGACTAACCCCAATCCCATGCTAATAAATTAAATAGAAATGAAATTCTGTATTTCTCTGTTCCGTTTGTTTAAGGGTGTGAAACTGTTTTTCATGCGGATGAGCGCAGCGAAGTAGCATGAAAATGTATGTACTGCCGCCTAATAGACCTAAGACCTAATGACGTCACGCTTTGTTTACATGTGCGTTTTCATATGCGAGCCAGATGGGAAATGTCCCACCTGGTTTTCACAGGAAAGCGCACAGTAAACATGTCTTGGGACTTTTTGCTGTGGTTACGTACAAATAATTGGGCAATAAAATATTAAAGTCAATTCCTTGTTCACGGGGATCATTACAGTTGTATAACATTAACAGTACGAGGCCGTGAACCAGACGAGCCCCCTCCCCAAAAATAGATTGTTGCCATCATTTTTCAATTACAGACATTTCTGGTTCATACTATAGTGTATCGATATACCCCATTTTCTTATAACAAGAACAATCAGCCGATTTTCTAGTTTCACCTCGAGAAATCGATTTGTTTCCCAATTACTATTTTGCAAGAGATGTGAAAGTTATTCCTTTTGAAAGAAACAAAAAGGGAGACATTGAACGAAAAAAATCCACCCACGCGATGTAATAAATTAATTCTTTATTCACAAAAATTGAAATGATTAACTGCCAGACAATAAATCTTTAAGGGAAAGTTATCTTCAGATATTTAAAAATTGCAAGTGAAAATTATCAAACTATGATCCGTGCAACTTATATTCCATTTTGCGTTGTTTAAGTCAATTCTAAACCTTTCCAATCTATCCACTGTAATATGTTTATATGAACGACGTGCTTTTTGTTGATCAATGTCTCTAATACTAAAGGAGGATATCTGATAAATATTGGTATGTGGTCAGAAATGTCATTGAATAGGATGCCGCTCTCTGTAAGTCCAATGCTGTTCGATATGTTGTTGAAGTTATACCAGTTAGTCTATCCATTAGTGGTAAATAGTAATTGCTAAAAAAAAAAGAATTGACAAACTTCTGATTGGGATTATGGCATTAGGCTTATATAGTTCAATCAATGTTAAAATAAAAACATGGTAAAGGACATTTTATTTTCCTTTTTTATGTTTGCAAGGATAGTGTCAAAAAGATCAACAAATTCACTTGTATTAAAGCAAGGCGGTTTATAAATTATTTCAACAATGATATTTTTACCCACAGTACAAGGAATTCAATAAACAGTGAATCACATTCAAGACAATTCAGTAATAAGTCATTACAGAGAAAGAATTTAAAGGAATTATACACGTAGAGTGCAACACCACCACCTGTCATAGTTTGTTTTCTATACGTATGAAATTGCCGGATCAAAGTCCTGAGATAAAACATAATTAAATGGTAATATATGAGGAAAGTGGCTTTTTACATGTTCCACAAAAATGGTACCAGACAAGCTTATCAATTGATTTACAACATAATGCTGCATAAAACGTGTGCCATAACAATTGTTGCAAGAGGTTAGGTAATGCATGTGAGTTGGTGAAAGAGTTTCTGGAGCCAGCCGAGTGCCAAGCACATTTTAAGAATGAGCAGTACAGGCGTACAATAATTATGTAGATGCGTCTTTAAACCAAAAAATCTTTTAGGCAAGGTGTGGAATTTAAAGCTATAGGTACATGTGGAAATTCAATTTATGTAGAGAGGGTGATTGTAAAATGTAAACAAACCAACGGTCTACATCGAAACGATCTGTTTCCAAATGAAACAAACTATTGATAACACATCACTTTTCCCATCATGCCACGAATATTGAATATTTTGTATTTGAATGCATCTTACACATGGAAGAGTGAAGCTATAGAAAGCTCGGATAGTAAATTTTAATGATTCGTATTGCTTGTCAAAATGACGATCTGCGTGATCTTTCAATTTCAATCTTAATCGAATGAGCCAGGCGTTAAATTGAATGCAAACTTGATGAAATATGCCGGGAAAACGTATACATTCTTAGAAATACATGTTATGCAATTCTCAGGACGGTTAAAAACTAAGTGTGGATTTATTTGTAAAATATACTGTGAAATCAGGCATGATAAAGAAGTTCTTCTCAAAGACAGCGCAGTGCTTCTTTAGTTATTTACAATGGGGATGTAACCGTCCAACTTTAAACAAGCTGAATGTGTATTCACAGATTACAACGGTCTCCATCAAAACGATCTGTTTCCAAATGAAACAAACTATTGATAACACATCACTTTTCCCGTCATATCAGGTATATTTACAAAACACGTCACTCGGCTGTGTTACTTGTACGATAAAATGTTGTAAATTAACAAGATTCTGTCACAAAGAGAACATTTACTTGAAAACTTGGATTTCATCGTAAAACTGGTGTTAAAATCAATTACAGCGTGGATCTGTTTTCGTCCCGGAGTATTCGATTTCGCCTCGTCTACGCCAAACCTTGTTTTACTCCGAAATCCAATTGTCTAATTGATTTATATAAGACGAATTCGATCTCTGAATGCTGCCATGGCAACAGCTTAGACGGTGACCAAACTTTAAAATTGAATGGTAAAATTAATGACTAATTTGGTTTTGTTTGTGGAGTTTTTCTCAGACGAAATAGAATGTTAAAGTTGGTGAATTTGAATGAAAAAGGTTATAAAATAGCCGGTAAAATCTATGTTATCAAAAAAAGTATTATATAAATTACAATAATGCTGATATCATTCTTCAAAAAAAAGGAGTTTGAAATTAATTTTCAAATTTAAAATTTAACGTAATAGCTTGCACTTTTAACGTAATAACACGGACATGTTATTGTTTTATAATTAAGACTATCGTCCACAATCATCAGATTGCAATGAGAGGATGAACTATCCATTCTGTGACATTTTATTTGTTCATGTCAGGCGTCAGCATTCTTGTAGTTTAATTAGGGGTAGCGGTACTTCAAGCCGCCTGCTGGGACTTGCATCTCGCCTGGACCCATTCCATCAACAGCGCCATCAACGATAGAGCTGAAACACATCCAAGGATGAAAAAGGCCCAATCAAAACTGCCAGTCTGGTCGTACATCCAACCTGCAAAACAATAATTGAAGTAGTTCCAACTAGTCAACATTGTGTTTGCTTCGTCAATGCCAGCATATTTGTTGATTCCTGTATTTTTAGTCAGATACGTGTTGACAGTTTCATGTCGCTATTCAGCTCGTTATTTCTTAATGCTCATTTTACTCATTTTAAATTGCTGCCTTCATGTATAGTGCCATTCAACCTACCGGTTGTCATACTGTACATTATAATAATTTATTTCATGAAAAATACCAACAAACAATTATCAGGAAAAGTTTTCCAATCAGCAAACGATTGCTTTTTCAGATTACCGAACAGGCATTTTTATGAGGGGCGGGGAACGGAAGGCAATAAAGTTGGACACAGACACTTTTCAACATGGTCACAATTAGCGCCCTTAAGTTAAAAGAGGTGACCGTCAAAATTCGAACAGCACCACCTGTATCGGTGCGTGGTTATGTGAGGGTATGGTAAATGTTTACATGGCATGTATTGGTCGACGAACCTAAGACATCAGAATTACATTGAGACTATTGACAATATCCTTCCTAGCCCTATTCTATGCACTAGAGTAGACTCTGTGCTAGAGGCCAAACTGCCTTTATGAATTCATGATATAATGAATTCATGATATTTCATGAAACAACCGTCGGGTTTTTGGTGCGACGAGCTGTGCGCGCCTGCGCAGATTTGTCGGCCATTTTGTAGCAAGTCTTGATCGGAAAGTACGAAGTGGCACCTCGTGCCGCACATTTGCAGACAAATTACACCGGACAAGGAACCACGAAAAAGTCCTAATTGTGGTAAAATCTAAACATGCCTAGGTAAGCGAACCTATACAAGCCGAGTTTGAGGCCGATTGATTTCCATGACAAATCAAAACATTTCCAGTAACTTCTCGCAGTGAAGGCAGTATATAGCACAGAGTCTGTACTCTAGTGCGTGGCCATAGAACGTATAGGGCTATATCCTTCCATGCAATATACTGATCTCACCAAAGTCATAATGATGGGACATGATATGATATGCTTTACCTGGAAAGAATCCAAGGCTGAAACTTAAAATGGCCGTCGCCAGCTCCATCCAAGCGAAAGCACATTCCAAGAGATCGGGTCCAAGCAGCTCCCTGGTGTACATATCATTCAATGGAGCACCTGCTCCACTACAGCCACAAAAGATAACTGCAGTGACCATCATCAACCAATAAGAGTTTACCCAGGGAGTTATCAGGAAAACCGAGGAACTCAGTGTGATCATCAGTGCGATCGCCGGTCTCAATTTTAACAAACCTTTATCGACGAGAACACCAAGCAAAATCTTGGAAACGGCGTTGCCGACCCCTCCAGCTGTGGTGAATGCCACAGCGTCATACGGAGAGAAGCCTTTGGCTTCGGCCTGGGAAATGTAATAGATCATCCATTGATCAATCACAAAGCGGCGGCATATGAAGGGGACTGCTGTGATCCAAAATGAGAACTTGAAACAAACCGAGAATCCGAAATGTTTCATCTGTGCACTGAGGGCGTCTTTGAAGGCGCTAAGTCGTGATGACTTCTTCAAGTTGCCTGTCTCCTCAGCACTTGATGAGCCGACTTGTGGTTCCTCATTGGCGTCGGTGCTCAAAGGCTGATAGCTGTCATTTGTTTCATCAGTCGACGCTGAACGCAAGAGGGCGCCACACACCCCAAGATGCATGGCCAATCCTCCAAGAAAAAGCAAAGCCCCCCTCCAGCCGTACGTATCCAGCAACAGTTGGGTAAATGGTCCAACGGTGATCATGCCGACTGCAGCCCCTGATGTCCCTATTCCTACCGCAGTGCCATAATTTGTCGTAAAACAGCGCCCGAGTAGCGCCCTTGTCAGAATATTGACGACACTTAAAGCAGGTCCTGTGGATAAGATGTAATTGTTATTATTATTATTATTTATTTATTCTCATCATGTAAAAACATGAAACTTGTCTCCTCGTTCTGCACACAAATAT